CTGTGTGGCTCCCCGCCGGCGTGGGGCAGGCTCGATCCGCGTGTGGTCGGGCCGGGGGTAGGGGAGAGTGGGCCCCGGGAAGCCGTAGCGGAGTAGGGAGGGAAGCTTCTGGCCGGCCCGAAATGCCGGGGAGGGCGGCAGGGCGTGCGGCTGCCTGGCCGGCGGCTGGAGATCGCGGGAAATGTGTAGGCCTGGAGTGGGAGGAAGGCGGGAGGGAGTCCTGGAGTCTGCTTATCAGAGAGCCTCTCCTTTTGCATTTCCTGGGGAGACCGCGGAGATGGGGGAAGGAATGTTTAGGAATAGTAACTTCTTTTCTAACTAGAAAAAGTCTTGCGTTTCAGCTTGGAAAGGTTAGGTGTGTTGCTGTGTTTCCTGTCTTCCCTTAATTGCATTTCTTTCTGGAAGGAGCTTCTTAATCGTGAGGTTCTGCTTTTACCTGGATCTTTCAAATTTGTTAGCATATGCAAAGGTGTTATCTCTTCCCATCAGTATCTTCCTTTCAGTTTTGTAGTAACTTTTAAAGCTATAACCGCTTAGATACCAGCGATGCTGATCACACTGTAAGATTATACAGCTTTGTAGTAATAACTGACAAAAAAGTGCTAATTTAAAGATTATATTAAGCAACAATCGATTTCTCAGGTTGTCTTCTGGATGGTTAATATGCTTGGGTTTTGCTATCTGAAACTTGATTGCTAACATTTTATAGGATAAGTACAGCTTTTCTGTATGGATGTTTTTCAGGTAAGTCATCGCTGCTAGTTGTCAAACCAGAATTTGGGGTGGGGGCCTCTGTTCTACATCTGCTTTTGAGGAACATGCTTATTAAGCTCATATATTTCTGTGGAAAGTTTATTTAATTTCCAGCAGTCGTTTAGTTTCCATGTTAACTTTTAATGTCTCTTATAAAAGTTGACAAAAAATAAAAGCCCTTAATTGTTTGGGGTTTCATTTAATTCTCCATAAGCACAAAATGGATCAGTAGTCACTTCACTTTTTTCAGTACACTAGGGCACATGTACTTTATAACACAGTATCGTACTGGTATGTCAGTCTGTGTGGTAGCTGGCATTTTTGCTCTTTAACTTCTTTGGTGTTGTGTTTTAGCTTTCTAAGGAAGGACATGGTTCTATACTAGGTAATGAATTGTGTATTAGAAACTTAGTTATGTCAGTTATAACCCGTTTAACCTGTGAATATTTCTTGTTTTCCCTTCTGCTCCTTAAAGTCGCTTGACTGGTGAGGAAGGCAAAGAATTCACTGCAGATGTCAGAAGACACTTTCCTCGGCTTTGTAAAGTGTTTAAGGTATGTCTTTTCAATTTTATATACTTCACTGAACAAAGATATATTGGGAGGTCAAGGCCAGGGGCCATTGTAAGACTCATATTTGAATTTGTTTACCAAGAAGTCAAGCTAGTGATATAGCCGTGAGGGTTTGTTGAGAAAATATATCTTCCATGTTTTTAGAAATTGCTACCGAAAAAATAAAATATAGGGTCTTGGATGTGTTCAGGCAGTGTTATGTAGTCAATCTGATCATCCAGACAGAAATGATAGTGTGTTCTGTCAGCATTTAGAAACACTTTGGGCATTTGGAATATGCAGTAAATGTCAAAATTTTTTGGAAGTTAATACTGTTCTTAGCCCCCTTTTTTTCCCCTTCTATTTTAGATGTTTAAAAACAATTGGAGAGTCAAGTGATAGATACATACATAACAAGCGAAGAAGTAAAGACCTTTGGTTGTTTAGGACTGACTTCACTAAAGATGTCTCGATTACAGAGAGCGAGAGTATCTTCAGAACCTGAAATTGTTTTACTAGAGTGTGTAATGGGGAGGGATTTCCTACATGGGTGCATTTTTCACTCTTTGATTTTGACAGCTCTCTTCATTGAGCAGAAGTGTTGGTTTTAAGACAGTACTTCACAGCTACTTCTGTAAACTGAGACTTTATGTTGTGGTTTTTTTTTTCAGGAGCACATTTCTAGTCAAAACTCAGAGCTAAGTAATGCAGCATTACAGGCATTGGGATTCTGTGTTTTTAATTCAAGTATTACATCTCAGTTATCTGGTAAGCAAACAAATGTCAGTGTGAATGCTGGCTGTGTATATGTGTGTCTATATATATACATTAGAGTTCTTTTTTTATGTCTTTGACAAAATTAAAGTATATACTAACAAAGTTTCCAGTTCCCACGTGGTGCGGTGGTTTTTTCCCTAGTATGAGCAGTGTGATGTTCATTAATTCCATCTTGTACAAAAAAAAGGGACTTTTTTTCACACTGTTACACTAAATACTGTTTTACTAACTTATACTTTTATTAAACGCTTTGGTACCAGTTACGTACTGTAATTCATTTTGTGGAACTAGTAATCAAAAAAAATGTCCACGTGTAAAAAAGAATGAAGCATGCTTTTTTGTCTGTAGAATTTTGGGGATGCATACTACAGCTTTTCAGTGTTGTCCAGCTTTTTCCTGGTGATTCCTGGTTGTTACGCTAGATAATAGAATGGTTTGGGTTAGAGGGGACCTTTAAAGGTCATCTATTCCAACCCAACGTATTGTGCTGGTAAATATTTCAAATTAAACTAATTGAAAGTGATCCATAATTTTATGACCTACATTCCTAGAAAGTGCTAAATGCCTTTAACAAAAACTTTGGCTGCTGAACACTTGTGGCTATGCGTGGAGGTAAAACCACTGGAGTTTGTTAGTAGGGGAGAGCTAGTGTCCAAGCTGGCCGGTCCCCGGCGTGTCTGTTACATGTCCCAAGGTGCAGACACATCCAGTTGCAATAACAGGGTCAGAAGCTGCTCAGTGTCAGCTGTCCTGGTGTGTGTGTGTGTGTGGGTGGGTGGGTGTGTGTGTGTGTGTCAGGTTGGGTGGGGTGGAAGGTGTTTGAACTAAGGTTGCTTTTTGTGGGCACAGAAGGAAGTGCCATGGGATTTGGCTGTTGGGTGGTGCCTTGATGGTGCAAACGGCGTAGTGTCAATTATTCCTTCTTCTAAGAAGTGTTAAATAATCTTAGATAAATGTTCTGCAATGAGCTTTATTAGAGAGGAACTTCACCTCAGGCAAGACTGAACAAAATCATATGTGTGGATGAGTAGAGAGCGTTTTTCCATTGACTGCCGTTCTGTTGAAATTTGATGTGTGTTTTTTTTTTTAGTTGTTCTACTCAATTTTTCAGTGTATCCTGCTTTCCTATTATGCAGTACTGAGCCTGATTTCCAATGAGAATGAGGCATTTATAATGGCTGTGTGGTCCCTCTCCCCTGTAACTTTTTTTAACCAGTTGATAAATTACAGTCAATTTTGTTAGAGAATGTCAGGCTTCAGAAATAATTAAGTCCTGAAAACAATGGAGAGTTAAGGAGAGAGGACAAAAAGCACGTGTGATTGAGGAAAGGACTGTATGTGATTGTTTCTCGGATAGTGAGATCATTTAGCCACAAAACCCAAATTTGTAAGAAAACAGGCTTTGCTTGGAATTTTAAAGGAATGCGTGATTTCTCCATCTGTCTTCCTAATTGCATGTAAGTCCTGTGTCAGCCTTATTCTTTTTTGTGTAATAAGCTTGTGTTTACTTCAGTTGCAGCTTTACCACCCTCTAATAATAAAATCTCTTGTAGACCCTAAAATGAATTTCTGTATGTCACCATAGTAGTGCTGCTAAATTCACTTGAAATGCAAGAAATTTAGGATAATTAAATACTTAATCTTTAGCTGTAGTGTTTTTAGGTTAAATTGTTTTATGGTTTATAGAGGTAATGCAGATGTACTACATTATGTTAATATACAGAGACTATTATTTTGAGCTTTTTTGCTAGTTTATTTTGAGAGAAATTTCCAAAAATTGTCTAAGATGTTATGCAGAATGCTTAAGACATTAAATCATGTCCATTGGGACTTCCAGTTGAATGGATGTTTAGTAATGTTAACTGAGCAAAGTGACCCGATTAGAAGTGTATAACCAGAATTTGAGTGCTGTGCATTCTGCTTTCAGCAACTGAAATACGAGGCTTGCTTTCAACGGTGAACAGTGTTGCTGTAAAAACTTCAGACAAAAACACTCGCACTCGGGCACTTTGGGTGATATCTAAACAGGCGTTTCCTTCTGAAATTGTTAAAGAAGAGGTAAGTTTCTTTTTGTGTGTGTGTGTGTGTGTGGCCTGATTTCCTAGAGAGATGAGGCTTGTGCAATGTCTTTCGGTCACTTCACTTTTGAGCTGAAGATGGTTTTCCATCAAATTTGACAGCTAAGTATAGGGCTTAAGTTCTTGGAAAAATTGTAAGGACAGCTACAAAGGGGAAAGGGCCAACAAATTATTGCTCTCTTAAGTGAGAAACTGCAACCTGAGCATTTCTGTTAGATACCAGAGAAGCAGAATAGAGGAGAGAGATTGTGAATACTCCAGTTTGGTCAGGCTAACCTTAAAACTAGACTGAGCATAATCCAAACACCAGATGCAGTTCTGGGAAACAAAATTTCATAATTCCAGCTCCTCATGGAAATACTTGTATCTGGGTGCTCACTCTAATGTTCTTCTCTTACTCCCTCAGGTGTCCAGTATTATTTCTACTCTGGAAACGATACTTACTAAAGGAGATGTACAGTCTATGGTGGTTGAATATGAAGCACTGAATGTTGTTATACGGTACGTGCACTGCAAGATTAAATTGTTAAAATGAATACTTAATTTCTGGGGGAAACTACTGAAACAAGTCTTAGTGGCACTAAGTATTCTAAAGAAAACTTTTCTTGAATGCTCTTTGACTTGTTCAGTATGTTCAAGACTCTCTTCCACAGTGTTTTGTATTGCAGTCAGTAGAACAGAATGAAATTGTGTGATCTTCTGTTTCTGTCTCTTTGCCAGTGGTTCTCCTGAACAGTTTCATTTGCAAAATCTTCCTGTAATGATTGATAATAATGACAGTTGATTCTGACACAGAAAGTAGTCCATATTTAGATAAACATTCATTGCTTTAATTTTAATGGCTTATTAGAAATAATTTCCAAAATTTTGTGTGCGCTTCAGAAGTCATGTTGCATTCTAGCTTTCTTTTTCAGAACCTACCCGACTGAGAAATTCTCAGCTGTTACATGAGGTTTTTATTTTAAAATATCTCTGGTGCTTTACAAATTTTACTGCAATTAGTCTCAACGCTGCTGAGGGTACCTTTTAATTCCAAAGGTGACCTTCTAAGACCAATATCAGGAATGCATTGTTTTGGTCAGCAGTGCTAGAATAGTCAAATTTTATCTTCATTTAGTATTAATTTATTTTTTTATCAAATACATTGAGCTTATATCCTTACTGTTAAGTATTCCCTTAAATTTTTGCATCTGGTTTGAACTGAAAATCCATTTTAAAGCAAAGTAGTTCAGTGATTATCTGCTTCTTATCTCTGTTCTAGTACATCCTTTTTCTGTAGCAGAGAAGTTGTATATTATTATTTACTTAGTATTTAGCAACTTCTTGCATTTGGCTAATTGTACATTAATTCCTCTTTTGTAAATCTGAGACTGTAGACAATTGTTTCTGGAAAATTAGGTATTTTATTAAGTGGTTTCTTCTATATGTGTGTATATATAAAGGATAATTTTGTGTTTATCAAAAAGAACGTAGCTATCCTTAAGAGCAAAGCTGTATCTGAAAATAATCTATAAACAGGTACTGGGTCTCAGGCTGATTGACAGTGGTAAGACAGTGCTCTTCTGAAGCCAGGCTGCTGACAGATGTAATGGAAAACTGTTCTCTTAAGAAGTGCCTGTCCTCTGGCTTTCATAAAATTATTTGCAAGGCAGTCGTCTTCCTTGGTACAGCAAGCCCTTCATAAGATGTGGTGATGGGGATTTGACATACCTGCACCGAAGAGGAGATTAGCAAATTTTCATGACTTAGAGACATCTGGTTTGAATATACCCCATTTCTGAAAGTCTCCTTGGCTTCTGTGTGGGATGGTGTAAATGTCATCCTGTGCCCTAGTGACTTGGTAATGGAGGGATAAGATAAGAACCCTGGACTAGGCTAATGTACAGTGAGTCTGTGCAAACCTGTGCTGCTTCAGGGTGTCGTAAAACTCATGGGTTGAGATAATAGGACAGAAAAGTAAGAAAATAATGGTGGTAGTAGTAATAATAATACAAGAATCAGAATATACAGAGCAAGTGATGCAGGATGCATTGCTCACCGCCTGCTGACCGATGCCCGGCCAGCTCCTGAGCAGCAGCCCCCGGCCAGCTCTTGCCCAGTTTCTATACTGGGCATGACTCCCTGGGGTGTGGAGTATCCCTCTGGGCAGCTGGGGTCAGCTGTCCCGGCTGTGTCCCCCCCTCAGCTGCTTGTGCCCCCCCAGCCTCCCCTGGCAGGGCATGAGAAGCTGCAAAGTCCTTGGCTGGGTCTAAACAGAGCTCAGCAACAACCGAAACAGGGGTGTGTTATCAGCGTTGGTCTCCTCTTAAATCCAAAACACGGCGCTGTACCAGCTACTAGAAGGAAAATTAATTCTGTTCCACCAAAACCAGGACACAGGGTTTGACCTGTTTTTCAAAAGCAGGCATATATTGGTTTTGGCACACATGGCCTGTGGGAGCTGGTGTGGACTGCCAAGAACACACAAGGGATGGTTAAGATGCAAACTTTGTGCTTGGTCACTCATAAGGAAGTGATGATGTGGGTTTTTGTTCAGGCTCTCAGTTGTCTCATTTGCCTGAGAAGGTGTGCTAGAATGGAAAGGACAAATGTAAATGCCACTTTGTTCTGCTTTTCGAGAGGTTTAAGTGAACTGTCAAAATATAATTTTTTAGAAAAATTAAAAAATTGTTTATAATTGCTTCTGGTAAATCATGTTGAATTAAACATGTCTGTTGGGAATTTTTAATACCTATATTTATTCTTCTGGATCTAGCTTAATGGAGCAGACTCCAGCCCAGATGGGAGAAGAGGCTGTGAGGTGGGCAAAACTGATCATCCCTCTGGTCGTCCACTCCGCTCACAAGGTGCAGTTACGAGGTGCCACTGCTCTGGAGATGGGCATGCCACTGCTCCTCCAGAAACAGCAGGAGGTGGCGGCCATCACCGAGCACCTCATGACCACAGTAAGTGGCAGTGCTGGGCCTCTTTTTCCTAGAGGCAACAGTTGGTTAGCTGGAGGGTTTTATTCTTTTATTTCCGGTCTAGATAGTGGCAGCAAAAAGCTGCTGTGTGTTGACAGCAACTGCTTGATGACAGCAATTTCAACAGAAAAATCAGTGTAACAGCAATGTAAATACAGGACCACTGTAAAAACAGTAAGTTTCTGACAAGAATCATTGATCATAAAATAACATGCCTTTTTTTAAATGACCTTGAAGCACCTGTCTTGATAGCATTAACTCATACAATATCATAAAACTCATAAAATATCATAATGTCATAATTTTACTGTCTCTTACAAGAGAATTTGCTTACCAAATGTTGTCGTTTAACCCCAGCCGGCAACTAAGCACAGTGTAGCTGCTGGCTCACTCCTTGCACCTGATGGGATGGTGAGGAGAACTGGGAGGGAGAAAAAAGTAAAACTTGTGGGTTGAAATAAAAACAGTTTAATAATTGAAATAAAATATTATAATAATTATTATTGTAATGAAAAGGAAGATAACAAAAAGAGAAACCCCAAGAAAGACAAGTGATGCACAGTGCAGTTGCTCACCACCTGCTGACTGATGCCCAAGCAGTGATCTCCCCCCACCAGCCAACTCCCCCCAGTTTCTGTACTGGGCATGCTGTCCTATAGTATGGAGTAGCCCTTTGGCTCTTTGAGGCTGGCTGTGCTCCTTCCCCACATCTTGTACAACTGCTCACTGGCAGAGCACGGGGAACTGGAAAGTCCTTGACTTAGGATAAGCACTGCTTAGCAACAACTAAACCATCCGTGTGTTATCAGCATTATTCTCACACTGAATCCAAAACACAGCACTGTACCAGCTACTGGGAAGATTAACTCTCTCCCAGCCAAAAACAAGGACACTGAACTAGAATCAGCAGAACTTGGTGTGGCAGTAACTCACACCATCTAGCTTAGCTTCCTGCTCAGAACAGGGCTAGCTTCAAAGTTAAAGCTGGAGTCGCCTTGTCCAGTTGAGGTTTGAACACATTAAAGAGCAGTTGTTCTACACTACAGCCAGTCTGGGCAGTTTGTTCCAGTGCTTAGCCACCCTCCTAGTAAAAATAAGATTTGCTTTGTTGAAACTTGTGTCTGTTGCCTCCAGTCTTTTCTTTCAGTGCTTCTCTGCAGCAGCTGTCTTCCTTATAATCCAGCTATAGCAGAAGACTGCAGTTATGTTCCCTCCCACACCAGACTCAAGAAGCCTGGCTCTTCTGTTATGAGCTCTGTCCCTTAACCGTCTTAGTGGTGACCCTCTGCTGGATTCACTCCAGTTTGCCAGTAGCTCTGCTACTTCCATGCCCGAAGTTTGGTACAGTATTCCAGGCATGATATGCCGAGTACTAAGCAGAGGAGTTGGGTTTCTTCACTTGTTTCTTGTGCTTTGCTAGTACAGTCCAGTATGCAGGAGCACGTTCCTGATTTAGGAGCTGGGGGACAAGAATTTTAATGTTCTTTTCTGCTTCCCATCCCCCTCAATTATCAGTTGTGTTAAATTGCACCAGCCCTTGTTGACGCACCAATTGATGTGTAAATCAGACACATTACCTGGGTTGTGAACTGCTAACCACCAGCCTTTGAGCCTGACAGTCCAACCACACACCTTGTAATCTAATGAGTCTGTATCTCCCCTGTTGGGCTGCAAAGATGCTAAGAGGAGACTATCAAAAGCCTTGCTGAACTTGGAGTGGAGAACATCTGCACTCCCTGCATCTGCAAAACCAGGCATTTCCTCATAAAAGTCAGTCAGATTGGAAAAGCAGCTTTTGCTCATGGTAAAACATGCTGGCTTTCTTGCCATTCCACATGCCTAGAAATGGCTTCCATGGGAACTTGCAGCATAATTTTTCCAGGAACGGGTGTGAGATTGGCTAGCCTGTAGTTCCCCAGATCCTCTCTTCTGCATGGTGGTGGTTTGTGGTGTTTTTTTGGAAGCTGGCATGAAATTTGTTTTGCCCTACCCTGTCATTGATTCTCCACCAGTTAGTGACCTCTCAAGAAAAAAGTGTGGCCTTATTGTGTCGTTGGCCTTCTCCTTCAGCATCTTTGGATACACCCTGTAGAGTTTGATGGATTTGTGTATGTCAGATTTATGTGGTCCCCAACTCAGTTCTTCTATACCATGGTCTAGCATAAAGGACACAGCCAGCATCAAGATAAACCAATAACCAAATTGTATTTGATACAAAAGGGTCAGTACATGGCTGAGCACTGGGAGTATAAACAAGTCAGTCAGGTTATACATAATCGACATCAATCCCACTGACCCCAACAATGACACCACACGACCAACAATGGGTGGGATAAACGGTGACATGCAGTCTCCCATAGAAGGGATGGGAGCAACCAGGTCAACAAGCCAAACACATCAGACCAAGGAAGCCACATACTGAATCCCTCCACTGCCCGCGTTTACAAAAGCCAGACCTGAGTGGAGCCCAGTCCCAGGGAGGCGGGAGGTCCTTCCCCAACAGGGAACTCTGCCCAGGGCACCCCCCTCGCACACAGACACTGCCCCTCCTGCGAGGGGTCCCGGCTGTTATCCCTGCGTGGGACACCTGACCTTGGGTTACTCCCTGCGGGACCCCTGGGGCTCCTTTACCCAATGGCTCTGTCTGCCAGGCCAGAGGGAAGTTTAAAGGCAAACTCACCCCCCCCTTTGGGAAGGGCTGGGGGATCACCCAGATGTCAGCCTGAATTTGGGGTTGGGGTTGAAACCCCAGCATTTCACATGGGTAGTACCTGTGTCCCCAGCAACAGAGGGAATGGGAGACCAATGTTGGAGGCCTGAGAGTAAAGACAGAGGCAAGAAAGGCATTGAGTACCTCAGCATTTTCTGTGTCCATAAAAGATTTCTCACCCTATTCAGCAACAGCCCCCTTGGTCTTTTTGATGAAGCTTTTCCTGTTCCCCTTCACTTTTCGAACTGTAGGTGTATTTATTTTGCCTGAAGTTAAGTATGTTTATGAAAAAACCCAAACAAACAAGGTGGGTTTTAGGGTCACAGTCTGTTTTGACTTGAAGTGGAAGAGACTACAAGTATTTAAGGAAGTGGATTTTGATTTGTTGGCTGCCATTATCAGAATAATTGAAACCAACCATAAACTTCAACTTAGAAGATAATCAGATGGTAGCAACATTTGACTGTTTTACCAGCAAATGTTCTGTGGTACAGAATTAAATCCTTCTGGTCTAGAAATAGCATAGTTCTGGGTTGGTTGTATCTCTAGACACTGGTATGAGTGTGGAGTTTTTAGAATACTTGGAATATGTTTCTTGTAGAAATTATGTTTCTTTCTCCCCGCAGAAATTAATTTCAGAACTTCAAAAATTGATTTCTACAAAAAATGAAACTTATGTCTTAAAATTATGGCCACTGTTTGTCAAATTACTTGGAAAGGTAAGCAGAAAAGCAGTTAAGTTTTACAATCATTAATCTTTAGGGAAGGAATTTTTGACAACATAAATATCTTAATTCTGAACTTCTGTGTCTTCAGACTCTGCATCGTAGTGGCAGTTTTATCAACTCATTGCTGCAACTGGAGGAACTTGGATTTCGTAGTGGCTCACCAGTGGTAAAGAAAATAGCCTTCATTGCATGGAAGAGTCTAATAGATAATTTTGCTCTAAATCCAGGTAGACTAAAAAAAAGTTAACCTGAATTGTTTTGACTGCTGTCACTTTACATAACTGGAAGAGAGTATTCTGTCTTTATAGTGGTCAATACTACGGTACGTACCACTGGATATACACATAGTGTATCTGTGGTATATATGTAGCAGTGTATATATATGCATACTGGTATATAGTGTGTGCATGGACATAACTAAAATTCAAGTTGTGGGGGTTTTTTAAGGAAAAGTGACAGTTTGATCAGTAGTTGGATCTTAATTTTTCTGCTAGGAGAAATGACTAGAATAAAAATCAACAAACCTTTGTTTTGTAATGCTTTAATTGATCCAAACAGCAATGAAATAGAGAATAAAACACGCGGTAGATCTTATTTTGGACTGTGTGGATTAATTGGAGAAGAGCAATGCGTCAGGATTCTAGAGGTGTTAAAAAAATGTTGCTTTAAAAATTTAAGCAAGACCTGAACAAGTCTAGCCTGTGTTGAAACACACAGTATTCATTTTTTACCTTGATTATGCTTCTCCTTACTGCATGTTCTGAAGAGAAAGCTAAATGTGGACGTTTAAGTTAAATTCAGCTAAACTAAGAAACAAATTAAAATGACAGTTTATCATTTATTCTGATAGTGGTTTCCCATAAACTAATTAACAAAGATCTGATTCTACCAGAAGGTAAAATCCACGGCACAGCTGGTGTTCCCTGTGTGTGTTCCAGTCTGGCTAAGAACAGTTCCCTGCTGCAAAAGCAGCCTGTCAGCAGTTCCATAGGAATTGTGATGCTTCTGAGCTGGTGAAAAGTGTTTTCTTCAAACACTTGCATAGGCTTGAGCAAACTTCTGTCCAGACATACTTTGCTATTTCTACTCCAGTAGGTCCTCTGTGGCCCCAGAATACTCTATTTAAAACCTTTGGTTCTCATGCAGTGGCAATGCACATACATGTTACACGTTTGGTTTTTCTTTTACTGTGGCAGATAGGACTCTCTAACATAGCAAGCAAGAGTCTGTTTCCTTCTGGTTTATGTTGGTATTCAGTAGATTTCATTTCAGTCTTGCTATTGGAAAGAAGTATTTGCCATTTCCAGGGTTCTAGACAACAATTAAAGCAGTAAAATAGCCTGAAATGTTGGTGCATTCAATATATATTTCAGTTTCACAAATTGTCATTAATTGAATTTTATGCTAAAATACATTAAGAAAAAAAAAAACAGTTTAAAAATTTTCCTTTTTTGTTGTTCTGGGATTTAATTATTTGTGTTGCTTAAAAAAAATGTGCTTTTTTTTTGGTCTTCAAGATATATTGTGCAGTGCTAAGAGGCTGAAATTGTTAATGCAGCCACTGAGCTCAATCCATGTGAGAACAGAGGCTTTGGCACTGACAAAGCTGGAGGTCTGGTGGTATTTACTCATGAGGCTGGGACAGCAGCTGCCTGCCAACTTTGAACAGGTAACACAGCTGAAAATACTTGTAGCATAATTGCTGAGCCTCTGTTGAGTGTGTGAAGCCAAGTCCCCTCTTTGTTACCATAACTTGTTCTGTACCTGCTTTGTCCTTCTCTAGCTGCTTATTAAAATAAAACTGTATTAAGAAAATGAATCTCCCTTGTGTATTTGTGTGCTCTGTGTGTGTATTACATATAGGAGGAGCACTTGGGACTGTATGTGCTGCAATCTGTTTAAAGTTCCAAAAGATTTGAGAGTCATTTGAGCATCTCGGTGAAAATGCCCTGTGAGCGCACAGCAGGAGTAAACATAAACACATTGTATAAGGATTGCTTTGTCCTTTCACTGTGCAGGTGTACACTTTGGAAAGTCTAGGAAAAAGAAAATCACAAAATATTTTGTAAGGTGCATACAGAGAAGAATGATGCGGGTGTTTTGTTACTACTCGCGTTATAACTGGAATGAACGTAATGTTAGGGTTCTGAATTTCATTGAACTTGAGGATGCGAGGAGTAAAGAGGGGGGAAAAAATTACCTTTTTAGATACAGTACAGCTGGATCATTCTAACACGAGTTTTTCTTTAACCATTTCTAATTCATGTATTGGCATGCCTATTTTATACATCCTCTTAAAATTACTGTTATAAGTACCCAGAAACTGAAACACCAGTGCTGTGAACAGTACAGTCAGTGATATTTGAAATGTATGGTTGTGTGTGTCTTATGGCTTATATGCATCCTACCTGTTTTCACTGAGGTTTGCTATCTTTGCAGGTTTGTGTACCGTTAATCCAAAGTACTTTAAGTCTAGATTCTTACGCTGCCTTGCAAGGAACTCCCTCGCGTTTACCACCCAACCAAAGTTTAGCCTCGGCAACTGCGGCACAGAAATCAGGTAAAAAGCACAAACTTTTTTCCAGCTATGTTCTAGATGTAGAAAGTAATCTCTTTTATTGAACGTGTTTATGCTTTTTCATTTGAAATGTGTTATTATTGAAAACAATAAGTTTTATGCATGTTCATTTGAGAGCTCAGAAATAGTGATTTACGTTGCATAAAATTGGGCAGTTGTAGTCTGTTTCAAGTTTAAAAAATTGTGCTAAAAAATTATGTTGCGGACCAGTTTTATTGTTGTGGCTTAACCCCAGCTGGCAGCTAAGCCCCACATAGCTTCTTGATCACTGTCCCCTGCCAATGGAATGAGGGAGAGAATTGGAGGGGAAAGTAAAACTCATGGGTTGAGATAAACAGCTTAATAGGACAGAAAAGGAAGAAAATTATAATGGTGGTAGTAGTAATAATAATAATAATACAAGAATCAGAATACACAGAGCAAGTGATACAGGATGCGTTGCTCACCGCCTGCTGACCGATGCCCGGCCAGCTCCTGAGCAGCAGCCCCCGGCCAGCTCTCGCCCAGTTTCTATACTGGGCATGACTCCCTGGGGTATGGAGTATCCCTCTGGGCAGCTGGGGTCAGCTGTCCCGGCTGTGTCCTCCCCCCAGCTCCTTGTGCCCCCCCCCAGCCTCCCCTGGCAGGGCATGAGAAGCTGCAAAGTCCTTGGCTGGGTCTAAACAGAACTCAGCAACAACCGAAACAGGGGTGTGTTATCAGCGTTGGTCTCCTCTTAAATCCAAAACACGGCGCTGTACCAGCTACTAGGAAGAAAATTAATTCTGTTCCACCAAAACCAGGACAGATGTCCTGAATTGCATTTGCTTTTGCAAGGGAGCTTTAGTTTGAAACTTAGCACACAGATGAATACATGAAAAACTATTCATAGATACCATTCTCATTTCTGTAGCATTTTTAGTTTCTGCCTGAATGCTACCCAGTGATGAGAATGCACCAATAATATTGGTACTTTAAATACATGTGAAATCACACCTACTTGAGCTTTACCTCCAAATGCCTGAGATAAGGAACTGCATCTTTTTCTTCTCTGCATGGAAAGCCTAGAAAATCTAGTCTGCTGTGGTTAGAAGCCTTATATATGTTGTGGAAGTGTCCTAGATGTGTAGATCTTCCTTTTGTTCCCATCTTAAAATTCATCTTAGTTCGGTGAGATCAACTGAGGTTGGTCAAAATGAGACCTCTTGAACCTGTGTTGTGTGTAAAAGCTTCTAAGGGAAACTGATTCACAGCAGCAGAGTTACTATTTAACTAATACATAGTGTAGCATGTAACTTGCTCTCTGGCCACAACTTCTGTGGAGACTTCTGTTGCCAGAGTGAAGTTTGGCATCTGAGGCTTTGCAGTCTTTGGAAGATATTTATACTTTCCACATACGTGGTTATGACTGTGATGTTAAGCCCTACTTAATAGTAGGAGTGTGTGCCAGATCTCCGACTGTCAGAGGTCCCTTTTAGCCAATGCTATTCTAGAATTTTTTTTTCATGTTAACTTTGGTCTGTTGTATCTTTCCTTTCACTTGATTGCAGGTGAACTGTGAGATGATGTAATTTTTCTCCCCTCAGGTCCTTACCCGTTTGCAAGTCCAGTCACGCCACGGATGAACTTGAATTCTAGCGTGACAGGAACGGTGGTGATTCCTTCCATTCAGCTTTTGGGAATCGAAATGCTGCTTCACTTCTTGATGGGACCAGAAGTTTTAGATTTTGCTAAGCAAAACAAACTTGTACTTAGTTTAGGTATACAAGTTATATTTTTAAGTACTTTTGCATAATCTGAAATTGCCAGTTTTGTTGGATTTAAATAGATATCCATTAGAATGAAATGCTTTAAACGTTTAAAACTGTTGTTACTTTAATATTAAAAGTTGCGTTTTTGTTGAATGCTCTAAGTATGCTTATATACTTGATTATTTTTAAAGCTTTTCTTACCACTAGTCTGCAAAATAACAGATTTATGGAACATGGCTTTTTTTTGTTGTTGTTTTCCTAGAGCCTCTCCAGTACCCCCTGATCAGTAGCCCTTCTTTTTTTTGTAAGCATGCCAGCATGCTTATAAATGCAGTTCAGGATGGCTTTATTGCAATTGGAAAAGAAGTTCCTGGTAAGAATTCAGTGCTGAAATTTGATTTCTTTTCTGGGAAATAAAGTGGGAAAGGGAAATATAAGAAGAAATAACCACTTTCTGTAGTACTCCAGTGTTAAATAGAACTGGTCTGGCTTGGTTTAAAAGCTGGCTTATGTGAAAGCGTTGTTTAACACAGTTTGTGTTTTAACTGCAGTTCCTGTTTAATGTTTTTATTACAAACTGAATAAAATTATTATGCTGTCTTGTAGATTGTATGCTGAATGTTATATGGAAGGACATAAATGGATATGTAAAGACAGCTATTGAATCAGGTAAAAAGTGTCAACTTTTTTTGTCATTGCTGACCAGTTAGAGATGGTTGTTTGGGTTTTTTAAGGCCAGACCTCAAGTAGTATTTGCTTCATTGCTAGTAAACCTTGAGTTTAGGCATCATCAGTAGTTCTTTTTGAAGCAGCAACTGGTATTTTTTATGATGCCTACATCTTTATGTGACAGATAAGAAATCACAGTGATCTGATCCAGTGATGCTACTAGAGGAGGCACAGTAGCATATGTCTCAGGTGCATTGCATGTAGCAGTGAGAGAGATATTAAAGCACTTTAACTGCTTTTCTTGCTGCAGAAATCTTTTCATTTAAAAAAAAACAAAACAAAACCAACAAACAAACAAACCTCATCTCAAGTCTTTAAGAAACTGAGACATTCAGTGTATTACTCAAATTAGTGTAAAGTCTTTGTTCTGTGACTATGGCTACCTTTTTTTCTTTATTTCATAGTCAAGTATAGTGTCATCACAGATGTATAGAAAGAAGTTGTTTCCTAGTTAAAAAATATTAATTACTCTCTAAAGGCTTTGAAGTCCAGAATAATCTTAATAATGAAATCTTGCATGTTAAAAGATCTAACTGACAAGCATAAGAGAAGTGCATTGCTTGCATGAATGCAAAATTTCACAGGTTTTTTTAGCACATCAAAGTTAATGTTGTTAATGATGCAAAGGTGTATCTACTTTATTAACAAAACTTAGGGTTTTTTTAACTTTGAAGTTTCAGTTATACTGTTCTTCAGAGCAGAGACTTGGTATCTGAATCTGTTAAGTATTTGGTATATGTTTATAAGTATATACAGAATTTTTTTTGATCTTGCAGTACATCGCAGTACTTAAAGTTCACAGTGATGGTCAGAGTGGCCATTATTTTCTTCTGCTCTGACTGTAGATATGCTTTATTCTAGGAAATAAAAAAGAAAAGCAAGGATCAGAAATACTGACTATGTTGCTCCAGGCCTTAAAAAACACTGTTAAATCAAATTCCCTTCCTGTGCAGAAAGTACTGGTAAGTTGGGTGGGTTAGTCTGTTTTTTAAAATCTCATTTCTTTTTCATAGTCTGGATTCTGACTGGTAGCAGCTTTTTGTCTAATTTAACAGTCTCTTTAAATGGTCTTTTTAAAAAAGACAACTTCTTTGGTGTAAACTAAGTTACACACTTCTCAGCAGATGGCCTAGTGTTGCCTAAGGGTTTCTTTCTTTAAAAGTGTTTTTCAGATTTATCAGCAATGCCCACAGAATTGTATATGTGGTTCTACTGGAACCTTCTATTACAAAGCACAGTTACTTTTATGATGCTTTTTTTTTTTACTAAAGGGAAGCAATTGTTACAGTTTTGCTTTTATTTCTGATGTAACTTAAAATATCAGAGCCTTTAGAAAAAAATATTTACATGCATTTTCTTCTTTTCTCCTCCTTAGTCCCTCATTGATATTACTGTTAAAGAGTTGCCTCCAAAAGTATTGGGATCACCTGCTTATCAGGTTGCTGATATGGATCTTTTAAATGTAAGTCTGAATTAATTCTAGAACTTTTTATTTATGCTGAAAGGTATTGGGATGTCATATTTTCAGAGAGGTACAGAGCACTTCATAAGTGAGATCCAGATCTTTCAGGAAATCACAATATTCAGCGTTCCAGAATGCAGACTTTGTTTCCAGCCCTCGCTTCTAATGAGTAATTTAACTAACTGAAAAGGGATACGCTGAAAGTGCTGTAATAAGGAAAGAGATTTCTCTTTCTCATCATCAGGTCATGATATAAAATACAGAGTTGCAGATACTTTGCAAGGTGAATGCACAGTCAAACTGTAGTACTGCTATATACTGAAAACTGATGTTTTGGGGAAATGTTCTGAAATGAATAGAAGGAAGTAAAGATGGAAAGCATTTCTCCTCAGGAAAAATTAAATGCACAGAAGCAAAGCAGAGAGTTTCATGCTAAACAGCATTATTTCAGAGAAAGTTCATAGTGAAGTCATAGTGAACTAAAGGCCAAAGCCTGTTGCAGAAAGGGGTGATATTCTTTAGCAGTGAGAACTACTCTGTTCTGCTTCAGTCCTTGTGGGCCTTGACGGGAGTGCTGTGCTGTGTGCTGCACTGGAAGGCAGAAACAGATGATAGCAATCTAGAAAATAACCATAAAAATAACTTGTGAGGAAAAGTTGAAATGACTCGTATGTTTTGTTTGGGTGGAGCAGACTGAGTAGGAGCAGTTAAATTAGAAGTTTAAAGGGTAGTTTAGAGACATTGAGAATTGGGTGATGATCAGCTCTTCTGCATCCACCAGCAGACAGGGAGCAACTTGTTCATTTTGCAGCAGTGGACACAGAGCTTTCTAGCCTATGAGGGTAGCTAAACGTTTACACAGTTAGCCAGGGAATACAGGGAATTCATTTGGAGGCTTTTAAAAGTAGACAGATATCTGTGAGAGACAACCTAAGTGTAAGCAAATGCTTTGACTCAAGTGAGTAGTAAAAACATTGTCTACCAGCACTGGTTTAAGAGCTCAACTCTCAAAATCCCTCCCAACTTTTCTTCCTCCTGAGTGTTTTATTTACATTTGGAGGCTTTCCCTGACTTGGGTACAAGAGTGAAAATTTTATTAGGATGGGTGAAGTTTTTATTGCCAGATATTAAGTGCATTTTGTTAAATACTTTCACGTTAGCAAACCTGAAATACTTGTGATAGGTTTTAACGGAGGTTGTCCAAAAGATGTTGTGCTGAAACCTTGAAATAAGCAAATCTTGGGTTGCTCCATCTTGTTCCAGGTGTCATAATTTACATTGATTGTATTGGGTACACCTGCCTTACTGTGGGGCATGCAGTTTCAAGGCAATACTAAGTGCTGTAAAACTCACAACCTTTAAAACAGAAGGTTTTTTGCTTCATCTATAGAATAATTGGTATTCTGCTGAAGCACTAGGATCTAGCAGAAGCTTAGGTTTCCAGCTTTCCCTCTCGTTTCTATTTTGAAGGGTTAGAATTTACAATTTCTGGCTTAGAGTTAAATATATAGATATACATGTGAGGCAGTCATTTCATCTGATCAATGTATATGTTGTTTTGACCTTTTAAACTTCTCTTACAAGGGAACACCGGCCTTGTTCTTAATCCAGCTGCCTTTCCATGGTGACATCTTGGAATGCTGTGTAACAGATGAGAGGTAGGTGGTGGTGGTTGTTTAGAATGAGCTTCCTGTAGGCGACTTCATAGAAGTTTTTCTTAACTTCAGCTGAAAAAAGTATCTTACCTATTTAACTTTCTTCCCTAGATTCTTTGTAATTCTAGAAACGCTTGTGGGCTATGTTTTATCTGGGCCTACGTCTCCACTGGCTTTCAGTGAATCTGTGATCTGCATTATTAATCAGAGTGCAAAGCAAGTAGGAAATAAGGAGCATCTCTGGAGAATGTGGAGCATTGTTGTTAATCCACTAACCGACTGGATTAATCAGGTATAGTGCATTTTGTTCTCTTCCCCAACCCTGTTCCCCCCCCCCCAAAAAGGAAAACTTTGTGCTGATCTTTTATCTTAATGCATTTTCAGGAATTACATGTCTTGAAATGGTAGTAAAATTAAATAAGCCTTGGTAGTGTTTGTGAAACTGGAATGTTTGCAGCATTTTTTTTTTAAAAAAAAAAGAGTCCCTGACTGGAGTATGCACATTTGTGGTGAGGTAGGATGAAGGGTAGTAGAGGGATCCATAGTGTGGTTTATCGTGGTTTTGTCAGTGAGTCTGCTCTTAAGTACAGTGTTCAGTATAGTGTTGGGAATGGTTTTCTCCTTTTTTAAACATTATAAATATGTTTATAGATGTGCTTCAAGCCTTCATGCCTTGGCATAGTCTTGCTACAAAGGATGGAAACTTGTCTTACAGGACTTACTAGGTTTTAAATACTAAGGGGCTTGTTTACTTTACATGAAAAGATAATAAATACCAAGTTGTGATGTTTAAGACATTATTAGAACAGTGTTTCTTACTAGTGTTGGACTTCTTGGTTGGAAGCCCTAATGACAACCATATAAACCGTAATATTCCACACATTCTGCACGTTGGTCACGAGAATTACAGAGACTGGAATGTAGGAGTTGGTGATCATTGTGTAACCGTTGGACCTAAAAATCTTAGAGTTTATGAAGAAAGTTTTAGGTGCTTTAAGTAGGTTGCTGTCATCACTTCAACTGAAATAAGTAAAAAAAATACATCAGACATTTTCTAACTGTTTTTTTAATTGAAATTTTGGAATTTGGAAACAGTGCTTTTTATCTCTTTAGTAGCATCAGCCTGAACTCTCAAAAGAAGTGAGAATAGCTAATTTCCAAGTGCCGCTGGCGATTTAGCTTGCACAGTTCTTACGTACACTGTAAATGTATTTAGAACAGCCTCGTTTGTAATCTAAATTTAGCGGCTTTGTTAATCAGAAACTTGTTTTCTCATTGCAGACTAATGAAGTAAATCAGGGTGATGCACTGGAACACAACTTCAGTGCTGTTTATAGTGCATTGCTGCTCCCAGTATCACATATCTTCCCCGTTGAGGAATTCCCACAGGTAACAGTGAATGCATAATATTGATTAGAAACAATGTGGGTTTTATAAAAACTCTGAGGTACTACCTGATAATCTCAGAGTAGTTTGTTACTGATATGTATATACATTGGACTACTGCTCCAGGGTTGGAATTCTTGAGTTAATAGGTTGTGACAGAAGAAGAAAACTTAGAGCAAGTTTTTAATCTCTATGCACAGACACTGATATTTATAAACTTTTTCTTTCTGTTGTTAAAGCCAACTATGAAATCCTTGTTGCGCACTTGGTCAGACCTGTATAGAGCATTTGCTCGCTGTGCTGCTTTAGTTGCAACAGCAGAAGAAAACCTATGCTGTGAAGAACTTTGTGCCAAAATAATATCTGGGCTAGAAGGTGAAACTCCAGTAGTGAGTATAAACCAGTGATATTGAACTATATAAGTACTTTAGCAGTTATGTTTTAAATTAGATATAAGATCCTATTGTAAACTCTAATGTAGTACTTTCTATAACTTAAAGTGTTTTGGGTGAGACTTAAAGCTGTAACAAAATTCTTGTTGCCAATAGAAGTTGGAGTCGATCTAGAAGTGGATTGAAAGAGAGTAAAATTAATTATAAAGCTTAAATATTAAAATAGCAGTTAAGCACTCTTTGGATTGTTGTCTTCTAACTAATTAAGTAATAATGGTTTAGTGAATGTCATCATCATGGTAAATATGCTTTGTCCAGTTGAAATGTGTGTGTTTATAAATAAAGTAGCTTGAGGCTGAATTAACAAATGCCACAAAACCAGACATTTTGATTAGGAAGGAGGACAGAGTAGCACTGTAGCTTTCAGAGGGCGTAACTGCTGTATTCCTGGTACTGTCAACCTCGTACACTAAAATGCAAAGGCTTTATTTGTAAAGCTTTATAAAAGAGAAAGCCTTTATGTTATTTGTCTTGCCTGTTTGCAGTGGGGAGATAAAGTGTCAGTGAACATTAGCTTTGGAACATAAAATCCTTCATGCTTCAAAGTTGACTGTCTTGAAAAAATACTGTGAAAGGAACAAATAAGAAAGAGATTAGAAAGAAAAATGGAATATGAAAACGTAATTTGGAGAATTACATCATTATAACTTCCTTTGGATGCTGCTCTATCCTGATGATAAGCTTCAGTTTTCAAAAATAAATAATTAAGTGCGCCAAACTTAAAATAATTTAGAGCTTCAGCACGTAAGTTATATTGAAACTCAACTGGGTTTTGCCCCACATCTGAGATAGATTGGGAAAAGAAAAAAGCTTTGACCCATCTCTGTACGTTATTAGAAATTGATTGTGCTTCCTGATTGTCAGTGACAACCTCACTGCTGTGCCCGCAGCGGGTTTTGTGAAAGTCAGGCTTTGTACAGGCACTGAAGTTAAGCACACACTGGCATTTGGTAACGTCTTTTGCTAGACAGCTAGTACATTGAACCTTAATACTTCTGATGCCTCCTCTTAAATCTAGCACCTTCTTACCGCTGCCTCTTAACTGGTTTTGCTTCTTTAGATAGTAAATATGCTTATCTCTTACTTGTATAGAATGAGAAGGCTTAATCTTCAGCTCGCGTAAATGTGCGTATTTTAAAATGTAATCTTACCTGACAATGCAGACAGATTCCATCCACTTCAATTTTAAAAGCTGTTTGTATTGCTGTCCTGAATAGCCAACATGGTTTTTTTTCCTGTCGCTGTTGCTCTTTTGGGCTTTGCTGATGACTTCTGTTTCCTCCTCAGATGTTTTCAATGATGGATGGTCTCACCCATATTCTATCAGTTATGGTTGACTGCATCAACTTTGAGCCATATGGTACTAAATATCAGCCAAAAACTAGATGTAAGAAAATACTTGAATGCTGGTGTTTTCTGTGTCTTTCTTCCAGAGCTGCTTCAAAATTAGAGTTGTTGTAGATGCAGAAGTGATGACTCTAGGGTATCAGTGGTCTATACGTGCTACACATACTGTCTAAGCACTGAAGGGATTGACAACAAAACTCATTAAAAGGAACTAAAAATATAATCCAGTATGCATGTTTGAGTATTGGACCTCTTCTGTTTGCTGGGTGGTTGAGTATTTACTGCACAACCTGACAAAATACATCTGAAATGGATGTAAACGTTGAGGCCGCTTTACTTTAGAGCTCCCTGTAAAACCCTGCTGCTTTCAAGTTATATTTGATCTGTTGGCCATGATTTCATTTTTGCTTTGTTCAAATGTAATCTGAAAAAATAATGCTTGATCATAGTCCAGTCTAGTTATATAATATCTGCCTAAAACTGATGATAAAATAACAATATTTGCAAGGCTGCTGTTCCTGAAGCTGCTTTGCATAAAGTAATTGTGAATAGGTTTAACAGAAGATAAAAGGTCATTGTATATAAAATGTTCTTTGCTTTGTTTTCTACTCCCATTCACAACTCCTAAAGCTGAAGAAATAATTTATGAAATAACATCATTCAGTATAAAACTTAAAGAATTGAGAATTTCTCTGCCCCGTATGAATTTGTTATAGTAGGAAGACATTGGGTTGGACTGCTGAATTAAATGCTTTAATTGGAAATGTTGATGAGGAAGTTCACTTATAAGTAAATAAATTGATAAAACTTGATACTTCCCCTTCCCTTTTCCTCACCTGTTCCAGAATTTATGCATATCAGCTAGGATATGTAGATGGTTGCTGTCTCTTTGCAAGTAGGCATTAAAGATACTTAGAAGCATAGTCATTTGTATGACCAGCCATAAATATAAATAAGAGGAATAGGAATCATATCTGTAGTGGCATGATAAAATCATGCCTTAAAGAATGTCCTCTGTTAGGTCTGGCTTTAAACTCTGTGTATGTAGTTACAGTTTGGGAATCAAAGTTCTGTTTCTCATGTAGACAAAAAGTTTAGATGTGTTTTGTGTAATGCATGTTGGTTAGGAAAAAAGATTAATATTTTATTTTTAAATGTTAGCTCCACAGACACCTACAGATTGGTCTAAGAAGAAAAAGGAACCCCTTGGAAAGCTTGCCTCTCTGTTTAAACTCCTGGTGATGTTACTAAACTCTTTCCATGTGTTCAGTTCCAAAGAAATCTGTTCAGAAACATTGGTCTCTGTTGGTCCTTCAATTCTTGCTATTCTTCACAACATCATCAGCCACGTTTCATTGCCTTCAGTGATTGGGATTATGTTTGCAACTTTTTCAAAACCCCTGGCAGTGTTTTATGAAAAAACAAAGTGAGTATTTTGGAAGACTGGATTCGTTGTATTGCTGCATATTGGTGAAAAATTTTTTGTGGCCTTTAGCAAGCAGTGTGTTTAAATATAGCCCAGGGTTTTTCAGAGCTTTGGCACTAATATGCTGAGAACTTTCAATTCCTGCCAAGTCTCTCGCCTTTGAGAGCACAGTGGATTTTACTAGAGTCAGCCTAGCTAGTAGGTACTGTTTTTGTAGGGCACCCAAGCACTGCAGAAAGAATGGGTGTGTAAGGGAGTCGCTGAGGACTCGCTGCTTTCTACAGACTGGGCTGCTGGGCTGTGTGGGGGGAGCTGAGGCGCCTGTGGGGAGCGGCCTGACCCACCCATCGCAGGCCGTGACCCTGAGCCCGCAGCTTTTCTTCAGAAATAAACCCAAACCTACCTACCTCTACACAAAAGGAAACCCACAGGGCTTGGGAAAGCTCGGTGTTTAAAATTGCTGTCTCTTTAGAGTGAATGTATTCTCATCTCTGCAGAACTCAAGTGTTTGCTTTCCCCATGCTGTTTATTTTTACTGCAGCAAAGATATTTATTAACAGTAGTTTTGTTTTTGAGTGGGCAGGAACTGCGTGATGTTTTGTAGGAAATAAAGACATCATGATTAGTTGAAGTGCACTAAAATACTGGAAGCTTTAAGCAGAGAAATACTTGTTTGGTTTTATGTGCCTTTTTTTTTTTTCTCTATGGCTTTGTTTTTTTACTTTTAAATTGTTGTAGGCTTCTCGTCCCAGGGAATTATTAGTGGCTTGGTGGAAGGGGGCTGGCAGAGGCTTGTCTCAGATTTGTTGAGGATCCAAGAGGTTACTCTTTGCTCAGGATAAGGGAAAGAAACAGAGCCCAGCTTTGAGTGTTCTGGGAGGAAGGAGGATAGTATAGGATTGGATGCTGCTGGTCAGCCTCTAAATATTTTCTCAAAGCTTTTACTGAAACTTGAAGGCGGGCTGCTACCACTGATCTAAAATTCATCAGGAGTCCCTGTCTCAGAGGCAAGAATCCACTTGTTCCTGTGTAAGGTTGAGTTGAACGCCACCTCTCTCCCATCTCCCATCTCATCTGCCTTTGTTGGAGCATTGTCTTTCTTAGAATTACCCATTAAAGGGGAGAAGTGAGCGATAACATATTTTTGAAGGAAGGCATATGCAAGCAAGTATAAGATTGGGAAACTTCAGGTTGGAGGTTGCAGGCTTATAAAGCGCATTACTAAATGCAGTTTTCTCACATTTTTCAGGATGGTGAAATGGATTTATTTCCATTAAGTGACTTAGTTTAAGTGGTATTTCAGCTTTTTAATGCAGATATTTATGGGGCCTGGGAAATCTGTTCGGGGAAAGGGTTAAGAACAACACAAGGCAGAAGTTACTTCAGAAGAAAACCTTTATGCTTGTACTAATTACTACTGATCTTTCCATTAGTTTCTCTCAAGGTTAGCATGTATCAGTGGGAGTTAAAGGATGGGCTTAGTTTATTTACATCAGGAAATTTTTTTATCGCCCAGTGAGAGGCTTGTTTTGCCACACTGTTTCATCAGGTCGTATATTAAAAACTAGTGTGCAGTGCTTGAGTGCATTATGTGTTTAATTCTTTTGCTTGGGATAAATGAGACAGCAAAATATAACTTTTTTGTTTGTTTTGGCAGGCTTGCTGATGTTTCTAAAGTATACAGTAATCTTAACAACAAGGTAAATTTGCTAGAGAAATAGCTGGGGTTTGGGAAAATGTGTGACACCGGAGTTTTGCCAGTCATCCTGTATTCTAAGAAAATAAAATAAAAAATGGTAATGAGGGTAGAGACTTCTTTAAACAATTCATTTTCTACTGAAAACGTAGCTAAGGGGAGGACCACTAAGCTTAGCTATTGGATTTTTCCTGTGGTGTGGCATTTAAACTTGTTTATTCAGGCCATACTAATCTATGGGATAATAATGTTTAAATAATGTTTTGAACTTTTAAATAGTGTGTGCAGTATTTGAATTAAATAAAAAAGGTATTGTTTCTTCCCTCCCTCAGCTTGAAAAACTACTGGCTGAGATTATCCTGTGCTTACAGTCTCACTGCACTGGTTCTTACGACAGTGAGCTGCTCGAGCAGCTTTCTCCATTGCTCTGTGAAGTATTTCAGCATAAGGGCAAACAGATCCGCAACCAGTGTGCCCACTTCTGGAATGCCACATTTGCAAAGACTCCATCGTTAACATATCCGGAAGAGTTAAAGTAAGATACGTATTTTTCAATATTGATCTATTTTTAAAGGGAGTGATCTCAGGTTACATACAAATGTGTTGGTGTTGGTCTGATTACCACTTCTATTCTGCTTTTTGCACGTGCTGGGATATATCTGCTGGTCTTGTGTACCTTCCGCCCCGCTCTCCCTAAGTTTAAATGCTCTTTTTGTTGAGCAGATCTGTGTTAAGCCAAGCCAAAAAAAAGATTCCACTCTTGCTGCCTGGTTTTGAAAGCATCGAGATAACTGAGGACTGCAGCGGCCCATTCTCTGATGTGGTAAATATGTTGTTGACCCTGGGGGGTGCTTTGTGGCGCATAACTTCACGGGAGTTGTTCAGAAGGTAGCAGTGAGGTCCACTTTGGTTTCTGCTTGATTTGCCCCACCCTGGCTTCATGTTTGGAATGCTAAACTATGCTGCGTAAGCACAGTCAGAAAACTTGAGCTGGTTCTTAAGAGTTCAGGCATTTTAAATTTGGAGTTCTACTAGCTTGTTTGAAATAACAGTTCTTGAAATAACAGTTACTAAAAAGTAACTTTTTAAAGTTGTCCTCTATGTAATTCAGAGGAAAATGGGAGTGTGGGATGGTTTAGCTGTCAAAATTAATGCATCTCAGGATGAGTTTGTGAGCTTGGAGTTTCTTCATACAATGCGTTCAGTGTATTTTTATTTGAATAGATGGAAAATTCACAGCTGGATGCAAAGATAAGCGGAATGGAAGTAAAGTTGGGTCAAACCCGAGACTCTATATTGGCACAGACGAATGAACTAAAAACTGAAGTGATAGATAAGTCCAGTGATGTGCACGTAACGCCCGCAAAGGTAAGGTGTTCGGATAGGTGTGACAATCAAATCTGTGACGTTCTGCAGCAGAACTTCCCATGTGCTGCTGTAAATTCTCAGAAAAATTAACAAATTTTGTGATGCTGAAGTATTTTTCTTTCAAACTTACACTGTATAGCATGCTTTAATTAAATTTTCCTGTCAAAATTCTCTGCCAAGTTTACAGATTGCTGAGTTTTAAGCAGGGATCATGGAGGGCTGCTTGATGGATGGGAGGAGTGGCAACCAGGTAGAAAATTCACACCTCGGTCTGGTTGCAGGTGGTGACAGTCGGGTGTTGAGGTGGATCTTGGGTTTGGTAGACCTGTACTGCATGCTCCAAATCTGTCACTCGCACCAGGGAGAGAAGGGTGTTGTATTTGTAAGGAATCTCAGATTTAGTAAAGAATAACCTTTGTGAGTATTGAGGTGCCTTCACCTCTTACAGCCTTAGAGCTTCAGGGCACTGAAGGAAGTGCAGAAGGCGCTTCAGGGCAGGGAGAGGGGGTTGCACAATCCCCCCGAGGTGTAAGTGTTGGGGGAGTGAAAAGATCACTCCTGAAGCAAATCAGCACCTAGTGAGGGATTTGTGCTGATGAATGTGCTGAAAGAACTGCAGTTGAGGACTGTTCCCTTTAAGGACGCCTGTATCTGGACTATGAAAAATCTTCCAATTTCTCTATTTTTATATCTAACCCAGGTTTTTTTCCTTTCTCTAGTTGAAACTAGAATTTTCATCTTTGAAGACTAAAAGTGAGATGCTTTGGGAAGAGGAGAAATCTGTTGATTTTGTGTTTATTCCTCCAGAAACAAAAGCAAGAATACTGACAGAACATCAAAAAGAAGTGCTTGGGACAAAGAGGTCTGTAATTTATTCTGCATTAATGTGAAGTGTTACTACATTGAGTATGTCAGATTAACATAACTTCAATTCCTGTATTTCAGCCTACTATAGGTAATTAAGTCTTACTCCTCCATACAAGTTACATAATTTAAAGCTAACAAAGTTCCTTGATATGCTGTTTTAAAGTAACCAAATTATTCTCTGATCTACATTTCCTGATCTGATTAAATATACTCTGTTATCTGTTTGGAGTTTGGTAATTTGGAGTTGACATTTTTATTTCATGAGTCAACTTGCGATGTGAAATGGAGGATGCAATTTTTCTTAAAAACATGGAAATGAAAGTGTTTGTTTTTTTTTTTTTTTACCTGATCTGAAGGAAAGACTTCTAAATTTGAAGTCTTCTGTCAGCAGCATATTGGAAATTAGGATATTCCCAAGACTCATCTTAATTGCAAGGGAATCTTTAGAATTGTCCTCTTTTTAATGTGAGAAAATAATACTGGAGTATTTTCTGTACTCGGGCAGCAAAAATGCAGTATAAGCAAAATTTGTGTACAGTGGTGCTTGACAGGAAGTCAGCTGGATTATATAGCGGGCATGTGTTGATGAATTCTTTGCAGAATGGGATCCCAATCACAGCTTTTTTTCCCCCAAAGCATGTTTGAAATTAAAAAAAAAAATAATTAATGCAACTAAAAGTAGTGGTCTGGAAATAAATGATGGTCTGCATCCACTTGGCAGTTTGCTCTGGCAGTTGGAGCGGGAGCCTGTAGCAGCTGGTTCCAATATTGTGACTTTTCTGCCCAGAACAGGGAGTGGAGCGTGTGGTCACACAGTCTCCTGGTACCCAGGACCTCCTGCCCTGTGGTTTGGGCAGCAAGTGGGCACCTGTGGCAGTTCAGGTAGTCTTGAGAGTGTGGAAGTTCAGTCCATTTCATACAAGTTTCCACGCTCTTGTGATTTAATGTGTTACATTTCCCTATTTTTTTTATTTAAAAAAAAAAAAAAGTCTGACTTCCCATTTCTGGATTTGTTTCAGAGTTGATATTCCTGTTATGTACAACAATTTGGACACATCACAAGATACTACATTATTTTCTCAGTATACTCAAAGCCAGGAGGATTGTTTGTAAGTAAAGACGACCAGTATATGTGTTAAAGGTGTCCCCCCTTTTCTGCACCACTTCTAACATAAAGTAAATCCTGTTTTAGGGAAAAGTCATCTTTAATAGAAACTGCAGAAGAAGATGCTAAAATCAAGCCTCAGGTAATTTCTCATTGTCTAATGGTAATTAAGATATCAGGATTATACCAGTAGTGTTTTCTGCAATTAGTAGCTCTGGTAATTAATGGCCAGGCTCTTAAGATTGATTTGGAAACTCTTCAAGCAGAAAACAGCACCCCCTAATGTATTGGCTCACAGGAATCACTTCCTGTCTCTGTATTGATTAACCTGCAGGACTCTTGAGAATATCTTCTTTTTCTTGGGCTTCCTCTATTTTTTCCTCACCTGATTAATATTGACCCAGAGTCCGTGACTCTGGAAACACCAAGAGCGCTTTTTTATGGTTTGTATTTCATTCTCATCACCAGATTGAATTTAATACCCCTGAGTGCTCTTTGTGCTGTGTTCTGCTTTATACCATTTACACAAACACACATTACCCCTAGACAGGGCCGATCATTAAGCATTTTGTCTTTAATTTCAAACTGGGAGGGTTTATATACCTGGTTTTAGCGTGGATGTATTTAAGTTTTGTTACGCAGCTACAGGTATTAGAGGGATTTACCGATCAGTGATGTCCTGTGTCCCACCACCACCGACTATTAATTATTTTATTGGGGCAAACTTATCAAAAAGCTGCAGCACAGGCTGACTGACTTGCTTTGATGCTGTTCTAAGAATCCTTTAACTGCCTCGCTTTACGCTGGCACTCATAACGCTGTTGACTTCTCTTCTGTAACACTTTTTTCCTCAGCAGAGGCATTTGGTACACATCGTGATTTTCTGGAACTATTTTCACTTTTAAAAGTCTTCATGTTGATTTCTATATGACTCCTGTGGACGGTGCTTCTAAACACCTTAGCTGTGTGTCCACATTCTGAACTGCTTTTGGATGAAGCTGTAAGGGCCTGAGGGGGATTAAGTAGTAGATTTTGGGGTGAAAAAAAATAAATTGTTAACTCTAAATAAAGATATATTCCCTTTTGGAGAGGAGTTGTCTGAACATCTGACTTTGATCAGCTGTAGTGCAGAACAGACAGCAGGTAAAATACAGCAGATTTCTCGTAAAAACTTTTAGTAGCAGGTTTATTAATACCTCTGGTAAAACAGAACATTTTTGCAGTTCTTCAAGGTTGTGGAATTACATGGGATTAAAAAAAAATATCTTGTATAATGACAGAAGGACAGATAGTGAAATAATTTGTAGAAAGGGTGGTTTGACAAACCTGGTGGATGTTTTCTGTTCCACCAAGAGCTGGTTTTTTTTGTGTTATATTCATAGCAAAACTACAGCACTTTGGTGTTCGTGTTTTTGGGACAGGAAGAAGATGTAAAAAGTGAAGGATGCACCAACAAATCAGATGAAATCACGGAGGGCTGCGGATCAGATAACGCTCTTGAGAATGTTGCCTGTGTGAGAGAGTCATCTGTTACTGACGTGGAGGAGAGCTCAGCTCTAAACAGTGAGGGAGAGACAAAAAGGGATACGGCCAAAACAGTTCTGGGGGAGCCATCAGGTGGAGAGGGAGTAGAAAAAAGTAACGTGGAAACGGCCTCAAAGGGGCCTGTAGGGAACGAAAACACTTCAAATATCAGCAGCAGTTCAACTTCAAGTGACATAATTTCTGGAACGCCACAGCCCACAAGCCGACGGCAGTCTTTTATTACTTTGGAGAAATTTGATAGCTCAGGGACCAGACCTGGTAGCCTTTCAGCATTAAACAGCTCGTCTGAGATGTCTGAAAGTGCTTCTGTGGCAGCTAAACTGGAAAGTACGAATGGGTGCAGAACTAGTGCTAAACCAGAAAAATCTGGAGAGGAAAATAAACAGGCTTTAAAGCCTGAGTCTGAACAAATATTTACTGCAATACGAAGGCTGACTCGCAGGCAGACTAAACTGGAACACCAAGGAAAGAACAAGGTCATTAAGTCAGAACAAGAGAAAAGCACCCAAGAGTCTTCTGCTTCCAACAGCATGGAAGATACTTCTGAACTATCTTCTTCAGTAGAAGGCATCGAACACGTTCTCCTTGCTCAGTCCCAAGCTCTCCTTTCTACAGAAGTAGAAATTAAAAAAATAGAAGATACCCTAGCAGAAATAGAAAGGGCCCACACATTAGATACGGATTCTAAAGAAAATACCCCCCCAGAGAAGACAGTGTCATCTGACCAAGTAACAGAAGAGGATAGCCAGGTTCCACACATGTCTCCTAACCAAAAAATACTCAGACGTTCTTCAAGGCGAAGGTCAGAAACTGTAGAAAGTACGGCAAGTAGTCAGGATAAGGAAGACAACCACCAAAAGAAAGACAGACGTAAAGACGATGAAAAATCCGGGCAAAAGAAGATGCCGCAGACTAAAGATGGATCCCAAAAGCAGGATGCAGTTTCTGGGAAAGCTACAGAAAATACCAATAAAAAAGAAAGCAGCCTCCCTCAGAGACCTGCTGCAGAGGACTCGAGCTCAAAGGAGTCTCCTGCTTCAAGGGCCCTTGATGAGGAAGTGAACAGAAGCACTAGGAGGTCAGAAGACAACTTGAGGACTGACGTGGAGGGTCAGGACTGTAGCTCGAGTACAGTCAGTCAGAAGAAGATTGAACGCCCACGGTACCACACCAGAAGAGCTTTGCAGGGATTGCTTTCCAGCATTGAAAACTCGGAGGCTGATGCCTCTCAGACCAAGGAGGAAGGCCCAAGGAAGAAAAAACAAGCAAAACTGAAAAATAGAAGTGATTCTCTTGAAGGTAAATTGAAAGATCCACAGCCAGGAAGCCGCAGCCATGAGGTGTCTTCCCAAGGAAATGAAACGAAGAATCTGTTGGAAACAAATAAAGGGGAACTGGGCTGTGAAGTCAGCACAGATGCCCCACAGACACCTGACCCGTGTGACCTGGAAAACCAAGTAGCTTCTGCTGACGTGAGCAAAGCTGTGGGGTCTGTCAGCACGGAGAACTCACCTGCTGCACGGAATGTGAACTTGGAGCAAAGCAAGAGCAGTGCCCTGATGGAATCCTCCAGCAACCTGTCTGCAGCTGATCAAAATTTGAAAGCGGCAGAGGCGAGTAAACAACCTGGGAAGGAAATGCACCAGGAAGACTCTTCAGCTGCTCTGCCTGAGCGCGCACCAGGAGCAGATGCTTCAGGTGGTGATCGTTCCTCTTTGCAAATACCTGAGTGTCAGCACAAAAGAAGCAAAAGGCTGAAAAAACTGAGGAGCTCTGATTGCTGTTGTAAAAAGCCCAAGCAGCAAGCGATGTCACTCACTGAATCAAAAAGTGTGAATGCCTCTGAAGCAAACAAGCCCCAAACCACGCCAGTTCAGCCATCTGTAAATCCATCAGAGGTGCCCGGCAACGCGGACTTTGACGAGAGCTTGTCCATGGCACCTTGTGCGATGAGCACTCCACTGCAGCCTTCGAAGGAGCCCCGTGCCTCGGGCTTGGAGAGTGAGGGAAGGTCTGAGAACAACCTGCCAGGTGGGAGTGTTGGCATGGAGGAGGAGGATCTGGAGTGTACGGCAGGTGACGTTACGGACTGCATGGTGGGAGGAGAAGAACCTGCTGATCAGAATGACCGAACCGAACGGTCTGAGTGCGTTTTGGTTGAGCCTGGTAAGAGCTGGCTGGCTGCAAGGCAGCAGAGCGAAGAGCCAGCAGCTACAGAAAAGGAAGAAGTGGATCAGAACGGCCAGCTGGAGGAGAGACCCGAGACACTGATTGATAGAAAACCCGAGAAAAACCAGATGGGTGAGGTAGAAAGCAATCAGGACAATAAAGAAGCTGAGAACGCCGTAGGAGAAACGTGTACTATTCAAAATAGAGAGAAGGAGGAATTGGTGGACGCTGAAATGACAGTGCCTGAAAACGTGGCCTTAGACAAAGAAGATGCAGTAGAAAATAGCAGTGTGGATTCACCTCAGAAGCAGGAAAATCGCGATTCTTTAGCGTTAGTTAATGGAAGCCCTAATAGTGTGCAGGTACGCTGCACGTGGTCTCCTTCAGCTTCGCCATCCACTAGTATTTTAAAGAGAGGTGTAAAAAGGACTCAAGAGGATGATTCCCTGTCGCCTGCTAATAAGGTATTGCCGTGTGGTTCATGATGTGATCCTCACAGTTCATTCGGTTCATAACGGGTAGGGAACGGTGCCCCTAGTACAATAATATGTTGGATTGCCAGCTGTATTTTTCACTAAATGACCTTATGCTAAAGTTTTACAGATTTTTCATTTTTGGAATGTGCAAGCACTGACAGGTTGGCATTTTTGAGGCTTGGGGTGAGGAGTTTTCTTTTTGAAACAGAGCACCAGAGCCTAATCTGCTTCCCCGGGTGGCAGTGCAACAGATGTTGCTGCAAAACCACTGCCTACGCTGTCAGGGTTTTGCCCGCTGGATTTTTGAGCAGCTTTTTACAAAATACATCCATTGTGTCCTCGAGCAATAAGGAAGCCAGGTGAAATGTCATCTGTGTCAATCAAGAACTTTAATGGCTTTATTGCAAACTGAGCTGTTTTGTCTCCTCAGAGGGACTTCACCAGAGTGTGGTGGTTTGAGTTCATGCTATAAAAATTCCTTCTCTCTAAAACCAGATTCGTCGAGTCTCTTTTGCAAACCCAATTTATCAAGAAGGCCTGGCGGATGACATAGATAGGAGAAGTCCTGTCATTAGATGCCATTCTTCTTCACCACCTTCCCGAAGTCTTAAAATTTTATCTAATATCCAGGCTAAGGTAAATCCTGTTACGTGTGTTCTGTATGTCATCAGTGCTTGCATTTTTCGTGTATCCTGGGGAATGTTCCTTTAGTGCATGTTCATAGTCACTTGTGAAGGAGCAGAGAATCCCTCAGCCTAAGAAATAGTTGTAACTGGTTTAGCCTGACTCGTTCTGTGACTTTCTGAAGGCAAATGCACTCTGAGATCTAGGTGGTTAGAATCTTGCAATTAACTCAGTTTCTGTGATCCTGAGAGATATTTTTTTTCCTCTTTTTCTATCCAGCTTATTACCACTCCAACCAAAGGATTTCTGTCCCCAGGATCTCGTAACCCTAAATTTAAGAGCTCAAAGAAGTGTTTAGTAAGAAGTGCTTTGGTTCACGTATCTCTATTTTTTTCTTGTATTCAGTTGTGTCATAGTTAATGTAATGATTTTTTTCTGTATTATTCAAGATTACAGAAATGGCAAAGGAGTCACTGCCTTGCCCTACAGAATGTGTGTACCCTGCCTTGGCTGGCTGCAAAGCACCAGTTGATGTCATTTTGCCTCAGATTACATCAAACATATGGTAAGTGGAGTGTTGCTTTTGGAGGTGGACATTTTAATAGAAACTGAATTCCTGCTGAGCCTACGAAACCAAATTTTCTGATGCAAAATGTGATAACTTTGAGACGTCTTTCCCCAAATTTTTTTAAAAGGAGGGAGATTGGTTTGGTGGAGGAGAGACTTTATTCTAGAATTACTCAAGTTAGATTGTTTTAAAGACACTGAAAAGCTTTCACCTGGGATCGCAGGGAACTTTGTGGCAGAGCAGACTGATCTCAGTGGTCTGTGACAAAGCAGGTAAAGCTTTCTGTGTATAGAAGGTGAAGTGAGATTTTTTTTAAAAAAAAAGTACATTTCAAATGTACAAAGGCCGGGTGCTCAGCTACTTTGGGGTTTGATCTGGGTTTTGGTAACTTGGCAGGACAAACCACAGGTGTGCAGTGGGAGCTGCTCAGAATGGCCTTTTCAGGTGCACTCGGCTCCGTTTCTTTCCACTGATGTTCTGTATGAGTGGGCCTCAGAATGCTGTCCTCTGTAGGATAAACTGCAAAAAGGTGCATTTCTGCAGAGAGAACGTCACTTCCGTATTGGTTTTCCCTTCACTTACGTGCATGTGATTCAGCGTTCGTGTAAGATTTCCTTCTGCTCCACTGTGCCAGGCAGAAAGGACACGTTTCCCAGCATAATAAAACCATTTTTCTGTCTCCCCTGCTGCAGCGCCAGAGGCTTGGGGCAGCTCATTCGAGCAAAGAACATTAAGACAGTGGGTGATCTGAGTACTCTGACAGCATCAGAAATCAAAACTCTTCCCATCCGCTCTCCGAAAGTTTCCAATGTTAAAAAAGCTCTTAAGGGATATCATGAGCAACAGGTAAAGTTTGATTTTTGGTACCCAGAAAGCCAGCATGAGCCTAATGAACTGCTCACATGCATTACAAGGAATAATGTGGTTTTTTTTCCCCATGTTAGAAATAGCACTTTAAAATGTGATTGCTGCCTGTCAGAGTCACGTGGGAAAGGAAGGAATGGATGACTTGGTCACTGTGTTATTTTTGGGAATAATGGTTGTACTTATTATGAGGTTAAAATGTGTCCTACCCTGTAATCTTTTTTTTTTTTCCCCTCTGAAAACACATCGCTTGTTCTCTCCAAATAAATCTTCAGGTAAAATCTCGAGGATTTGAGGAAATAGGGGTGCTTGAAGACGCAGAGAAATCTGTAAATAACGTAGAGGATAAAGCTCTTCCTGTAGATGAAGAAAAACTTGCAACAGGTACCTACTGCCAGCTTTTTGCTTCAGATTTGGATGTTCGTGCTGTGTTGCTGCTTTTCTCCTCTCCTGAGGGGATCACTCGATCTTTCTGTGTGTTAGTTCCCAGAATTAGCACATTAGATGGGTAGTTTGAGTTAGCCACTCTATGAAGCCCTGGAGCAACAGCTTTTTAAAACTTGTTACATATTTGGAAGAGAGAGATGCTGGTTTCCCTAAATAAGGCGGCATAAGCACGCAAAGAACAAATGAGACAGGGCTCTAAGTGCTGAATTTTCTGAGTCTTAACCCAGGTACGTCTCCGGTGCTGTTTAATTTGCGGTAACTGCTGTTGTTCTGGGTGTGCACAGAAACAAGGTGGAGATTCACCCTGAGGGGGCTGGATAGGAGGGGGACGATTCTCTGGATACTCATTTTGGATTTGGGCACCTGGATTTTTATGGGAATTCTGTGCGTTTGAGAAGTTTGGGCTGGTAGCTCCAACAGAGGAGTCATGTTTGTTCTCCCTACAAGATACTTCAAGCGTTTGGTTTAGTGGAGAACAAAGAGCTCAGGAGTAACCTCTCAGCTGTCCAGTTTAAAAGCTGGACTTTGGGGTAGCGCGTCTCAAAGAATGCTGGCAGTACCTGAATCTGATGGAATACCTTCATTTCTGTCCTTAAGTTTTATCATACAGTACAGTGAAAGTCACCATAAAGAAGGGTAGGGTGGAGTTCTGAGGGCTGCCTTTGTCAGCAGCTTCACTGTGTGTGGCACAAACCCTGCGTAGACTGAGCAGATGATGTCACTTTGTACAAAAAAAGCTACAACACAGTTCTAGATTTAAATCCAAAGGCCTGGACTGCACTGCCCTACGTTCCTTCTGTTTCAGATTTAATTGAACCAGTTGTCCTGAGCACAAATGACCAGCCCGCAGCAGATCTTCTGAGCCAGATCGATGCCCTTGCTGCTCAGCTGACCGCTGAGGAGCTGCACGGCTACTCGGGAAGCCAACTTTTTGAGATGCAAGAAAAACTTGTTGGCATGACAAACTGTATCATGAAAAACCTGCAGTCCCGCTGGAAATCGCCACCCCATGAAAGTTCTGATTAGTTGCTTATCATTTCAGAGTAAAGATTTTGTGGGGTTTTTTCCCCCCAAAACCTGCTTTTCTCACTGATTAATTTTAAACTGTGCATTTTGTACTATAGAAGATTTTTTAACACCTATACAAACAAAATTTATTGTTTGGTTGGTTTTTTTTTTTCCCTTGGGTTATTTTTTTTCGCTCTAATTTGTGGGATTGCTTACTCCCTGTTTAGAGGTATTTGTATCGTATTGCTATGCATATTTCTTTCAGGCGGTGAAAGAAAACTTGATAAAGTTGTGCAATAGCAAAGACTGTGAAACCAAACCAACAGAGTACTTTAAATTATATTTTCAAATCCGAAGTGTTCTTAGTGCTGCAAACTCATGATTGGGTGAGAGATCGAGCTCGCAGCTCTGCTCAGCTGCTGCCCCTGTTTGTTTCCTTTAAAGTGGCTGACCCTGGCTCTTCCCCCACTGTTTTTGACTGAGATAAAGCTGAGCTTAATTCCTTGCAGCAGCAACAGTCCAGGAGCCTGATATTTGACAACTGGATGACATCTATTTTTTCATGTATTTTTGTAAGAATCACACTAAGAAGCTGATAATGAAATGTACTCTTAAAGGTGAAAGACTTTGCAGAACTTCTCAGGCTTTTTCCCATGTTCTTGGTTTGCAGCAGTTCTTCTGTGGAAAAGACTTTTTTTTCCTTGGGGAAACAAGGGGGGGGGGTGCCAGGAGCTCTTTGTATATTATGTACAGACGTACGGCAAATGTTGGTTAATTTATGACTCTTAATTGCATGGAATGCATTGCTGCTTCTCAGACCTTCAGAGCGAGTTCTTGGCTTTTACTCTGGAAATGGAATTTGTATATATTGTACTGTAGCTACCAAAAGGGATGTTTTTTGAAAGGAATTGCTGCAGGTCTCTCTAGAAGTTACACATGGGCAAATAAAACAGCAAATAGTTCCCAAAGTTGTTAATGTCCTTGGTCAGTGGTTTGGCTGGTTTTATTTCCTTCCCCCCCAGCACTGTTTTGGATTCATGAGGCTGGGAAGGACCTTGGAAGGTCGTTGCTGCTGCCTCCAGCGAGGAGCAGATCCTCAGGGATATGGTTTTATATCTCGGCAGCAAGATAAGTATTCTTTGCCCTGTTTGTGCGTCTTGTGAAGAAAGCAAACAGGACAGAGAGGTGTCTGAGAGCTGTGAGTTGGCCGTAGGTTTTCTTGCTTTCTTGAAAATGTTATTTTGGTTCTGATTCTGCCTCCTTAGGCTTGTTCAGCTCCTGTATCCTGTACAGATAAGGATGGTCCCAGCACAGCCAAAGGGTGTTCATGTCTTTAACTAACACCCTGCAGTGCTGGATCATGTCTTACCCTGATGTGCTGTGAATTCCCTCGGAAAGAAATTCCCTTTGAGTCAGTGTTGAAACTCCTGCTGTTACCTGGTTTTTAATCTTTGTAGTCTCTCTTGGACAGAGTGGTTCTTATTTCCTTCTTGGAGACTGGCTTGTACCTGATGCTTCAGCAGGGGAAGCAGATAACTGCCCTGTCCGGGTAGGAAATAATTTGCCCGGGCTCCCCGTTTGACTTCGCTGTGGCTGTCGCATCCTCCCTCGTCTTCTGGGTTCTTTCCCTTTCTCAGAGTTTTCTGAACAGAACAGGTTTGTTGTGAGAGCGATTCCTACTCCTCAGCACAAGTGACCACACCAAACATACTGCAGAAACATCAGCTTTATTTAGTCACTAATTTACAAGTAATAACAGCTTTTGACCCCAGAACAGTTGCATGAAAAACACCTGCGTAAGAGCTTCACAAACAGGAAAGGTGTTTGGGTTGGTTGGGATTCCACCCCCCCAGCTACATGTTTGTTTATGATACTAAGCTTAAATGTTGCATATATGGAAAATAAGTGAATAGGTTCAAACATTTTAGAATAGTCCAGAAAAATACTCCTTTTTACAGGAGAATGCATAAAGTCATAGTTGGCAGTCTTAAGTCCATGTATAGAATTTCAGAGAGAGGGAACTGGATTGCAGTTCCAGCACAGTTAAGTGTTGTGATGGTGAAATGTTTGAAAGTCCAGGCAATGTTTAGAAATTTTTTTTTTTTTTTTTGACATGGGTAAAAATACAGTTCTAATGAGCAGGGTCTAGTAGTGTGCTTTGCAGGTGGTTTTCAAAAATATTATGAAAGGATGTTTCAAGAGTATTTTGCTCTGCAGTTTTGTTTTTTTTTTCCCTTTGTTTTTCACCTGGTGGTTCCTAAGACAGAAGTTACTAACCCTTTTCTCGGGCTGAGAGGGTCTGGGTTTACACAGCTTCGACATAGTTGGCCGGCAGCATGCCCGTCTTGCCCGTCCTCTGCACGGTGCCAAACATCCAGCCCTCATCAATGGCTTGGACGTTCACGATCGTGTCCCCATCTTTGAAGGAAACCTCATCGGCATCAGCTGCTGTGTAGTCGTACATGGCCTGGTAGGTCTTCTGTTGGTTTTAAGAAAGGAAAGGGGAGTGGAAAACAAGAGAAGGGTTTAGAGCCCTGCAGTGGCAGCCACAGCTGGTGCTGAGAATCAGGATGGAGCAGGCTTGGGGCAAGCTACATTTTGTGTTTTGACTTATTCCGGTGTTTTAAAAGTACAACTGACAGTAGGACCTGTCTGGTCGCCTGGTTTCAGATCACAAAATGTTCTCGTTACCCGAGTACCGTGGTACCTTGGGCTGGTGTGTTAGTGACACCGAAGCTGAAGAAGAGGGTGTCCGTGTGTACTGGAGCAGTATCAGCCCCAGGGAGCTCCAGCCGTAACGTTCAGGTGCTGCCTCCCAGCAGCTCTTGGGGGGAGGCAAAGCTGTACCCCTTGTCATGCAGCTACTCCAAGACTTAATCTCAGGAGTAGGAGAAAGTGTTAAAGTTTTGAAGAACAGGGGTGGGTCTGTTCCCTTTCTGTGGAGGTGTTGCACCCTCACCTGGTTTGTACCACGGCCTCAACCCTGGCGTGACCCAGTGTGGAGCACACCAGAGCGGGTTCCAGCAGCAGTTAACTGAACTCCCACAGCGAGCTTGGGGCTGTTGGGTCTCGAAACACGTGTGAGCAGCGGTACTTACCCCAGCAGTAGAGGGGTGAGAAGGAACTGAGGACACCGTGGTTTGCTGGGTGGCAACTGACGATGACCGTTGTTGGGGTAACTCGATGGTTTTAGCATGTTTGTAGCCCACTACAAGAGGAAAATACATTTTGTATTGTTTGTTACAAACTTGGCAGTAGGGTTAGAGTTGCTCTGAATAATACAGATCATGGGAGGGGTTAAATCTGCCACTGAAATCCAACTTCACAGCTGTTGGTTATGTCTGTAACTCCACTTTTTGCAGAGGTACTTGTGTGCTTTTTCCTGGCAGTGCTGCCCCGCCAGCTGCTCTGCATCCCCTCTGTCCTCACACCCTGTTGGTCTGCTCCTACCTGTAGCAGTGGCGGTGAAGCAGCCCCCGTTGCTGTAGTAGGACAGGTGTTGCTCCACGCCATCCGAGGGCTCGGATCTCTCCTCGCCGCCGCTGAGGCTCAGGGCGCTGGCGGAGCGGGAGTGCTCCCGGCTGCGGCGCTGGGCTTGGACTGCAGGGAGAAAGGCACCTTACTCTGTAGATACACACACGTTACTCTGTAGGTACACACACCCTTACAGCTCTGTGCCTGTACGTACGCTACAAACACCCACAGCTCTCTACCCTTGTTTGCAAACCCACAGGAGCTGTGCTTCTAGGGAGCAGAGAAGCAGAATTACTGTATTTTACAGACTTTAGGGGGAAAAGCATGGGCATTAATCACAGTCTTACTTTTAAGGTTACTCCAGGGTATTTGGCAGTGCTTTTAAAACGTATTCACTGTGCTGTAGTTCTGCTCAAAAAGGCAGTTCTGATGACCCTGTTGTCTTTACTATTCAGAATATTTCTTTCTTCACCCTCTTTCCCTTTAGCATTAGCTACTTCCAAAACCTTTATTCCAATGATCCCATGCTTTCCTTCAGCTGACACAATCCCAGCCATGCCCGAGACTGTTTGCTATCAGGACCATCTGTTCTCAAGCAATTTGCAGGAAATTAGGGGGTTTTTAATAAGGTGATTTGAGGAACAGTATTTTTAAAGCTATTTAAAAATGAAGCACATGTTATGGTTATCTGTGGATCGTGTAAGCAATTCTCTTCAGGCCTGTGTTAGATCAACATTAACAACAAGATTAACAATATATTTTGAGAAACAGAGAAATCTAGGCACATTATGGAGGTCGCACGAATACAGTTAAACTGGCGAGGAGGAGCTTTAGGCAATTTCTCTGTGTAACTTGTGTCTGCGTGTAGGCAGAAGCTGTACTTCGGGATCCCCGAAGCGTCGGAGTTCCTGAGGGGATTTGCACAAACAGCAGAGACTGGGGAACAAACCCGAGATCATGTGCAAGCTTCTGGACTGGATGTTGTCTTCTGCTGGGTCGTAGTCAAAGACTGAGCCGGCATTCGTGCGCCACACCCGCAGGCCTGTAAGAGAAAGAACGGTATTTTCTGAATAGGGGAAAAGTGTGTCAGAAAAATGTGTTCATAAACTTGTGTTTCTCAAATCTATAGCACAGATTAAGCCTTTTTTTTTTTAAAAAAAAAAAATCTACATCAAGTGAGCTAAGGTATTTCTCTATTAACATAGAGATGACTAAGATAAATGTAAATCTAGCACTAATGTTGGGCAGAATGGGCCAGGCAGGCCACTGCTGATTTACAGCTGCTCTAAGAGAATATTTTCAAACTGGACTTCGATAAAACCACCAGTTCCAGGTACTTTTTGAATTGGTAGGGCTGAGTTTAACTAAACCATCCAGATTAGAGTGCTTTGTAGAAGCTGGGATACAGCTTCTGCTTACCTGTGATAGTCTCCTGGTCCTGGTCCACGCGCTTCCGCTCCATTTCCACCACCCTCCTCTGGATGCCCCGATAGCTGATGTCACTAAAGTCCTGCGTGTTCTTCTTCACACGTTCCGTAATGGGGTCAGTGACTACCGGGGTGAAACTACCTTTGCTTTTCTCAAAATCTTCATGGTATTTCACCTGCAATTTAAAATGAAACATCTGTTTTCCTAGAGCTTAGGGCACCTAATCCCATTGAAGAAATTTGGGGAACCTAACTTGTGTCTACATTATCCTTGAGCTGCCAACCCCAGAATGTCTCTGGAACAAGGGTTATGGTTTTATTTAAATCACTTGCCAAGTTAAAATTACATCTAGAACAGCACTTACTGTAGAGATATGTTTCTGGGTCTCTCGCACGCGCCGCATTTCAGGTGTATCCAGGACGTAGGCAGCTTTGCCTTGGACTTGTTTCCGGAAACTGTCTGAATAAAGAACCTGCCAGGTAGGGAAAAAGGAAATGAGTGCAGGGCACAAAACTATTTCTGCATGATGAGGAATGAGCTGCTCTGCAGCAACCTGGGAAAGAAGGGAGGGGAGAAAGAAAAAAGCAGCAGGAGCTGTCAGCTGTCTTTAAGATCAGAATGCAAAGCAAAATTCTTAATTATGAGACATGGACAGCTCTGGACTTGATCCCAAACGTTCCTTTTTTTAACGAAAAGAGCCTTTTTTAGCCTTGTAACAACAGACAATGCAGTATTAATGTTCTAGGTAATATTTTCCTATTTTTGACATGTACTACCCTGACGTCAGCAAAGTGTGAAACAGACAATATAACTAGACCTGTATTTGTTGTTGAAATACTACACTTTTTGCTGGGTTTGTAGGGTTTCTTTTTTGAGAGATGACAGTTGAATCATGCTTCTGCAAACACTTGCAGATGAGGCCCTGCTGGATTTATGGAGCAAAACATGGCAACATTCAAGGCCAGGTTGGACGGGGCTTTGGGCAACCTGGGCTAGAGGAAGGTGGCCCTGCCCGGGGCAGGGGAGGGGACTGGATGGGCTTTAATGTCCCTTCCCACCCAAACCAGTCTGTGGTTCTATGATCTATGTATAAACATTTACAAGACGGGGTATGTTGGGATTTACTTCTGGAGTAACAGGTTAGTAAAGAAGAGCCTGAAGCAGCCCATTTCCAGATTTATGATCTTTTACAGAGAATGTGAGAAATTTAATACAGAATATACTGTTACTGAAGAATAAATATTTTATATGGTATAAGATCTGTAAAACCAGAAGATGTTTGCAAGAGACCTTAAGAATCCCAGAATCATCTAGGTTGGAAAAGCCCCTGAAGCTCCTCCAGCCCCACCATGACCCTCCCCCTGACCGTTCCCAACTCCCCCAGATCCCTCAGCGCTGGCTCAGCCCGACTCTTCAACCCCTCCAGGGATCCCGGGGACTCCCCCCTGCCCTGGGCAGCCCATTCCAACGCCCAACAGCCCCTTCTGCACAGAAATCCTTCCTCAGAGCCAGCCTGACCCTGCCCTGGGCAGCTTGAGGCCATTCCCTCGGGGCCTGGCGCTGGGGCCTTGGCTCCAGAGACTCATCCCCCCTCTCTGCCCCCTCCTGGCAGGGAGTTGCCGAGGGCCAGGAGGTCTCCCCTCAGCCTCCTCTTCTCCAGACTGAACCCCCCCAGTTCCCCCAGCCGCTCCCCAGCAGACCTGTGCTCCAGACCCTGCCCCAGCTCCGTTGCCCTTCTCTGGCCACTTTCAAAGGCAACACGTACTATCTGAAACTCAACTGTTTAAAAAAACCCCAATAAACTAAAGCCGTTAATGATACAAAAAGAAATTTGTTGCAGCAGAAAATAAAAAGCAAGTATTCAGGGATTTGATTTTAGTGCAGTTCATACTTCCAAAGTAAGCAGCTGGGTAGTTACCATCCGTGCAGGGATTGAGATGTTACTTTTTAATGTATTTTCATTTACTGGCTGAACAGAACATACCGAGCTGATGTTTTCTTGATTGCGTTTAGCTCTCTCCATCTCTGGAGTCATCGGTGTTGGCGTTCCCTTTGCCAGGTGTTCCTTGTACAAAACCTGGTGGACAAAAAGGTGGTCACAAATCAGACTGGAATAATTCATGGCTCAGTCTGTAAGTGGTGTTATCGTTTAAGCATACTCATCACTGCAGGGGTAGAAAAGATCTTGGGAAATCAAGCGTCTAAAAAGTTACTTGCTAGAGCAAAAGGTAAAAAAAAAAATAATCGAGGGGGAAAATAGGCAAAACCAAGGAAAACTGAGAGAATAAGGCTAAATTAGAAGTGGAGTTTTTGCTTAGAATGGTTATTTTTAATAGCAGGTGATTGTCTTTCTTCTTTCAGTACCGAGCTAATGTGTTCTTGGCTGCGTTTGACTCTCTCCATCTCTGGAGTGACGGGTGTGGGGGTTGCCTTCCCTAAGCCTTCTTTGTATACAACCTACAGATCACAAAGTAACTCAAAGTCACAAAGGTACAACTTAAAAACTGTAATGTTACTGGGTTTAGAATAAACACCATCCATTATGAAAGAAAAAAAAGATCAGAGGAAAAATAGTATTAAAAAGTTAATTGACAACAACAAAAAAAAGATCTTTTAGGTATTGTAATTTTAAGAGATTACTAAATTCGAAAGAAAAAAATTAGAAGGTTAAATAAAATCAGACAGAGTTAAGTCAGTTATTTAAAAAAAAAAAAAAATAAAAGGTGCTCTATCATATCCCCTTTACTTCTTCCAGACAATACCGAGCTAATGTGTTCTTGATTGCGTTTGACTCTCTCCATCTCTGGAGTGATTGGTGTGGGGGTTGCTCGCCCCAAGTTTTCTTTGTACAACACCTGTGGGATACAGAAGATGTATCCAATATCTTAAAAACTCCCCCAGAATCGAAAGGATTTGAACACAGATTATTACTTTGTTATCAAGTTTCGAAAAAGTCACGACTGTTTATGATATGCAGCACTGCACAAAAGCCAAACATCTACTGCTGTAAGGAAGGGTAAGAAAAATAAACTGTGAAAGAAAAGCTTATTTTTCTGGTTAACAACGAAGGGCTCTATCCAGCTACAACTGTGACGATGGCTCCATAGGCCCAGGGAAGCTGCCTGCGGCCTAGAGAACTACTGCAGAAATGTTTTCTCTGCTGTTTTACCTGTATTCGAAGCAATCTGTGACCTTTTTGAGAGGGAGGAGGGAGTTGTGTTGCCACACTGACGCTGGGCAGCCAGATAAAGGAGGGTGTCAAGGATGGTCCCTGCACCCTTACAGCTACACATCAACCCAGTCCCTGAGGCCACCCGAGAGCTGTCACCGATACAGGAACCGGCCCAGGAACAGGCTCCTTCCTTTGTGTCAGTTGAAGGCATCCAAAGTCACTTGTCACAGCAGCACAATCTCACATGGGTTGGAGAGGTGGGATTTGGTTTTGGGGGGTGGTTGGGCTTCTTGTTTGTTTGGTTTTTGCTAAAGTCAAGTACCCCAAAAAGCCAATAAAAGCTTAAACACTAAACCTAGAGAGAGAAACCTGAATACCTTCACCAAAGGATGCCCAGTTCTTAATATTGTCTGGATAGAGCCCACAAGTACACAGACTGAGTTGTAGGAAAGGCCTAGATTTATGGATCAGATTGTTAACACTAAAGTAATTTTATTTTAGAAGAGCGATTAATTTGCAGAAACAAATATATCTATTTTTTAAAATGAAAATCAACTTTCAGTAGGGAGTTAGAATGTTACTTTTTTAAGATATAAGCACAAAGGAAAAAAAGAAACACATCTATTTTAAGGTACCGAGCTAATGATTTCTTGATTGCGTTTGACTCTCTCCATCTCTGGAGTGATTGGTGTTGGGGTCACTTTCCCCACATTTTCTTTGTACAAAACCTACAGGATACAAAGGAGTATCCAAATGTCATTAAAAAGGCACAAAAAAACCCCCAAAAAACAAAAAACAACAAAACCAAACCAGCATACACTAGAGCTTTGGAATCATTACACTTAGGAAGGGTTAGAGGTGGGGCACAGTGCTGTTCCCAAAAGAAGCAAGGGGAGCTTTGCTATTAATTACCAGGATGCAGAAATGGACCCTGTGTGGGATCAACTCCGCTTGAAAGCACACTTGTAGTGAGAAAGGGTTAAAAAAAATTGCAGAGAAACAATATCCATCCAAAAAAGGTCAAACCTGGTTCTAGTGAGATCCTGCATCAGGCAGTGTTAAATAGAAGATACCGGGATTTGGTTGTAAGCACGGAAGGTAGGAGATTCGGTTTATAAAGTTAGGAAGCACAGATTACTGAACGGCTACAGGTATGTTTGTTAACCAGGTCATTCAGATCTTTAGAAACTGATTTCCTGTTAAAAATACCGAGCTAATGATTTCTTGATTGCGTTTGACTCTTTCCATCTCGGGAGTGACAGGTGTTGGGGTGGCTTTCCCTATGTTCTCTTTATACAACACCTGTGAGACACAAGAAAGGAGCCAAAGAAAACAACAATGAATAAAAAGCTGTTAAACAAAGCCTAAGGCATTTTTTTTTTCTTGTGCTTATTTTCTCAGGGCCTAGGTAATATCTATATTTTTAAAGAAGGTACTTAGCCATGTTTTACTAGAGAAGTAGGGTTTGGCATACTGGCTTTTTAACTACAAGATCACTCGAAATAAATAGTGTAAGCAAGCAATACAGAAACTAGACCACAACAATACCATATGGGGGGGCTGAGTATGTTATGAATATGTAAATTCTAATTTAAAAAAAAAAAAATGTCAGCATTGCGGAGAAAACAAGTGGAGTTTGTTAAGTGTTTTTAGGATTAGAACAGGGCATTAAAATCACTTGAAAACCAATAAAAACTGTAAGAAGTTAAAGCCACCACTGTACACCACAGTAAGACATGAGTAAGAAGTAATCAGATGCTTCAGATCCGGGGTCAGCATTATTTTGGAACAAGTGTTACATCGTCCATTTATTAAAACTGTTAAAATGTTCTTTTAAATAGAGTTAAAGGGAACTTTTTTTTTTCTTAGCAAAGTACCGAGCTACAGATTTCTTGATTGCGTTTGACCCTTTCCATCTCTGGAGTGATAGGAGTGGGGGTTCCAGTCCCCACGCTCTCTTTGTACAACACCTGTGTAGTGACAAGAAGCAGCCAAAAAACCATAATCACAACTCTGTAATAATTACATCCAACATATTTAAGTCTGCTGGAGCTCAGTCTGCTCTGATGTGCCCTAAAAACTAACCCTGTAAGATTCCATTGCACCCGTGAGGGTCTGAGAGCAAAGAGGTCCCTGGTTTTATCTTGGCACGTGCAACAAATCCAATACAGAAGCCTTTTAGGTTAAATACATTTTCATGGTGGAGGAGAGCTTTTGGGCTACCACTGAAGCCTGATAAAAAGTCAGACCCTCCCTCTTCCATCGTAACAGCATTAAAACAGGAAACCAATGGGATTTAAAAAAAACCCAACAACCAAACACGTAAAAAAAAAAGGAAGTTGGAACAGGAAGCAAAATGGTTAAAAATACTTAGAATAATGTAAATAATAACATATTTGAAGAAGGGTTAGATCAGTAATGTTGGAAAATATAGTAAAGTGAGGAAGAAAGGATGTTTTTATAAGTTGATTACATGGAAGTAAGGAGTGGAATTGTTCATTTTTAATAAAGGTTAAACAGTTCTGTTTAAGTGGAGTTAAAGGGAATACATCTCCTCCTCCACAAAATACCGAGCTAATGTGTTCTTGATTGCGTTTGGCTCTCTCAACCTCAGGAGTGACAGGAGTTGGGGTTCCTGTCCCCAGATCCTCTTTGTACAACACCTGTGGGGTAACAGGGCTGAAAAAAAAAAAAAAAAAAAAAAAAAAGAACAAGCAAACAACAGTAACACGCAGCTTGCTGAGAAAACAGATTGCATCTTTTTCAAAGTCGCTCCGAGCCAAAGCTTGGAATAAAGGAGAAAAATTAAAGTGTTCCTTAAAACTATCCAGCTAAACACCCACACTCTGCAATGCCTTCTGGCAGAAAGCTGGAATAGCTCCTCTCTTGGCTTCTCAGGAGTTATACAGAAAAACTGTGTGCAACAGTAGACTGTTCAAGACTTCCTAAAGGCAGAAAGTATCAAATACAACACCAAAGGACAAAGAAATCAATTCTGGGTCATTTCCCCATTCCATAAACATCACAGCAGGTTACACCGGCACATATTAGAGTGCTGTTATATGAGGTCAGAGCCACAGGTTTGTATCAGGCAATAAACCCTTTAGTTCTCATGTATAAAGTAAGTAAAATCAGGGAAATAAAAAACACCACACAAAACAAAACAAAGGGTTGTTGTTGCTAGGAAAAGGAAAACGGGGTGTTTTGTAAGAAAAAATAAGAAAGATAATCAGACTCAAAAGAAAGGTGGAATTAAAAGTTATTATTAAGATGATTAAATAAAAAAGAACAAGAATGATGTAAGTAACAGTCATGGAAGAAAAAAATTTTAAAGGGACTAGGATATTATTTTTTGTGTAAGTCGATTATAGAGGAACGATTTTTTTGTGTGTGAGTTAAAAGTATTTTTAAATAGATTAAAAGGGAATTTCCATCTTTTCAAATTAAAAAATACCGAGCTAATGTGTTCTTGATTGCGTTTGACTCTTTCAATCTCGGGAGTGACAGGTGTTGGGGTTCCTGTCCCCAGATCCTCTTTGTACAACACCTGTGGGGTAACAGGGCTGTGTTAAAAAAAGAAAAAGGAACAAGCAAACAACAGTAACACTCTGTTTGCTGGGAGAACACGCAGAACATGAGAGGTGGCTTTCTGAGATGTCCTGGATAAACAAGGGATTAAAAATACATCCATAAAGAGAACACGCTAGTGTAAAACTCTAAGGATAAACACTAATCACCAGTACAACTTCTACCAGAAAGCTAGAACACCTTCCCCATCTGCGCCAGTGATTCTCCAGGGGGACATTTGAAACTGGTGAGTGGAACGTTAAAGCCTTAGATAAAGTCTAGTGCAGTGTATTGTTGTCTTTTCACCAGCACCGAGGTAAACTTTTCCCCGCCCCTACGCGAGTCACTGAAGGACCAGGTCTTCATGTGCCCTCCCAGAAGTTTTCTGTCTAGACAGAGCTCAAGGCCGAGCCATCCCTTCCCCGAGGGAAACGCCACTTAGTGCCCAGAGTTCCCCAGCGAAGACGCGAGTGTTTGCCCCTCACAGGAAGGACACAGAGCCACGGTCATAATGAAGGCCTGTGTGTGACAGGGGTCCCTGAGCAGCTGTAATTACTGGTGCTCTCCTAGCTGACGTGACAATCTCCTCACCCTGAGCCACATCCTACAGCACTAATTTTTTACCCCGCAAACCAGTGCTGCCAACATATCTAGAGTGGTTTACACCAGCTGGAGATGTGGGCCCCTGTCTCTCTGCACCAATACTGAAGTCTTCCTAAAGGAAGGAGGCATCAAAGACCACGCAGAGGAATAAAGAAATCAATTCTGGGTCATTTCCCCATTCCATAAACATCACAGCAGGTTACACCAGCGTGTGTCAGACCGCTGTTATATGAGGTCAGAGCCACAGGTTTGTATCAGGCAATAAACCCTTTAGTTTTTATATAGGGTAAAACCAGGAGAAAAAACAGCCACCAAGGAGTGAAGTGATTAAGCAAAGGAAAGGCAGATATTAAGGAGAAAACATGTTCAGAGTCAACAGAAAGATGTAAACACAGGATCTAAAAATTAACATTAGTAAGATGATCTAATCAAAACAAAGTAAGAAACAATCACAGAGGAAAAACTGTCAAAACATAGGGAAGAGGATATTCTTTTCTGTGTAAATTGATTACAGGGAAATACAAGAGTATTTTTTTGGTGTTAAAATGATTGTAAAACAGATTAAAAGGGAATTCTCAGCTTTTCAAATTAAAAAATACCGAGCTAATGTGTTCTTGACTGCGTTTGACTCTTTCAATCTCGGGAGTGACAGGTGTTGGGGTTCCTGTCCCCAGATCCTCTTTGTACAACACCTGTGGGGTAACATGGGAGTTTAAAAAAGTTAAGAACAAAAAAACCCCACTGCATTTGATGGAGGTAACACACCGTGTTTTATGCCCACTAAATATACTGAAACGCAGGGAAAATTAGGAAGTATAAGACAGTTAACAATTGTGATAAATTCAGAGGAACTCTTCTGATAGCTAGAAATACTGCATACTTTTAGGTATGTTTCAACAGAATAATAATTAGAGGAATGGAAATAAGCAAATATAGAAGCCAGTGTTTTTTTTAAAAAAAAACTCAAAATACCTTAAGCTTCAGGGAAAAAAAAAAAAAATTAAAGGACATGAAGCATCAAGTGTTACAATTATATACAAAAAAATTAGATAAGTATATAAAATATAAACATATAAAATATGACTTAAAAATTTAATAGTAGGAACAGGATATTTGTATGTTTATAATTTAATTAGAAAAATTAGAAAATTTACAGGTGTTAAATAGTTCTAGGAAACTTTGTTTCTTAAATGACAACAAAAGTACCGAGCTAAAGTTTTCTTGATTGCGTTTGACCCTCTCCATCTCAGGAGTTACAGGTACTGGGGTTCCAATCCCCAGCCCCTCTTTGTACAACACCTGTGTAGCAACAGGGAAGTAATAAAAAAAAAATAAATAAAAAAAAAAAAAAAAAAAAAAAAAAAAAAAGGAAAGGATAGGAAAGAGGAGGATTGGAAGGAGAGAGAGAGAAGACAAGCAATTTAATATAATTAACTTCAAAGTGTGGAAAACAGTTTTGTCAGCCTTGTTCAAAGGCTAGCAAAAAAAAGTCAGTGAAAATAATCAGCTAATATTACTGTGAGGTTTGCTGTCATCTCATCTAGGTGCACATCACACCAGCAAGAACTGCAGGAGTGTCTTGTGCAAAGCACAGCTTGAGCCAAGTCACCTGAAAACTCTTTTGCAAAGGAGTTTCCTCACTCAAACAAAAGATCTTGCGTGACAGCTTTGCTCTAAGATTTCTAAATAGGCTCAAGCAGTATAAAAGAGAGCTGTGATGGCCTCACAGGCCATTCACGGTAGCTAAACATTTACCAGCAGTGGCTGCTCTGAACTCTCCTACTCATCTCAAGCCAAGACTAAATTTCTTATCTGTCATGTCTGAACTGGGTCAGGGTGAGTCAGAATTAGCTGTAAGCTGCTCTAATTTAAACAGAAATATGCAACAAAATTATGACATAACTGACTGGAACGCGTCAATCTGGATAGAAATTCATTACTATAGTACTTTTCCCACACATATGCATCATTTGTTCACATTGTAGTGATATGAGGATGCCACCTAGGTTTTCTTATAAAGACCTGTAGGATATAAGAAAGCACCCAGCCCAGCAAAACCAGGAGAAGAGACAGCACCCGCTAGTTCCATTAGATGCCTTTGCTTCAGGAAGTGTTAATGGTTCATTTTTCATTTGCAGCGCAGCCAGCGTGGGCAATCAGAAGGCTGTTAGAAGGATCCACTTGGTTATTGAGGAGAGTGACAACACTCAGAGTATTACTATTGACCGGGCAATAAAATAAGGCACTGCTTAACAGCTTCAAGTAAATGAGTTTAAAATCTCACAGCTGGAACAATTTAATGACAAGTCAGACTGAGCTAAAAATTAAAATATAAGGATAACGACAGGGTTTTAGTGGTTTGATTAAGAAAGGGTTGTTTAAAGTTCAGCAAAGAATTGAAAGAAAAATTTAATATGGAGGAGTTAAAGGGACTTGATTTGCATCTGAAACGGTAGGGTTTGGTTTATTTAGCAATACCGAGCTAATGTTCTCTTGATTACGTTTGACTCTCTCCATCTCTGGCGTGACCGGTGTTGGGATGCCAGTCCCTAAGCCCTCTTTGTATAACACCTGTGAGGTACAAGAAAGTTTCCAAAAAAAAAAAAAAAAAAAAAAAAAAAAAAAAGCAGCACTCAATGCAGGCAAAACCATTAAATCTGACTATTTTGTGAGTTATGTTGAGTGTTAGGCTCACTTTTAAATTAATTTCACACTTGTTCTAGAGGCAAATATTAAGGACGAGGCTGACGGTTGATTATTCCATAAATATAAGAGTAGAGAGACTAGAAGATAAAGAGTTAAGATAAAACAAACATGGAGAGAAACACCATGTTAATTTCACAGCTCACTTCCAGTTTTGGTTCTTAAAAGAAACACGTGTAAAGTTGTAAATCACAAAAAAAAAGTTAAAGCACAGACAGGTGGAATATAAATGAGTTAAAAATATTGCCATGGAAAAGTCAGGAGCAGGGTGCGATTCTAAACCATTGAAGAAAAACAGATTGTATGTTAGGATGTTATGCAAAAAAAATAAGTTGTTATAATTGATTTTTTTTTTTTTTAAATACCGAGCTAATGTGTTCTTGATTGCGTTTGACTCGCTCTATTTCTGGAGTGACAGGAGTTGGGATACCTGTCCCTAGGTCCTCTTTGTACAATACCTGCAGAACACAAGCACCCAGCAAGGTGAGAAGATCACAGTCCTTCCACAACAACTACAGTACATTTGGACAGATCATTTACCTGGTTTATAGGCAAATATAATCTGGGATTATAGGTAATACGTGCACAGTTTATTTTACTCAGTCTGTGTAAGGATGGTCACCAGCTCAACAAAGTACTTAATGTCTGTGTTGAGGTGTCTGAACACACTGCAGTCCATAGACTACTTCATTACAGTAGGACACTAATTTAAATATTCTGCTGACCTGGCATGAAAAGTAGATACGTTTTGCTTTTACTCTTAGTTTGGAAAATGTAATAGTATTACTTTTCAGACAGTCAACATTTCTGGAGGTTTTGGGGGTTTTTTATGGTGTTAAAAACCAGTTGAATCCTTTATAGACAGGTTTAATACAAAGTATTTCATTTTGGTCTAACTGTTTGGAACACCATTATTTTATTTTGCTTTAGGTCTCTAGTAAGAAAAACAATGGAGTTTTAGCTCTCAATATTCCCAGGTTTAACTTAACCTCTAATTGTTTGATTCAAACAAGTTGCATTTTTCATGAAAGCAGTTGCACATGAGATGCCTGGGTTGGTTTAAAAGATAACCATGTAGAAATACATTACAAATGCCTTCATGGTTCTTCTTGCAACTAGTCAAATACTTGCAACAAAATAAGCTAACAAAAAACACCCCCTTCACTGCTTGGTGTCATTGAAACAATGAAAAAATACAAAAAATAAAGCAATCACGGAAAGGGAAAACAGATTATGTAAAAGGTTCGAAAAAATGAAGAATCATTTGAAAAAATCCAACTCACTTGTGCAAAAAGTGAGCTGTATAACACATTAATGTCACAAGCAGCTCAAAAGGGAAACAGTACTTATAAAATCAGGAATGGAAAATTGTTAAGATACTCATTGTATGGGTGTCGCTGCTCCTCAGCATTGTATAGCAAATGTCTGAGGTACCAATAACCACAAATCCATACCCTGCCTCAGTTCTGTATGCAGAGATCAAAGTAAAGCAGCAGTGGCTCAAAATCAGAACAAGCTGTTGTTACTAAAATCTACACTTAACTAGACATGGGAAGAGCCAGGTGCTGATTCCATTTAGAATTGTTACTAGGGTTTGTGACTACAAAAAAAGTCTCCAAGTTTTTTTTTTCCACAAAGTTCTGACTAGCTGATCCATTTTTTTTTGGAGACTAATTGTAAGATGTCACCTGGGTAATTTTTGTTTCTAGTTTTATGTTTAGAAAAGGTCACAAAAGTCATGCAAGAGAATGGCTGATTGTAATGATTACTGCAAAATTAAGATATTTACACTTCCTGCTGCTGAATACAGGGATTTAAGAGATCCATTCTCTTTTAAAAAAAAAAAAAATACCCACAAACACTACCAAAGGATGGAGCTTGAGCTCTGCATGAGTAAACAGGCAAACAGAAAATAGCGGCCCTTACCGAACTGATGTGCTTCTGTGTCTCCTTGACACGCTTCACTTCTGGGAGATCAGGAATTGGAGTTCCTTTTCCAATACTCTCCTTGTACTTAATCTACAAAGGCACAGACGTGAAAAAAAAGGAAAAGGATTGACATTAAAGCACAGCTGACGCATGCTTGTGGAACAAGTTACATGAATAAAGAAACGTGGGTCCTTTACACTTTATAAACCCATTCAAATCTCAGCTACTACATCATCAGGGATTGGAATATCTCAGGAAATCATCATCAAGGAACTTTCTATTACAGTTATCTAACAGAAAACTCTGCCACACTCCTACAAAGCACTTTAACAATAACTTGGCTTAAGGTAAAAAGGAGCCTTGTTTGAGCCAGAATTTTTCAATTGAAGCTTAAAATATGGGCATCTAACATCCCCCAGTAGCTTAATTTCAGCAAGAACAACCCCACTGATTTATAAAACTGAACCATTTCAAGGTTTCTTACACTGAGTTCCAAAAAAACCATGATATTAAAAATTTAAAATAATTTCTAAAAGTTTTAGTCTAATAGCACTGAAATAGGCACCCGGATCCGTATGTGGATACTTTAAGAGCATTATCCTGATCTCACAGAGACTGAAAACTTAAAATGGCTTCAACATGAGCAGAGAGCTGCTGTTGAAGTACTCCCAGCACCTTCACAAGCAATCTGTCAGAAGGTAACGTTAGCTGTTGAGGAGATGTCACTGTGAATGGCACTTCACTAAAAGGAATTTCTAAACCCAGGTGTAAATACCTTTGAACCTGATACCATTTGGTCTCTCGACCAATGAAAGAATTATTTTGGATTTGTAAAAATTTATCTTATTCCAAGGTGGGAGTCACCATACAAACCTTTAACAATTATAGTGCTATTTGCATCCCTACTTTAGCATAACAAAAAAAATAAAAAGAACAACAGCATTTCACAAGAACATACTTAACATACTACACATGAAACAAACGGCTGAAACGTTAGTAACTTTTATACTGAAATGACATCAGCGTTGAAAACAAAGCATGAAAAATAGTTATAAATTTCCAAAGAAAAGCAATACGTACAATTATTCCAATTTTAGGGTGTTACAATTTTTGTACAGAATACAACAGCTTTATGAGACATGCTCTGGCAAGGCTTTTGACAGAGTTTTTTGAAGCTAACAAAGCATGGATCAGTTAAGTGCAGAGCGAAGGGCTGGGCCCAGAGCACTCTGATCAGTAGCACAGGGGCTGGTTGGAGGCACGTCACCAGGGGTGTATCCCTGGGGTTATACTGGGGCCCAGTCTGTTGAACATCCTCATTAACATCCTCAATTAATATCCTCCTGGCTGCCGGGAGAGAGCGCGCCCTCAGCAAGTTTGCAGATGACACAAAAGTGGGAGGGTTGGCTGATACACCTAAGGGTTGTGTTGTCACCCAGAGGGGCTTCAACGGGCTGGAGAAATGGGCTGAGAGGTACCTCAAAAACTTCAACGGGGGAAATGCAAAGTGCTGCAACTGGGGAGGAACAACCCCAGGCTGGGGTGCGTGCTGGGGGTAACTGCTCTGCAGAGAAGGACCTGGGGGACAAGAAGCTGACCATGAGCCAGGCCAAGGGAGATGATCCTTCCCCTCTGCTCAGCACCAGTGAGGCTACATCTGGAGTTCTGTGTCCAGTTCTGGGTTCACAAGCACAAGAAAAATAGGGACTTCCCAGAGCAAGTCCAGTGCAGGGCCACAAAGATGAGTAAGGAGCATCTTTAACAAGTGAAGAGGCTCAGAGGGCTGGGACTCTCCAGCCTGGAGAAGAGTAGGCTCAGGGGGAACTTATCGATGTGTATAAATACCCAGTGAGAAGGAATGAAGAAGAGGGAGCTGCTCTTCTCAGTAGTGCTCAGGGACACGACAAGAGGTAATGGGCACAAATTAAAACCCAGAAAATTTTATCTGAACACTTTACTGTGAGGGCGGTCAGACACTGGGACAGGTTGCCCAGAGAGGTTGTGGAGTCTTGATCCTTTGAGATACTCAAAAACTCATCTGGACATGGTCCTAGGCAACCTGGAGTAGGGTCGACTTAGTGCTGAGGGATCTGGTGTAGTTGGGAACTGTTGATGTTGGGTTGATGGTTGGACTGGATGATCTTCAAGGTCTTTCCCAACCTAGACAATTCTGTGACTCTGCTTGAGCAATGGGGCTGGAGTAGATGGTCTCAAGAGGTCCCTTCCAACCTAAATGATTCTTTGATTCTGTGCTAAATAAACTGTGTTTGGGATGAGATTAAAATGATTGTAAGAGCTTTCCTGTTTTAGAAATGGATTGTAAGTAACAAAATTAATGTTAATCATTAGAAAGATTACTGTTTAAGTAACAAGAATAGGTAAAGATTTTTAGAATGTAACCCTTAGCTGGATGGATTATTGCCAAACCACTGTTAGCAACATTTAAAGAAATAAGAGGGGGAAAAAACTGTATTATTTCAAGTTGAATTAGCACTGGTATAGTATTAAAAACCAATTCTTTTGTACCGAGCTGATTGCATCCTGGGTTTGTTTAACTCTCTGCATCTCTGGTGTCTTTTCAATAGTAGTTCCAGTTCCAATATCTTCTTTATATAAAATCTTAATATTTAGAATGAAGACAACAAGGTTAAGCATACAAAACACAACATTTTTTCTTCTAGAGGGTGAATACAGGCACACGGCAGTGATTTGTACACAAGAGTGCAAGCTGGAGGATCACCTCCTGTCATGACCTCACTGCCTGTCTGAAGTCTGTCCTACCATGAGTGCCATTGTGCAAAAAAGGGGCTGACCATTTATATCTGTAGTAACACATTTTACGTAGAATATCACAACATCTGTAGGCTAATTTTGGGATTGAAGTCTAGTATTTGTTCTAATTTGCTCCCGTTGTTCTGATTTGGTTTACTATGTTTTACACAAATGTCTTCCGCTTAGTTACTTACTATAGTAACGGTGCTAGCAGCAAAATGATGCAGCAGACTTTAGGCACTTCATGGTAACGCAGGAAATGTGAAACAAATCAGGCAGACTGCTCACTTTTCACCGAAAAAAGACAGTTGCAACACAGCAAGGATACACTACTTACATGGTAACAGGACAGAAGAAAGGTCGATACTAGTAATGCCAATTTAAGTACAGGATTGATTGTTTAACTATATCACAGCTATGTAGATGTGAAGGAGCACTATCAGGGCACTCCACAAAAAAACCCAGTAGATAAAAAGGGGTAGCAAAAACCAGCTAAATTGACTTGGAGTAACACTAGTTTTGTTTGAAAAAATTCTTATGCACATTTAAGCAGATTAAGAACATAACTACATGTAAGATAAGAGCCAAAAATAGTTATTTTATGAAACATATGAAACAGTACTTTGAAATGAGAAAACAGAAAATAACTATACCGAGCTGAAATTCTTCTGGTTTTCCTTCACACGCAGCATTTCTGGGGTGTCTTGTACAACTGTAACTTTTCCTTTACTGTTCTGTAGGTCCCACTGATACTGAAGCTGTGGAAGAAGTTGAAGTAAAATGTCAAATGTTGTTTTTATTCCATAAACATTTACTCAGAGTTTTCTTTGAAGGTGAGAAAAATAAGTACACCTTAGAAGGAGGTAATTTTAACACTACCGTTAGTGATATGAAGATGTACCACAGCTACAAGTATTCTCATTTAAATTAGCAATAGGAGATCCTTAGCTAGATTTAATTGAAAAATCTTGAAAGGTGCCAGATTGTACCTAAACCAAGTCTCAACAATGAAAGAAAGATTTCCAGTCAGACTGAGGAGTTCTGTTACTGACCCCACAGTCTTGCAGGTAGTTCCACTGACAACAACAGACAACTTTAAGTATAATTCACTATTACTTGCAAAGGAATTGTCAAAGCACTGCAGCAAGAAGCTTTTTCAAGAAAATTACAGAATCATTTTGGTTCTTAAGTGTGCTGCTGCATACATAGTGGACCCTCTAACTGAAGAGCCCTGAGAATATAAAGCCTAGTTGGGATTAAAGTGTGATACTGTGACTTTGTTAAATGAAAAAAAGCAGAACATTTTTTATTATTTGACAGTGACAGTGTTTATTATTTATATACATACTGTGCTAAAGTTCTTCTGATTCTCACGGACTCTCTGCATTTCTGGTGTGTCTGCTACAGGCACATAGTATGGCATGGTCCTTTCTGCATCTTCCTTATACTTTTTCTGATAGAAAATACAAAATACATTCCATTAATACAAAAGCAGTAATAAACAATCTGGCATTACTTACTGTTGCATAATGCCCATCTTTATGGAAACATGAGTACTTCTGTGTCTGATATAAATTCAGGTTATTCCTCTGTGTAAGATTTATTTTAAACATTGGGTTATTAAGAAGTAGGAAACTTAATTCAATATGCTTAGAACAAAATTAGCTTTGGTATTTTAAAAGCAATAGAAATTATTGTTTCATTTTATACAGTAATAAAATAAATTAATCTCAATATTGAAATGGAATTTCAGAGTAAGAGATGCCACATCACAGCTCTAGAGAAATCTGTTTTTCTGCTGTATCGCCTGAATGTTGTGACATGTTATTCAGGCACTCCAAATTACGTCCACTCGAGGTTCCCACATGAACAACGATTCAACTGCTTCACTCAAGATACCTGGCTCGAAAGGTTCTTGACCTGCTGGGCATGAATAATCTCTGGAGTATCGACAACACTGGTGTAGTTGGCTTTCTCCATTTCTGCCAGTTGTTTGTATTTGATCTGTTGGGGAAAGCTCACATTTAGGTGCCTTCATATCTTGACAACAGTTTTCATTTGGTTTAATCAGAAAAAAAACTGTTAATAAATTTTCCTTTAAAAAAGTAATCAGATGGGATATATGAGATATTATTCAGACCTGGCTGGCAATGTCAGTGGCATTCTTTGCTCTCACAAAATCCGGTGTCTCCAAAGCCAGTTCTGTCAGGCCTCTTCCTCTGATTTCTAAGTCCAAGGCTTTTTTGTACGCTTTCTGTAGATGAAGACAGTAAATAGATACCTTGTTAATGTGAATGTAATAGCAACCTTCAGATCATTTCATGATCACACCACAAAATAGGAATGCTACTGTTATAAATTCACAATTAAACACAAAAATGATGTCATGAAAGTGTGCTGAGCACACCACAGGCCACCTGTATTAAGGTCGCTCTTCCTTCCCACTGCAGTGATCTCAAAGTGTAAGTTCCTTTAGGTGACCAGTGATCAGTGCAAAACAATAACTTGTACAGAAGAGAAGCACCAGGGAGCGGGTAGTGTAGGAAATGCATGTGGTAGTGAAAGGTGCTCAGATGTTTCACACTGAGCAATGTCCAAAAAATACAAGGTGTCAGAATTCTCTGTGACGTTTGGGGCCTTCTGGAATAAATACCCTCCCTAAAAACTCAGTGCTGCAGCAGCCGCTCTTCCCAAAGAGATCTTCCACTGATGTCTAATCAATTTATTTTGTCATTATTTTGATTGGCATAATTCATCTCTCTTTGCCAACTCTGCTGAACTTTGCTGAATATGTCTGTAATATTCTATAATAAAATACAGGCTTTTGGAATAGCTTGAAAACTTTGCACTACTAAGTACAAAATGCTGTTGTCAGTAAAGACGATTATCTTGAGAGTATTTTGTTAAGAAGCAAAATCTTAAGTAACACTAAAAAGTTACTTTTTCAGCTTTCAGCCTGATGATGTTATGTTTTTTTAAAACACGAGCTAATCTTATCCTATGAAAACCATCACTATGAACTGTTTATTACATTGGTTCATCAGGACACCAGAGTAGCTGTTAGGTTTGCATCCTGCCTGCTGGCCACCTCTCTCCATCACAGTGGGGAAGGCTGCCTCAGCCGTCAGTGCTGGGCAGGGGGAACTGTTCAGGAGCGTGGCTGGTGCTTCTGACTCACCCATCAAGCATAGAGCATTCAGAAAGAGCTCTGCTACACAGCACACCTCCCAGAGCAGAAGAATGCCAGTCTGGTTCCCTCGCTGTAGTCCCTTTCTGATCTCTCACTTTACTTCTTGTTTCCTCAGCCTCGGTCCCTAGTTCCTAATCCTCGGTAAGTGCTCCTGACCTAAGATGCCTAGTTTACAAAACTGACACTCTGGATCCTACGCTCAGCCTTGCTGCCGTCACAATGCTGGTTTAGTCCATCTCTTGACTGATCTGACTGCTGGTCACAGCACCTGCTTCCCACCTGTATTCCTGACAGTTAACAGCAAAGCCAGGAAAGAGCTCACATAAACGTTCAGGCTCCTGGTTTTACCTTTAGTCACCCATACACATTCTTGTTTTCTTTCTACTCAAGAGTTTCTAGGGAATGACAAAGTCCATACTAGTAATACACAGCCATAAGCACTTATCAGTTGGAAGCTGTTACATGCATTCAGGTATTTTCCTGACGCACCTCATTCAGGATTTGAGTTGCATTCTTCGCTCTTAACATGTCTGGAGTCTCCTCTAAAGCTGTTAGTCCTTTACCTTTGACACCTTCCTCCAGGTCTTTCCTGTACTCTTTCTGCAGAAGAAAGAAAAGAAAAACTGCAAAGCCAGACTAAAGAGAGTTCTACTACACTCTACAGCTTTGTTGCAAAAATTAAAACTAAAAGAAAAAAAATCCTAAATTTCCAAAGTAAACAGAATTTTTTAAAACAACAAAGAGTACTGTACAGGGTTATATAAGAACTACTGCAGCAGAACATAGGAATTATTGTCCAAGGTAAATTGCAAAGGCACACACATATACACCCTGCTATGGAACAGTTAGGCTGATGAATGTCAGAAAGAGGCATGGTAAATATGAATACAGTTAATGAACAACAAAATAAATGTCCACGACAACTTAGATCACAACACAAAATATATGTAGAAAGCGGTGAAGAAGAAATGCTGCTGAGAGTACTTAGTGGAATTAGCTAACTTGATAGAGGAAATAAGCACAGAATAACTGCTACCTCGCTTGCTATTTTGGTGGCATATTTGACATGTAATAAGGATGGTGTAATCTCCAAGCCAGTAAGGTTTCTGCCCTTAATGGACTCTTCAAAGTCCTTCTTATATTCTTTCTAATAAGAAAAACAAAATAGCAAATAGTTATTACATTATTTTTAATCACATGAAAGACTACTGGTAGGATGGAGCAATGGATTGGTATTAATGTCACAATGATAATCTGCTACAGTCAATGCTGTGGGCACCTAAAGCAATAGATCCTGTTTCTACTAAGGCCTACAAACCAGCTCACTACTTTCAATACAAATATGACCTGACCATGCCTTTTTTTTTTTTTTTTCTCCTTCTTATTTGTATATGCAGAAAAAAAAATCAATTAAATCACTCAAACAATGACTAATGGCCTTATATAATTGTTTTTCAGCATGTATAAGCTGTGACAGAACAAGACTGTACTTCAAACAACCAGAAAAGAACTGCTTGAGGAAATAGAACGACAGGTCAGTGAAGAACACTATGACGGTAGAGACAGGCAGGAAATAAATGGGCTTCTCAAAAATAGAGTTCTGAGGTGAAAAAAGAATAAGCAAGGTACTTTCTGTGGAATGTGGTAACAGATACACATACTAGTGTTGCAAAACTTTAAGTGAAATTTATTTCATATTACATTTTTTTCTAAGGACTCGAAGACTAGCTTAAGCTTCATTTACTGATAGTTTCCAGATGAAAAAATACAGATAATATACACTTCATTGTGACGGGAAAGCTTCATGAATTTAAAACATGGTATTTCATAACCAATATAAAGAAATGGGATATAGCTAGAATTCTTTAGTTTACCAGCACACACAAGATGCAAGTATAATTGCTTGTCTAAATCACTATGAAAGTTTAAATATAAAAAATAAAGTTTTTTAGTCTATCAGTACTGATTTTAACATACCTCACTCTGCATGAGCTGAGATTCCTTTGCAGTAAGGTATGTTGGAGTTTCAAAGTCCAACATCGGTTTTCCTTTCTCTTTCTCATACTTTTCTCTGTATTTCACCTGAGAAGAAAAGAAAAAAAAAAAGAGTTCCCCTCATAAATAATTGAGGAACCAATTCATCGACTAATGTGTGCCTACTTTTGTCAACAGATCTGTGCTAAAAATGAATGTCTAATATTGTTTACCTTCCTGAAATCCTTATTATTGACCATAGAATGTAAAATCAAAGGTCAGGCTTGGAGCAAAATGTGTGTGGCCTAAAATTCCACTGATTTATTTCCTGTTGCAGAGAATAAGCAGTGTCTGATCAGATTTCAAGAATGTACTGATCACAAGAAAGAAGACAGGTAGCTGTAAAAATCTAACTTGAAGGGACTGCTTATAACCCTGGCTGAGTCCAGGCAGTTACATGTTAATGGGTTGCTGGAGTGTTAGCAGCAGGGCTTGAAAAGATGCAGTTTAGTGACTTTCCACCCAATTCTGTGCATGAGTGTCCAGGAAATAAAATGTCCACAAGGATGGAGATATTTTTGCTTCAAATCATAGTATCCAGCCTTCAGGGCATCAACTTTCAGAGTGCTGCATGAAGTAATGCTATGTCTTTGGCCGAGGCAGATCCTGATCTCAAACTGGAGCAACAAGCAGTGACTTCAGCTACAAACTGATTAACAACCGTGTTCTTACTGTCCTTTGCTATGTGACCTTTTTGCTCTTCCATGCAATGCAGCAGAACAGTAACTATGACCCTTTGTATTCTGGCAGTAATTTCTCTCTTGCTTTACAGTCAATAAATACCCGGAATAGAACCTGAGATACAGAGGAATAGAGACCAAATCAGGGTATGGATCTCTCTGGAATGGTTCACCATTTGCTGTATTCCAGAGGAAAAAAATGTCAGACACATTTATTAGCAGCAGTAGGTATTGTTTTGGTTAAAACCATTTTGGATGCACAAAAAGAATGGCAGAGTTCTCCTTTGTATCACTTGAGGCTAGAATGGATAAAGCAGTTGGAAAGATACTCTCAGCAACAACCCTACGTCTTCCAATTTCCTGTTTCCATGATTACCAGGTCCTTTCTTCTACAGATGGAATCACCCTGATAAATGTGTTATACTGTGTAAAAAGATCCATATACAACAGACATAAGTGACTGTGAGATCTACTCTAGAGTGAATAAATCATAGAGATATTTTATATGCGTTCTAAATTTGCAAACGTGCAAGTATTTCTCACTGACTTGTTTACTCAGGTGTGCGGTGTTTATAAAGCAGATAGGCACAGAGGTTGTAATACACTGAAGAATTTGCTAGAATGACCTCAGTGATGGAGACTGGTACTCGGTGAGTGGGGTTAATGAGAAACGCATGACCAACTTACGTGGCTCTGTAGTTCTGATGCCTCCCTTAGATGAACCTGTTCAAGATTATCTGGCACCACATGGTAGTGACCCTTACTCTTCTCATATTGCTTCTTGTACTGGTACTGAAGGGAAGGTGTCAAAAATCATCTCAATAAAAAAAAAAATCCCTCAGCAAATTTACTTCTTAGGTCCAATCAAAGCAACACTTCAATGGAACATCAAAGAGAAATTAGAAATACAAAAAACAAAACAAAACCAAGAAGTTTAACTCCCAGTATCAGAAATCACTTCTAAAGATGTGGGTGAACAGTTATCTTTTTTTTTTTATCATTTTGATTGCAACAAAGATTTTTCCAAAACCAGGATAAAAAAAAAAAAAAAGAAAAAGAAGAAGAAAAAAAAAAAAACACAGTGGATACATGAAAAGACTGTACCAGGCAATAATGACTTTTGTCTTTTCTCAGTAAAATTATCAAGTATTTTGTTAGGCATAATTCGGTACATCTACAACAAAGGGATGTTAAACAGAAACATGAAATGAAAAAAACAGACAAAAAAAATTTAAAATATCGTAAATAGTAAAGAAAAAAGTAAAAAAAGAAGAAAATTGTATTTGTTAGTGTAATGCAATCAGTTAAAATGTAATCAAGAATCAATCCACTAAAAACTATTAGAGGATTTAAAATATTAGCAGTTCTACAGCTAATAAAGGTTTTACTTCCCAGAGGACAAGTGTGGCAAAGTTGCTAGTTAAGTAAGAAATAATCATTAGAAAGTAGAGGAAGAGATCACTACCAGGTGATGTCCCATGAACAATTACAGAGAGAGTAATTGTTGCAGAAATAGTTAGCAAAGATCAATTCAGAACGGAACCAATAGCAATGGAAACATCAAATGGATCTGGGGTTAGTTAATGATCTTACAGCACTGGCGAGCTGGCTTGTACTCAGGACGTGGTTCATGATCAGCGATTCCGACATGTCTGTGACAGGCTTGTGAAGTTTCTTTAAATCTGCTTTGTATTTCACCTGCAGGGAAGAAAGGATAAACAACGTCAGAAAGGGAGACTGCTAATAAAACCTACGGTGTTGCATGTATTAATAACATAAAGGAGGTCTTTGTTAAAGAAATCTGAAACTTTTCATTTCCTCAGGAGGAAACGGTAAGTAAACATACCTCACTAGCCATGTTGTGAGCATCTTTCATGGTCTTGTAGATTTTAGCTTCCTTTAAATCATACTTCGGCTTTTTACCCATCTCTTTGGAAAAATTCTCCTTGTATTTCACCTAAATTAAGAAAGAACCAGGTATTACAACTGTTCTTGAGTACTCACTTGTTTGGCTGCAGAAGGCAAAGAGACCCTGTTTCAATGCTGACAGTAAGAACAACAACAACAATGTAGTAGCTTGAAGGCATCCACTGGAATAGAGGCTATTTTAAAGATGACCTGACATGGGAAAAAAAAAAAAATTTACAAAATACCACTTGCAATTTCTCATTCAGTGCACAGGTTGCATCTCCTCATTGTAAAAAGACATCGTCAAGAGAATTATGACACAGCTGAATTCTGACCCCTGGAGATGAACAATTTTTTACTTGATGGGAACTGTGCAGAGAGAAAAGATACCCTATTTCACAAAGAGAATGACACAAGTATAAAGAGTATTTAGAAGAACTTTTTACGTGCTTCTTGGAGAAATAAGAGCTTGAAAAACTACCTCAAGACATACAAGCACCAAAAACGGGAATACATTAAATACTTTTATATATATTGCGTTCTGTATAAATCACAGATGAAGAAGAATGCTAATGGTCACAAACAGAACAGTGATACAATTAATTACTAGGAATTAGATTATGCAGAAGGTTTAGTAACACTTCCAAACCACATTAGCATCAGCAAGATAAACCATAATAACCCAGCAGACCTAGGCTGGAGGCCCAGAAATGTGAACAGGAATGACAGTTTTGGTAATGACCTAAATAAGGGCAAGTCCTTCATTCGTCATGACTTGTCCCATCCCAGGGCTGCAGGAGCCACTAAAGGCTAATTCCTCACTATTTCTTGTAAACCTACAAAAGGGATGGTTCCGTTAGGAATATTTTGGGTTTATTACTTTGATATCAGAGATGCATAAAATTGTTTCAGAAGAGTTACTGAAGAGTGCAAGAAAAACTCAAAGTATTAAGTTCTGGTTTATCTAAATGGATCCCAGAGTTAGTACGTACACTTCTCACCATTACAGTAAATATCAGTAGAAAAATTCTGAGGATTTGTCATGTCTTCCCTGTAGTAGTATTCTGCCTACTCTAGAAAAAAAGTGAGGCAATATTTCTTTCTGTTTACCAATCCACATTTCCTTGGAGATATGTTATATTAAATACTAAAATGACTCCATCCCTGGTCTAAAGAACAAGAACTGAACGACCATCATCAGTCTTTCTGAAAGAATTTATCTTGTTCAAGACCAAGATAATACTTACAAAAAAGCATGCAGAAAATACAGGAATCTGGCTGATGAGGAAAAAGGATTAATGGTTCTTCAGGAAAAAAAACCCTGATCTCCCAAGCAATATTTATGTGAAAATTGAAATGAAAGAAAAAAGTACTGAAGAACTGATAACTAAGTTGAGGAACAGCTGACCCATGCTAGAGGGTTGGGTTTTTTTTTCCACAGTTACAGAAACAAACAAATAATTTTATATTAGTAAAAAAAGAAAGATGAATGAATGCAGAATTAAATCACATTCCACAACTGCATTTTACACTTTGAACTCATTGTCATATTCTTGTCCATATAGCACTACATGGTTCATGCATGGTTCACTGCAAAATATGCCAACATTCAGATTAAACACACAGGGAAACAGGCAAATCCACAACTTATATAGCTGCTGTAAGCAAACAAAGACTATTAATATTTTTGACATAAAGGCATCAGTATTGGTTCTGACCTCTCAAAAATTAAAACCAAGCAGAAGTATACCAGAATCCGTTACATTTCGCAGGCTATGCAGCATATAATCAAGATCAGACCATCATGCCAAAGAGTTAACTTTTTTTAAGCCCAGAAGAAACATTACTGAAAAAATCGATGCAAACAAGCATGCCAAACAGGCAGATGAAATCCAACTAAAAAAAGGCAAATGGATAAACAAACAGGACATAAAGAAGTTTATTAGAAGAAACGCCTAAGAGACAAATTAAAGTTAAAGATTATGCCAATTATTCTTTGCTCTCTTACTGCCTCTATAATAGTTACTGTTTTCTCAGAGCTAAAATAATCTCATCAAAGCATGTAAGACTAAGAGGAGAACTGGCCAGCACTGTAGCAAAAGGATGGAGAAGGAGGATCTCATTATCACTGAATGGGAATAAATATAATTTCTTCTTTATTCTTGTAGTTCAGTTTAAGATCCTTGGTTCTACTGAAAAGATTCTTGGTCTTCCTGACACACACAGTGGCTGACATTCAAACATGCGACGGGTACGTGCAGCAGTTTTGGCTAGACATGTAAAAAACATAATTCCCCTTTTCTGCATTTGGAAATACATGTGTAAAACTGCAATGGCACAGATCTGTCTGCTGCCACTTCAATAGCTGCTGTGCTGCCATCGTTCTTCTACTTCCCAAAGGTTTTGAGATGGCAAGAAATAGAAGAAAACTACAGGGTACACTTCTCAGATGCTCTGGGGCTGATTCAGTCATATGCTGTGCTTCCATTATGCCATTCCAGCACCACAGAAACAGAATAGTTTAAATGAAGTTTAAATGAAGTTTGAATAGTTAAAATGAAGTCCTGGTGTGAATGTTAAGAATATGTTATGACTGTTCATTGAAAACTACCAGCACCTTTGTTTGGGTTTGTCATACACATGTATTTCCAATTTTTGCACAGTTTCAGGAAAACCAACTCAAGCGTGTATGTTTGTTTTTAGGGGTTTTGGGTGAACAATGCAAGTTTTCCCATTGCATGAGTGCATCAGGTACTTCCATTAAAAACACTGGAAGTTCCAAAACCATTATAAAAGGCATAGTAATGTTTCAAGCTTCATGTGGTGTTTCTGAAACAGACAAATTCCCCTCCCCAGAATTCCCATGCACTGCCTTTCCAGAGGAAAAAAAAAAAGAAGGTCACATCAGCTCACAGTTTTTGCTACATTCAACACCTTTGACACAAGAAGATCCAGTGCAGCTGGTGCATCATAAACCCTTTAACAGCTTGGAATTGTAAGATGATACGCAAGCAAGAGACAGATGCATAAAAATGGCATTCCCAGATGTGTCACTTAAAATTATCTTACATGACTACTTAGCATATTAGCTTTCTTAAAGGTTCTCATCCATGGGGTATCATAAGATGCAGCTCCATGCCCTCTCATATGACGTTTGAGGTATTCTGCCTACAATGCGTAGCAAGAAAGCAAGATCAGAAATGCAGACAATTACAGGATTAAAGCATGAAGTGCTGAGAAAGAACCAAGTTGAACTGAGGTCCTGGTGGAAAAAATTGTCATAGAAAATAGCAAGTATGTGCTTCAAACTGATCAGAGAACGTAACCATTGTATAAAAGTAAGCAAGCTTCTATTAATATGACATTAACTTCAAACCAGAAGATTCTTTTAAAGGCACAAAGGAGAAAGAAAGTGGCTGAAAGAAACTGAATGTCCACCTCATAAAGGATGGATAATAAGAGTCAGGTAAAAGGCTGCTTCTTTTAAAGCCAGTACTCAGAAATCTAAAAAAAGAGAACATGGCTAATATTAGCCTTAGTGGTTAGAAGATCTTGACACACTATCATTTTAAGGAGATCTCAACTACTGGCATTTAGTAAGTAAGTAGAAAAGTTTATTTAACAAAGAAATACCTTGCTTCGGGATTTAATTTCTATTTGAACATGCTCCTTTTAAAATATTCCCATATTTTCTCATCTAGAAACAGTTATAATATTAGTCTATAAGTTAATAGCATATCTCTTTTCTCTCACTGCTTCAAAGTTTCACCAACTTTTTAATATTACCTGGCTGGTTAGTTTGGACACCTCCTTTGCTAGTTCAATATCTGGACGTCCCAGCATGGTTACACCAATGCCAGCTTCTCCACGTTTTTTGTATTCAATCTTACAAAGAAAAAAAAAAAAGTATAGTTTAGTAGTGATGGCTTCCCTTTTAATTATTTTACTGATGCTATTTTTAATAGTAAAATTACTGCTAAAGAATTATACAGAAGATTTAAACACTTACATCACTAATTAACTTGGCAGCTTGAGTTGCTTTCTTAATATCTGGTCGATCTGCTATAGGTGTGTAGTGGAGCTTTGATTTGGCATCTTTCTTGTATTCAATCTAATCCGTGATGATAGACAGGGAAGAAAATTAATGAGGTTTGTTCATGAGGCATATACCTAATAATAACAACACAGCAATGTTGCTGGGAAAGCGTATGGTGTTTTTTCAAAAATAATTTCACAAGGAATAGATTTGGGAATCCGTTTTTGCAAAAGTTGTCTACAAATAAAGAAATAAGCATTTGAAATTGTCTGTATTGGAATGAAAAAAAAAAAAAGAAAAAGTATTAATCTGATTTGACCTAGATTATTTTAAATCCTACCACGTGATTAAGTAGAAATATGATTTCAAAGAAATCCTTCATTTCAGTGCAATTTAACATTTGTCTTTGAGAATTACACCTGAACAAGGAGGCTGGGATGAAATTCAGAAATATGTGAACTTTTGCTTTTGCCAGCTGACTTTGAATTTGCTTAAACAAGCTACCTAATTCATAAAAAGACAAGACAAACTTACTGTACTCTGTTTTTTAGCAACTTCCATGGCATGTTTCACTTCAGGAGGCTCCAGCATGATAGAATAATTAGACTTGCCTTTCTCCTTCACGAACTTCTTTTTATAGTTTGTCTGTTAAGAGCAAAAAGGGCCATGTGTGATTTTTTAATTTCACATAGAGGTAAATGCTACTGAAGCTTGGAAATAAGATCACTAGAAACTGTTAAGACAGATAAAATGCAGTCTCCTCAGTCTCAGAACGTATGGTTTCCAGCTTGTTTGTCATAATTTGCACTTTAGATTACAAAAGCTTGCTATTGGGAGATACTGATTTGTGTTCAAATTGTGATCTATCAAAAATAAAATCAGAATTAAGGGCACCTGTGAGCACTCCAGTCACTTTCCTAAAGAGTATTTCAACAGATTCCTGACAAAATGTGTGTTAGCTCTCTGTTAAGGTCTCATTCTGGTAAGAATGAATCTTTTCTGACTCCTTGGGTATTTTTCAATGAGATTCTAAATGTGTTGCATGTGTTCTAAAGCATGCAACAGTCTAATCAGTTATAGGCAGCAGGTAATAATCTCACTGTAAAATGATATCACACTAGCTACTTACTTCACTGACATTCTTGGTCACCTCTTTCACATGAGCAGTGTCTCGTGTCTCTGGCAGGGTTGTATAAGACCCATGTGGAAGCTGCTTCTTGCTATGTTCTTTGTATTTGTTCTAAAAGCACAGAATAAAAGTAGGTGAAAATCAGCAGTGTAAGCCCCATCCCCAGATTAAAAGAATGAACCTTAAAATGAACAAATAACTCTCTGATGTTTTACCTCAGATACAAGAGAGCTGACATTCTTAGCCAGGAGGATCTGAGGTGTATCCGGAACAACATGGTACGTTCCTCGAGCTTTGTTGTGCTTCTCTTTGTATTTTATCTAGCAGGAAGAAAAGATATCTTTTTAAGCAATTTAAAAAGAAATTACTATAGTTGTACCTGCTTGTTAGGGCAAAAGTTTGCAGAAAAGCCCATATTTTGATGTTTTCCAAGATAAATTAATTCCAGTCTACATATTTCTATAGGTCTGACTTGGAATTTTATTAATATAGTGAATATTCATAGATTGTTAGCAATTAAAGATATTCTGTGTTATGCACAAGTTATACCTGCAGCTTTTTTTCATTGTTTTCTCCAGATAATATTTTAATTTCAATACCGGGCATGAAGAGAGGTATGAAAAGTCTAGGGTGTTCAGGCAATGTTAACCTTGAGTATTTATTTAATCCACTAACTAGGCCAGTGACATTTACAAGACCAAATTTATTCAGATTTTGGCAATTTGTTAATGAAATGAACAAGACAAATCAAATAATGAAGTGAGACTGAGAACAACTTTTCAAAGCTGCATTTTTAATCCAATCACATTTCCATTAGTCTATGTACTAAGTTCTAGTAGAACAAAAAAAGTGAGTGTTTAAGTACTTACATCACTCGCCAAGATGGCATTATTTAAGGCCAATACTGTGTTTTTATCATCTGTGACAGAGAGTTTGCATCCCTTTAGGAATTCCCGGTCCAGTTTGTATTCATACTGCAGGAAGAAAAAAATAAAAAGATAGAAGAAGAGAGTCTCAAATCTTCTACGCTTTTTAAAAATTTTTCTTCTGACCATATGAGATGGGGGGAAAGGGAGTAATCAGTCTGTTCTGATTTTCTTACATCACTCTGTTGCAGAGACGACTTGGCTGCTTGAATAAAGTCAGGCCTATCAGCAATCCAGTGCCAATGAGCCTTGGCTGCTTCATATTTTTTCTTATAATCCAGCTGTTTATAGTGAAACAAGAAAACAAGAAGTTAATTGGAAGTTGTGTATTTCACACATGACATTCATAGAAATGCAAATTCTCTTTTGGTCTGTACCAGTTAAAGAGAGAAGAGGTAAGAAAGTGCATCTATATTAGAATAGGGCTTTCCTCTGAATCCTGTACAATCTAGTGGGAGTCCCTTGACTCTAGTTTTTCCACTACTAGGTGGAGAAAAGAATATGAATGACTGAAAATATGTCATGACTTTGAAGAAGGTGATTGATTTCAGTTCCTTGCCTACTGAAGTGGATGTCAGACCACCAATAAGAGAAAATACAGGAGAGCTTCCCATGAAGCGCTTGTTTTGTCTACAAGAACATCACAGATGATATTCAGGGACAGTTATGTGTGTCTCAGGAAAACAGAGGGGGACTAGAAGGACAAGTAGATGTGTGACATACAAGGATCTCAAGGACAACTTGCAAGAGTGAGTACTTTAGGATGAAATAAATTAAAATATAATTTATTCAAGCAGTATAAGAGTTAGAAGCAATGTCCAAGCTCAAAAAAATTTAACAGAACTGAAAATAATTTCTCACAGTCTCCAATCCCAGTGACAAACACCATCCATAATAAAATTAAAGTGTTAATAAAACTGAACTCACGTTGCTGTTTAGCTTGTAAGCATGCCTTGGAGTCTTAATATGAACTGAATCCGCTATGACATTGCAGTGAGATTTATTCCTCTCATACACTTCTTTGTATTTCAGCTAAAGAAAAACGAACATAAAAAATTTTTACAAAGATAATATCATCATCAACAAGAAAAGCATCAAAATATGAAAAACACAGTATTAACAATTGCTCCTGTCAAGATAAAATCTTAACAGAAGAAAACTAAATTGAATCAGTACAACTCGGTATCACCCATCTGCCTGAAAAAAGGGTCCTCTTCAGCAGCAGTCCTCTTTAGATAGAAAATGTAGCAGGTATAACTCACCATGAAGCACAGACTAAGATTTAACAAACTCTGCACATCAGCAGTAATTCTGCCTGTTTCTAGTTTTTTGCACCTAATAGAAATGCTTGAAAGAAACATCGTCTGACAGGCCACATGCACAGCTGTCTGAAAATGCCTTTATAGAATCTGAAATTCAGTGCTCAGTCTGATACGGAAAAAATGTATTTCAATTCACAGATTGCTTTTAAACATCTTTGTCTCTTAATGATCCACATTAGCATCTGGATAATATGGTTGGTTTTTCCCCCTAGATTTACTCATTGTATAGATAAGCCACGTAGCATCTGAATGACTTTCACGGTACTATACTGCGTTATAGAAGTGCTAGTATTCTCATTTTATTTATGGATATCTAAAGAACAACAGACAGAAAGCCTAGGGGAAGAAGAGGAGTTAGGACCAGGACTACCAAATCCTATGATATTATTCTATCCACTTCATATTCCTTTCTCTCTCTCCTTTTTAGCCTTCCATTGCCCCATAATCAAAACACATATTTTAGATCAGAATATTTACCTTACATATTCACAATATCCATAGAAAAAAAAGCCCCAACACAGTAATGTATTAAGTACCTTATTCAAGGCTCCACAAAAGCCACTAGTCAATAGGGGAAGGAACCCAGAAAAAACCTCCCCAAACCTATGCTTTAATTAAATACCAGTTCCATCTCACAGCTTTTATTACTAATGAGGGTTGCTCTACCCCAGAAAAAACGTTCCAAGAGCTACAGAAGAACGCTACACAAAACGGCTTCCTGAATACCTTCATACTCTATTAATAGTGTTTTTTGAAAAAGCATTAAGTACACAGGGAGTTTTACATTCAAACAAAACCAAAATGCTCTAACAAGAAGCTATTTTTTAATGACAGTGGTACATTTGAGTTAAATGTATTGCATCTCAAAGTAAAAAGTTAATTATGTGTCTTTTTGATACCACAAACAGGCTGATTTACTTACATCACTTATTCTGTCCTTGACCTTGCGCACATGCAATAACATCGGTGTGTCATGGATTGTGGTGTAGCCTCTAGGCTTTGCCTTGTTATATTCCAACTTGTAAATAATCTGAAGATACAAATCGTAGAATATATTATTTCTTGGCATTCTTGGTGTCAATTAGAAAAAAATCAAGATGAGAACCATTTTACACTGGACTGCTGGAAATGCCATATTGTTAATTATCATACTCCCAAGGTCAGGATTCAGACAAGGAATGTGCTTCAAAGAGAGTGACCACACTTACATCACTAATCTGTTTGTTGACTTTTGTAGTCCTTAAGTGTTCTGGAGTATCCACAATCGTAGTATACTTGTCCTTCTTCTTTTCATACTCCTTTTTATATTCAACCTGGTGATTGGGAAAGAGTTTGTGTAACATACACTAAGACAAAACATCTTCAGGAGCTATGTTTATATTCACACGTAAAATTGGCTTTGGTGGAAGGATTTTGCTATGAAAGCTAAATGAGCTAAATTTTGCAAACCCATTATTTGCCTGAGACGATGCCCATCTATTTGCGTGATTAATTTTACATTTATTTCACTGAGTGTAAAAGCTTCACTTCTATGCTAAATCTCCAAGACCGAGCTAAAAAAAATGATCTCAGCAGATTAGGGACTTCTCAAATTCATAAGTGGATGATGTCTCATTTTTAAATATTCATCGAATTAAGAGAAACATAGAAGATCATTACACAGCAGAAGAAAAAAACAGCCAGTGAATACAACATAATGCCAGCCCATTTTAAAGGCTTTGATGGCAGAATTTGTATCTTAATAATTTATTTTTTAAATATCATCTTGCCCTTCTTAGGACTCTAAAGCTGTTTTCACAGAATTCAGCGAGAACAGACTGTACACCAAGAATGATAACTCATTGTAGACAAGCCTGAGGGCAGGTGGAAGAGGTTAGAACACACTTTTAAAAAAGAACTTTCATGCTGTATCTTGTATGAGGAAATAAAAACATGCTTTTGAAACAAGACTATGACAGACAAAACATAAATTTATACACAAGCAACAAATCATAACATGAAGTCAACTCAGGTGACCATGTGGGTTAGGCAGAGTGCTTTTTCTTCAGACTCAAACTTACCTTCAAGGAGTTTGTAATGAGATAATAGAAATCCACAGAAAAAATGAACAAAAATAAAATCTAAATAAAGACCTTTAGTACCCTATTACTGAAGAGTTTTATTAACTGTAACTAATAGTAACAAAGAAGAATGCCCCTCTCCCTCTCATGTAATAGTTTTTTCTGCTGTTGCATTTCCAGTTTATAATTTAAATGTTACCTGGCTGTATCAGGAATCATTTTTGCCACTGAAAAGAGTAAAGTTACTGCTAGCAACGGTGATTTCAGTGCAGAAATAAATATGTATCAGTTATTTAATAAGCCACATTTTCACCCAACTGGTACAACCAAAATATATATATGTTGGAATCCAGAAGGTAGACTATGGAAAATAAATTTTTCACAATAATATCAGAGTCATTATGAGATGTCTTTTACATCATCAGAAATATAAATGTGTTAGGCTCTTTGTTCTGCATGAACAAATATATGAATCATACTTACTTCCTACTTTCTGATTCTTACTAGAACTGGCAAAAGGAACGAGTATTTTTTTTCACAATGTATTATATGACTGCAGGAGGACTGCCTTGCTAGCCTTGCTTAAGCAGTGAAAGAAATAGATAAAAACATGATTTACTACAGATCTGTGCACCTATACCATTTCTAAGAGCACTCACGAATGAGACATGACTGTTCTGTGTCTCAGCACAATCTGACACCATTCTCTGGCAGAGTGGGAGATACACATTGTAATCCACTCACAAATTACTCCATCATGTGCATAGTGAATTAAGGGACTTGTGTTATGAGTGGTGGTCAGCCCAAGAAATGGTGGCAGAATGAGGATTTGGTTAGGAAGAAATCAGGAAGAACTAATATACAGTGTCTTAGATATGGAAAATCACTCTTTATGTGAAAGTATGTAAAATACTATATAGAAGTAAACATAAGACTTGTAATGAAAGGAGAAAAGGAGGCAAGATCATCCTGAGCTGAGTGAAGTCAAAGTTACAGTAAATATTTGTTTCAGATACTCTGTTTTCAAAAATATTTTCTCATAGCTAGCATTAAGCACCTTGACAAAACTCTGGAGTCTGACATCCACAGAAATGTAGAGAACTCCCAATCATTAAATATTAGAAGTCCAAGCAGCTGAATTTATCTAATGTGTCCTACAGCAGCAGTTCTTCCTATTACTTGGCTCCATAAGTATGTGTTGTAGAGCGCTGTCAGCATACCTGGCCTCAGAATTTCATTACATCCATGTTGCAGGAGCATCTTGGCAAAGGATTTATATTTTTTCTGTTCATGCAAATGGCAACAAAGCACAGAAAAGCTTTGTGAACACCACAACAACACAGCTCTAGATCCCAGACACTCTGAGTGTGGAGAGATTTAGGTGTGTACTATATGTATTCATTCAGATGGGCATACAACCTACATCTATATAATTAAATGTCAAGAGTATATATTAAAAGATTTGCATACTATCCCATTATGGAAATTGCAAAAATATTTTTTGGGAGACAGGAGTAAATTATAGATTAAGGTGAGGGCACTCAAAAGTTATATATGTCACTGTTGTTTGAGTAATGAGTAAGAAGATAATGTATGTAAAGAGAGGTAATAAAAAAATAAATGCATGATAAAACATGCATTTTTTAAAACCTCTCCAATGACTTCAAGAGGCATTTAGATTTCTGATGTCAGTTGATGCACACTATATGAAAGTACATACAGCAGAGATTAGCTCACTCAGAAAATCCTAATTCTAAACTAAACCGTCACATCATCACAGGTGAAACCTGTGATACCACCAGCTACAGACACTCCACACAGACAGAGCAGCTATGAGAGAAGCAGACACTTTCTGTCAGCACCAGCCCGTGCTCCTACAGTACCTGACTGCTCAGAACAGTCCCCCACTTGGCCAGGAGGTTCCGAGGATCATCCACAATAACGCTGTACTTGTCTTTGAGCTTCTCATAGGCAGCTTTATATAACTTCTGCTCAGAAAAGCATAATACAGTGTAATAAATCAAAAGGAGTGAAGACACAAATAGATCATAGTTCTAACCATTGAAATCTCTTTACATGGACTATTACAAGGCTGGGATTGAAGTTCATATCCAAAAGAGAAAAATGTATTAAAAAAACACCACCAGAAAATATTTCCAAACAGTAAATGCATTTCTCAATTTCCACTGGAAGGCCTAATCTACAATTTAAAGATGCCTATATTCTATCCCTGCCAGTCTTCAATAAGCCATTTTATAACTTACTTTCTTCATGAAAAGTAAATGCAGAAGCAACTTGGTATGAAACTAGATTCTTGATTTGAATTACAAAGAGTACACAATAAGATGCAAGGGTAAAATACAACTTTATATTATCTCCAGACATTTTGTAAGTAAAAACTCCAATCCCTCATCACAAAAAACCATCCTTTACATCAAAGATGACATTTAGACAAGTTCATTTCAAGATATGTAGTCTCTGTTTCTAAAATTTTACTAATTTATTTTTCTCATATTAAGTTTTCCCTTATTTGCTCTACCAGACTAGGAGAAGACTGAATACGAACAATCTCCCATAACAAATTCTGGTTCACTGCTTATCAAATTGAGTACGAAATTATAGTGATGGTACTGGAATGGTATCTCTTGTGAAACAGGTTTTTTTACCTAGAAGAGATAATACTGACAGGTAAACAAGGTAACATAATGTCTGGTGAAAAAGAACAAAATACCAAGATGCAAGAGTCTAAATGTATGCCGCTTTAATGAAAAGCTTCAGAGTCTGGTGTTGTGTGCCAGCTCTAAACTGATGAGAATTACCTAGAGCCCTGTGCTTTTCAATGGGTTTTGTCCTGTGGGTGTACAGCACCACTCCTAGAAACTCCATTGGGGATTTTAATCTTAAACCTGGGGCCATTCATTAACTCCATTTGCTACTATGTTGTGTTTATTGTTTCTTCAGCACTGCAGGAAAAAGTAAGAAAAAGTAGGTAGTAGAGTGGGAGAATTCAAGGCAAAAATATCTGAAATGAAACAGAGCTGTGGTAGCTTTGGACATATTTCCTAACACTGATGAAGCTGGGGTTTTTTTTTCAATGTTTCAGGAAAGCAATTGTGATTCACATGACCATCGACAGTCAGTGTTACTAAGCAAGCAGCATTACTAAAGTTAGCATTTATCTATCAGTCCGCAATGGAGAAGTTTCTTTGCAGTGACAAAGTAATGGAAAAGGGGTCAGGATTTCACTTTTTAGGTACTGTAAACCTGCCCTGTCCTAATGCTCAGACAGACAATAAGAACAACCCTGTCTTGCATGATTTTAGTCTGACCTTAAGACATCTTTACACCTGAATATATTATACACTTACCACTTCAGTATGAGACTCTACAGAAATCTTTAACACTTACCCCATCCACCAGCTGAGTTGCATATTTAAAGTGCTTGTTAATTGGAGAGTCAGCTACATACTTAAAATGAGACTTAGTCTTCTCAAATATCTCCTTGTATTTACACTGGAGAAAAAAAAAAACACAACAAAAAACATGCCAGTGTTAATCCAAAGAAGGGTAAGGCAATGAAAACATATTATTTGAGAAACATTCTGCAGCAAAACCATGGTAGAATTATTGCCTATGTTCATTTAACATATCATCAAACAAAAAATAGTTTGCAGGATGGAAATATCACATCAAGAAAAAACAGAAATTTCATATCTTTAAAGCTAGACTTAAGACACTAGAAAAATTTCTACAGAGCTGATAGCTTTGCAAGGAACAGAAGGGCTAAATAAAATACCATTTTGCCTCTCTTTTATAGTAAGAACAGAAAGTTTATTAAGTTCTACCATGAGTTATTAATATCAATGTCTAGGTCAGAATTGGATAATGCTGTGAAAAATTTGTCTACAATAAAAGCAAACATCAAAAAAACATTTAGCAACAATTCAGACTGTTTTACTTACCCCACTGTAGAGCACCTTATTCTTCTCTGCCAGAACAAAACTTGGAGTATCCCACACATAGCAGCCAGTGCCTTTGAGCCATGATAAGTCTTCCTTGTATTTAACCTTTAGAAAAGAAGTAAAAGGAATCTGTTTTAAGCAGCACCAAGCGGTAGCTGATCAATGCTGAAATGGCACCTTAACACAAGGTTTAGCAAACAGAGCTACATCTATTATTACTCCATAAAATAAGTTATGGTTACTCATACTTCTCTGATAGACTCAGATTATTCATACATATAATCTATCATTAGCTACTGGAGTTCTTGTGTAAAATAAAAAAACATACATTCTTGTACCATTAAGGGGTTATTGTATGGGTAAAATTAAAAGGTTGTTACAGTGTTAACAACTTAAGCAAATGCAGCTGAAATGAATCAAGACGGTTCTGTCGATTTCAAAAGAAGGGCTGCAATTTTAGCCACCTGATTTGCTTTGTCATTTCACAGATCCGCCAGGTGAAGTGTAAATCACTTGAAAAAATCTCAGCTGCCTTCCCTTTCTCAAGGAATAAAATTTGGTTTTAATTTTGGAAACCCACTTAGAACTTTCAGCTTCTCACATCCAGGAACTATCTGAACTCACATCACTGACAGCATCCGTGACCGCGCGATGATGGAAATGCTCTGGACGGTCCGGGATCGATCTCCAGATTCCTAGCTGGCTCATATAATTTTCCTTATATTTCACCTACAAAGAAAGTTGAAGCATGAAGTAAACCAATCTGAGAACAGAACACTCTAGACCATGCAGTTTCAAGACATTCCTTTCTCTGAAACATCAGAACTAAACCAGTGGAAATAAGATTAACTTGCATTCACCTTTGTAATAAAGGCAATCAAATCTATAATATTCCAGAGAAGGAAAGCAGCTAATATTAATAGTGCTGATCATATCTTTCTCATTATTTGACACACTTAAATAGAACAATATCATAAATGGCATATTCTAAGTTATTAAATAACATTCACTAGTTAGGAATGAAAATGTTGTATACATACACTGCTAATGTCATCGGTGACCTTTCGATGATAGACAATATCCAAAGCATCTTTCACTGTGTGGTATTTGCCCTTAGTGTTCTCAAAGGTTTCTTTGTAGCGCAACTGGGAAGAAAAATAACATATAAATAATATATATATCTGTCAGGAATTGTTTTAGTTAAATTTCCTACCTCTTAGGAAGGACATTCAGGGATATGTTGCTGTCCAACATCCTCATGTAAGCCCTGAGGAGTTTTAAGAGGCTGCAATTGGCTACAATCAATTGCAATTTGACTGAGACTTATGGTGAAAATTAGAAAGAAAAGGAGTTGGTTTATCTAAGGCACCATTTCATCCTATTCACTTCCAGACTGAAGGCTGAGGGAAAAACATCTGTATATCACAGGACAACTTTCTAGAACAATGAAAGTACTGCTTTGGGCATAAAAAAACACTACTTATCCCTTCTTCCATGTCCTGATCTAAAGAAAGGAGAGAGATCATTTCAGCCTTTCTCCAAAGACTTTCTCAGAGGAAAAATTCAGATGTGCAAAAGAACTGGGATGCTCATTTGCAGTATTTAAACATCAGTCTAAAGAGAGACTAATCACTAGAAGAAAACACCAGCCCAGCACAAATCCTTCCAGGATACAGTGTGCAGTCTGAAATATACAGCAAAGATCTCCTGAACGAGTGGAGTACTCTTAGCCTTTGCCTTAAATCACAAATCACTATTCCATGTTTGAAGGAAAAATCAGTTCCACCTTAATAACCTTACGTGCAGCAGTTCAGATAATTTTTCCCTCTAAACTTCTAGATTAAAAAATGAGCACATTCTCAGTGATGTGCAAGTTTAATTCTAACACAAAACTGAGCTGAAAATATCTGATAAAAGGTATTCTACTCTGGCTCCAGCTTCAATCATTTCACTACAGTCTGCACTATCTGGAGATTTCACGTGTAAGCAAATTAATTTAAATCTATTTTTCCTTTGTTGTAAGACCACTCTTCAGTGCAATGGAAAATGAATTACTATAAATGAAAAAAAAGCATTACAGTGACATCAAGCAAAAACTGAAGAATCTCTATATAATATCAAATGGAAATGTACATGCCAATGGGGTGACCTAGTTTATGACCCACACTGAGATATTCTGTGCTTTGCATGCTTGTTCCCCCTCGATCCTTCTTCTGTTTTTTTTCATAAAGAAACCAAGAAAAATCAGCAGTGAAAGCGTTCAAAGAATACATACGTCACTGGCATTCAGGTACGCTCTCTTGGCTCTGATCAAGACTGGTGTGTCAGGGACAGGCGTGTATTTGTCCTTCATCTTCTCATACTGGGTTTTATACTTTTTCTAGGAGAGACAGCAAAAGGGAAAAGTTATACCTTTAATCTTAGGAGCACTTGCTAATTCGGTGTTATTTCAATGCCCACACTAAGTGTATAAAGTCTTTCTTGCAAAGTGCTTCTGTCAAAACTTTGGGAAACAAGCTCAGCTCTTTCTAGGTCTTCCTGGTCTTGCAGCTAATGTTCCTTCACGTTCTGCAAACAAGCACTTGGGTATTTGATAAAATACTAAAACGTATTAAAAAAAAAGTGTACTCTTTTTACTACAACTTATAAAGGAAATGCAGAACTTAAGCATAAGAGACAGAAAAATAAATGAAGGATAAACAGATTTAAGCCTTGAAACTATCACTAAAATTAGAAATAAAGCTTCTAAACAGTTCAGCATAGTGGTACCAAACAAAAAACCCAAATATCTTACCTCACTGACCATGTCCTTTACGTGCCTAGCATGTGTAAAAGCTGGAGTCTGGCCACCAGCATGATGATGTGGTCTCTCTTTTGTGGCAAGTTCCACATACAAGTACTGCAGCAAGAAGAAAATAATTTTTAAAAACCCAAACATTTCAAGTTTTAATTTATTTCTCTGAAAAATGACTGTAAATTCACAGTGTAGATATAACCACACAATATAACCCAGGAAATAATGATGTGCCCCTTCCTCTTCCATGCTGTCTCAGTTCATACTCTTGATATTCTGTAACTGCCAACAACATGCTCACAAACCAAGAACTCAGATGCATGTGATATTGAAGGTCTCTCTGCCCTACATCCAGCCCTAGCTTTAAAAAAACCCATCCATAAGGTCTGTTTTTATCTGTAGAGAGTATCTTCATTTTGTTCTGCAAATTTAAAAATTCCACAAAATTTGTAGCTAATAACTCAGATAAAGAAATGATGATGAATAAAGGTAGATGGATAAATATATTTATTCCCCTGATGAAGTCAGAGTTTCAGAGAATCTGAACTGAATTCAGAGAATTCAGAGAACTGTATTAGGGTCCAGTGCCTTATTTCAGATGGACAAAGCTCAACATGTCCATTACACAGTCATGGTCCACACGAGAATTCATAACCACTTAAAAATGAGCAACAGTCACTTTTAACATCCTCTCTAAGAATTCTACATTGCTTTGAAATGGCCTGGAAAGATTATGCTGTACTTTAACAGCATTTTAAGAGGAATCCCCTAATTATTTCTTTTATCAATACAAATTTTTCACCTGGCTCTGTATTTTTTGTCCTTGCTTGGCTCTTAAGAAGTCAGGCGTATCAAGGATGGAAGTGTATTTTGTCTTCAGCTCCTTGCCTGCAGCTCTGTAAACCAGCTGGAAAAAGACGGGTCCATTAATTATTTCTTCTGTTACATATGTTCATTTAGCAGCTGAACAATCACAGCTTTGCCATTATAACATCTCATGTATTTCAGAAAAAACAGCGAGAGGGTCAGAGCTTAACTCTAGCTAATAAAGATGTGCAAAAATAATACAGAACTTACTTCACTCAAATGGGTTTTTAGTTCCTGAACTGCCCTGTATCCAGGAGTATCTAATACCACATTGTATTTAGGCCACATCTTCTTTGCAGTATCAGTGTATATATAATTAGACTGGAAAAAGAAAAGCAGTATTACTTAGGAAGCTTTCATTATTCCTGGTGGTAAAGACAATTTTACAGTGTAACCTAACAGTGCTTGGAAACAACTAACTAGCTGCACGGCAAGAAATTCTATCCTACGTCTTTACTCATTTTCATATACTTAAAAGCATGTAAATAAATCAATCATTGTAATACATGGTTCTCGGGGGGAAAAAAAAAAAATCTTACCCAAAGCTTCCTCAGGTGACGAGCACGGACCATATCAGGAGTATCATACAGGAAACAACCCAAGCCCCTCAACCACTTCAGATCCTCTTTGTATTTATTCTATGAGGCAATTAGAAAAACAAAAATAAAAAGTTAAATTTTGGGCTGATTTCATTAATCAGTACCTAAACACAGTGACAAAGCATTTATCTATTACAGAATAGAATGCAAATGATAGAAGTCAAATTCCACTTTCAGTATAAAAGTATTAGAAGCTGCTTACATCACTTGTGATGTCCCCAACATAGCGGCAGTGCAACACCTGGGGAGTGTAGGGCAAGGAAATCAAGTGTCCCTGCATCTTAAACAGATCTGACTTGTAGATCAGCTGAAAGACAAAGAAAAAATAGCATTTCACATATTTGGTCATGCTGAATATTCTAAATCTCTGCTGGATTTTAGGTTAGAAAGACACATACATCGCTGACAGCTTCCTGTGTTGCTCTGACTTGACGGATTTCTGGTGTGTCTGGTGTGGTATGAATCTTGTCCTTATACTTGTGGTACGTTGCCCGATACAACCTCTGCATCAAAGGAGACAGCATTCTACATGTTAAAAACTTAAGCAAGCAGTTTGGCAGGGTGCAAATACTTCTCTTTTAAGGGCAGTTCTTTTGCTAGGTACTGCATAACTACCAGAGAAAAGGGAGCAAACACACTGTTTTCTAACCAGGCAAAAATTCTCCCCAATTGTTTTTGATAGCAGCATCTCTAATACACGGAGAGTCTGAGAGTCTAATTCTACAAATATGTATGTTTAATTTTTGTCTTATTAAAGCTAATGATCGAAGAAGTGAGTACATATATATAAAACCTAAAGCTATTGAGACCCAATGTCATACAGATAGAATAATTTCTATGCAACTTTAATCAAATAGCAGCAGATTGGTTAATAAAATCAGGCTGCAATTGATTTTATATTATGGGAACAGCTTTACAGGATTACAGAAAGTTAGTGGTATCAAGAACCTTACAAAGCCATTCAGCCCATCTCTGGATCAATGATCCCCTGCTTATTTCTGATGGATATTTCAATAAACTGCTCTTAAATGCCTCAAAGAACAGGAACCTTCCCAGTCAATGTACGCTCATTATTCATATTTTGGGCACTACCTATAGAACTGAAAGCAAATACATGTATTTACTGTACCTCATTGATGGCTTGATTCACTTTCTTCACATTTTCAAACGTAACATCTTTAGGTCCCAGAGTATAGCCTTTAGCTTTCATGTGTTCATAGGCTTCTTTATATTTCAGCTATAAAGTAGAAAAAGGAACGAAAACATACAGAAACCAAATCTGACTGTGATTCTACTTAGACCGCAGGTCTGACAGGAATTAAGTAGTACATTAATGTAGTACAGAGAGCCAGGTATTTCGAGATAAACAAGCAAGACGCAACTATATCAGAATTAAATATGCTACACATCATTATTTTTACCATGATCATGTGGCCCAAGACTAATAATGTTTTAAATTTCTCTTGCATCTCTAATAAGGTATTTGCATTTGCCTGAGGAAATCTGTATTTTGATAGTAATTGCTTCAGATAATTATAGGGTTTGGTAACATTTCAATTCTGTTAAGGCAAACATTATTAATGATGGGGCTTGAGCGCTCTAATAAGATCTAATTGCCCTGACTAGCCACATCTGGGATGTCAGGCCTTGCCTGAGCTGTGTTACACAGTAAGAACATTTGCCTTCAGCCCTGTCTCCTCATCTCCTGGGTGGACACTGGTCCTGTGTTATCAGTAGCTTGTCTCCAGCTCTGTCTCCTGGATTCACCTAGGGCCTATGTTGTAGGCAGCCTGTCTCCAATCTCTGCTCCGTTTCCCACAGCTCCCGACTGGATCCCCCGGACAGGCCTTGGCCCTGGCTCCTCACCTTGTCTGGGACTGTTGATGCAACTGCTATCAGCACCCTGCTCTGCCCACCCCATCCAGGTGCAGCGGGAGCTCACCCCAGCTGAGGAGGTTAGTGCCTACATCGCAGTCACCCTCAGTCCCCAGCTCAGGTATCCACACGGAATTACCCTGCTCTTGTTGCTCTCTGAGAAGCAATCTCCTGTCTGAGGAATAACTGTCTCAAACATTTATGTGCTCATACAGGATGGGCATCAAATATTCCCTTGCAACTCCTGTTGTAGAAGGATTTAGTAGATGACTTACGTCGCTGCCAATGTACTGGACGTGTTTAGCGTGCTGAAAGCCAGGGGTATCTGTGGGGAGGCTGTAGCCAGTAGGCAGAGCATTCACACCAGCCCAGCGATACAAATTCTGCAAGAGAAGAGAGAGAATTTGTGACAACCGTGTGTAATATTTGAGAGTATTCATTAGCTGCATAGGAAATATCTTCATTGCAATTGGCAAAAGACTTCTCCCATGTCTGCATTTTAATGTGTATTTGTAGCTTAAACGAGGACATTTTCCCACTTTCATTTTAGAGCCGTGAAATCTAGCTTCTTTATCTGAAAATCTGAGGACAGATCCTAATTTTTTTAAAATTTGCTCTTTGACTATCAAACTCTGCGGACCCAGAAGTTTTACACTTACTTCACTCTGTATTTTGTTCGCGTGATATGCCCGCTCCAAATCTACCGTTTTATCAGTAGGAATCACTTTGCCTTTAACATTGTGTATATATTCACCACGATAGACAGCCTGAGAAAAAAGAAAAATTAATTAGAGGAAGGTCATAATTGTGCTGTTCTCTCACAGTATGTATTGCTTACATACATAAAGGAATTTCTCCTAAAAAACTGGATGACAGTTTTTTGGATTTAGGCAATTAAGGATTTTACCAACTGTGTTCTCTTACTTTAATAAAGGCATAAGCAATGAGTTGTAGATAACCAGCAATGATTAAATGATTAGCTGATATCAAAAGTCACATTTCTAGAACTTGTAAGGTAATGGCATATGCAATACTGGGGATGTAGGGTGATACAAACACTTACTTCACTTGAATTCAAGCCACTGAGGACATTTTGGACATAGACAGGAGTGTCCATGACCACAGTGTAGTTGCTCTTCATTTGTTCTGCCTTAGATTTGTACTTAATCTGCAGAGAGAAATTCAAGAGCTCTAATTAGTAAGGCTAGTCATTGTTAATTTAATTTATTTACTAGATTTACTATTTATTTCATTACTGAACTATTCTATTACTGAACCAGCATTTAAACAGAAATCATATTGAAATTAGGGCTGAAAGAATCAACGTAGCACATTACTAGATAAGGACAGCTGACAAGTTTTATCAAGGAATATCAGGAAATGTCATTCACAGAATAGACATATGTACCATATGATAAATATCTAACATACTTCTGATATAGGATTTAGCAAGGGACATGCATTCTCAAAAACCACAATGGTGATTCTCCCATTTTAATGGCTTAATCCCAAACTAAGGATCTGTCATAAGATCTTCAGAGGAGAAAAATCTTAAAATCAACATCAAAAGAATATTTTTTAATATGACTTTTGCATCATTTCTACTTTACTTCAAGGGTTTTGAATAAAGAGTTACTATTTTAAGTGCTTTTCTGAGAAGACAAGTATTTAAACATATGCTTAAAGCTTTCCAGAGTGGGATGTAACCTGACAACATCTACTTCTGGAGCGTCAAAGCTTAAGTAACGATATACGGTTATTTAATGAGCAACACTTCAGTAGAGAAGGATATACAATATTTTCTGGGATCTATCCGGAATAAAGATAACAAATCTTTAGCAAAAAAAATTAAGAAGTAAACCCAGCGTAACCACTCACATCACTGCGAAGATCGTAGGCATGTTTGGCATGGAGAATTTCAGGCGTGTCCCAAACAAAGCAGCCAATGCCCTTCAGCCAGTTAAGATCATCCTTGTATATCACCTAAGGTATCAGAGCAAAGCAGCAATCTGTAAGACTTCCACTAGGATCTAACCCCTTATCACTAAAATCAGTCTGAAACATAACTATCAAAAGATGGCAAGTAAGGTTTCCAGTATTTTGACTTCTTTTGGTTTGAGGAAATCAAAACAATTCCTTTTGGAATTTAAATAATTTTTCTTCATTGCTTCAGTTTGGCCCATAAATAAAAAAAGTCAAGGATTAAAAATAACTACTTGCATATCCTACTGGGCAATGATTTACTGATAGATCACCAGCCTCTATGCAAGGCAAGTGCGTAGATGTCTTGCACCACCAGGATTTTCTCAAACTTCCAAAGTTTCCACACCTTATGCAATGAAATAATAAAGGATGATTTATAGACAGGGATGGCTGAACTGGTTAAAGCTTTAATATTATGACCCAGTGCCTACAATGGAATTGTGCACATTAAGCCACATCTCAACTACACAATTGCCAAGTGTTATGAAAAAATGATACAGGTGATGTTCAGCACTGCATAATGCAATGGATTCCAGGGGTAACTTCAGAGTGCTCCAACTAAATTTTTGTGAAATCATTTCTGCTCACAGAGACTAAATGCAAGAATCTTTTTAAAGGTGAGCCACGAACAGATGATTTGTGAACTTACATCGCTGACTTGATCTGTGACTTTTCGAACGTGGGCATTCATTTGAAGATCTGGCAGACAGATCCATTCATGGAGATGCGTGCGGTAATCAATTTCAGTGATTTTCTTCTGTGCATCCTTAGCAGAAATTATGTCTACCATGTCTGGAATAATGTGGATTTTGGCTTTGTTCTTTTCATAGACTTCCCTGTACAGACGCTGCAGAGTGAAAGCAGTACATTAATAATGCTGACAAACAGTCTGAAGGATCAGTGTTGATAAATTTGAAGTAAAACTATTGATATTTTCATGGAAAGTGCAATCACCTTAGTTATGACTAAAATTCACATCTTGCCTGCTCTAAAAATAATTTGCAGAACCTTAACAAGGATGGTAAAACGTGTTTTGTCAAATTTTCATTATACACACGTGTTAAAGCAGGTAGACTATGTAGGGCTTCATTTTATACATAAAGATATTACAGCAAAGATTTAGCTATGCAGGCAATTTAACAGTTAGGTTGCAAGCTTGAAAAGACATTCGTAGGTATATTATAGAATTTAGCAAATACTGAACACTGCCAAAGGCATGTGGAAGTGTGATATCTGAATGAAGGCACGTGGATTCTCTGAGCAGCCTCTTCTGAGATACTTATGGTTTTATCAGGAAAACACACATCAGAAAACACCACTTACATCAATATTAAGCTTTCCAACTCTAAGGCACCTTGCTGTATTGGGGTCATCCTCAACACCTCTGGGCAGTGTGTACAGTGCTTTAAACTTGTCATATTCTTCTCGGTATTTTACCTAAGCAGATGCAAAGAAAGGCAACAAATAACTGACTCCAATGAGTCAATTGTATTTTTGGAACAAAAATCACCAGTAAGCAAAATCTTGAGTTGAGTCCAACAAGCAGAGAAAGAGTTTAAAGGAGAATCTTGTTTTTCTACTTTATTTTAAATGGCGAAGAAAGCACATCATAACTATCATGTTGTAAAAATAACAACAGCTAACTAGAAAACTTTAAAATAGATGTAAAGTAAGTAATTTAAAAGAAAGATCTGGAGCAATAAAGAAAGATATCCATGAGGAGAGTGGTTTCTCATAAGCCTCAGGTTCAGTAAAGATTATGTTTTTTGATACTTGGTAAAGCATTTTTTTTTAAAGTAATTTGGTGTTTTTCTGACCTGTATGCTTACACAATTTAGACTAACAAAAAAACATAACCAGAAATTTTCAAGAAACAGTTTCTGTAAGATGTGACATTTTTTCTGTGAAAACAAGCAGCAAAGGACTGTCTGTTACCCAAATTATTACCACAGAAAACTGATTGTCTACAAGATATATATCTAATTAAAAATAGAAGATAATTTTAAAAAACCCTTTTTTGTACCTATTGTATATGCAAGGGATGAAGGATTTAATTGCTAGAATTGATGATTTGATTAAAAGAAGTATTTTATTTACTTACAATACTAGCATTATGCTTCAGTTCTTTTGCACGTGCTAGGGATACGGCATCAGAGGGCATTATATAGCCAGTAGCTTTCACTTTTTCCCAGGCTTTCTTGTAGATATTCTACAGGGAAACAGAAAGTCTCTGTGAGTAGAAAAATAATTCTCCTGGGTAAAAACCAACGACAAACAGAAATCAAAAGCCCTTATGTTTCAATTTATATGCTGTAAGTATTACTTAATTCCAAGAGGCTGTACAACAGTTTAGTCCTGACAGTGTACATAAAGGGTGACACAAAAAAGCTTTCTAACCAAGTTCATTCTCATAAAAGGTCTTAATTTTGTTTAGGTGCAATTTTCTTCAGGGAACCCATTTATTAATGCATGCGTTTTGATAAGGCTGGAACTATAGTTAGAAATGTGCCCTCTGCCTGAAATACAGCATCTTCCCCACACTTAAGCAATGTAGAGGGCTATCATGGCTTTGACAGGCTCCATATTTGATGTCCATACCCATTTTTGATGTTCACCTTCAAACAGACTGAACAAACAAAACAAAAATCCCATAGTAGCACCTTAAGAGAAAAAAAATAAATAAAAAAAAAAAAACGTAGAAACACTTACATTGCTAAAGAGATGTTTCAAATTTTGAACTCTTTCAGAATCCACTGTTTCGGTCACAGTTGTATACTGGTCCTTAATTTTGTGGTATTCTTCCTTGTATTTCACCTGTAAGATGAAAGACAGATTTAGTTAACTTGTTTCCATCCTCAGAGGGAGCACAGGGAAAAGCCCAAGTAGAAAAAGCGGGGAGACTCACATCACTAGCATTTATGCCACTCTGCACTGCTGTCACATAGAGAGGTGTATCAGTGACAACACCAAAGTTCTGAAGATTCTCTTTTCCTGCAGCTGTATATTTTATCTAAGGAAACAAAACAAAATATTAATGCTGAAAACGACCAGGAAATTCCCTGCCAGCTTCCTTTAAAATCAGTTCTGGACAGCTGAAGCCCAGGACTATGACCCAGTTAAGACCAACTTTAAAAGTAACAGGCCATAGAAAATAAATAATATATAAGCCAGTATGAACTAAGGAATAATGAAAATTGCACATCACTTATAGCATGTAGTAGGCTAAGAGTACAATCAGCAAGGCAAGAGACACTATTTTCCCAACATAAATGTCTCACTGAGGTATCTTGTGCACAGGGTGGCATAGAGAAAGACAAGATGTTATCTTCTCACTGTTAAAAAACACAAATCTGCTGTCCTTCCATTCTCTTAAGTTTTTGGCTCCTTCCATAACAAAAGTGATGATGTCTCTATTGAAAGAGTGTATTATAATGGTTTGAACAAATTATTTCTGATTTAATAGGAATCCATTCTGCTCTGGACTAGGACAGATGTGAGTTCCAGTGAATCATAGATAGAAGGAAAAAAAATACAAATATTTAATTATTTGAGGAAAACATACTTACTTGGCTCTGAAGGTCATAGGATTTTTTCGCATGCAGGATTTGTGGAGTATCCCAGACATAACATCCAATTCCCTTCAGCCAATTTAAGTCGTCTTTATACACCACCTATATGAAAGTAAACAGACTAATAAGTTAGGAAGAAGTTTGCCCTCTGCTTGAAGAGAGTAGTATTTGTTTCATCTCTCTATTCAGGATCTTCCACTTGTGCAAACTCAGTGCAGAAGGTTCCCTCTGAATCTGAACCAGGCTAATTCAGTAACTCCCATCTATTTGGAAATTTAAATGTCAGCACAGAGAAGTCGCCCATCTCACAGCTTGACTGAATAATTTTTACCCACAGGATTTGCAAGGGAAACTAAACCAATTAATACAACACAGTAATATGCCAGGCAATTAACATATCAGCAAATTTTATCAGGAAGATTGGCTGGCCCAAGCTGAGATACTGTTGACTATGTAAGGTGAACAAGGTGTTGTGGTTTGGTGTGCCAGTCACTCATCTCAGACTCTGTGGACTGACACAACCCCAAATGAACAAAGAGAAGTCTTTTCCAGACCTGTTCCACCCCATGTGGGTGCTGTCCTGGCTCCTGTGCAAATTACGACACTCCCAATTACAATACGTAAACGATCGCTGCAGTGCAGCAACGTTCGGACTGTACCATGGTACATCCCCCTCCCTCTGCATGGACCAGATGGCAAGCTTGCTATAGTCCCATCCAGTCAGAGAGAGATTAAGTGATGACAGCAGTGACCTTTGGGAAGGTTACATAAAAGTTAACAAAATTTTTCTAATTTACAAATGAATAATGATAACCAGACCAGAAAAACATCCCAAAGAATAATGTTAACATGTAATTTTCGGTGCTATGCTACTAAGCAGTCTAAACCCATGGTTATTAATTTCATATTTAAATACTATGAAGATTTTTGAAACTATTTTATATTTAAAAACCTTGAAAAAAATACATGAAAGGCTACTAAAACGTCAAACAAATAAATGAAACACATACATCACTCAAAATTTCCTGGGCTTTTCTGGCTTGAATAACATCATTTTCTTCGGGGGAACAATTCCACTGATGGAGGTAAATCCGGTATTCAAGATCACTGAGGATATACTGGCACTTCTTGGCTAGCACGTGATTCATCATGTCACTTGGAATATGGACATTTGCTTTGGTGTCTTCATAATTCTTCCTGTATGCCAACTAAACCGGAAAGATTGGGGAAAAGGTGAGAAGACCATACCGTGTTTTTCTGCATAATTGTGACTCTAACAGGCTACAGGTTACAATGTAATCTGAGGCATGCTTGATGGATTTAGTAGCTCAATTCCAATGGGAGTCAATAGGATGAAATCTTAATTTAATACTGATCACCATTTATTCTGATGAGGTTCTAGATTTAACAGCTGGTGAGAAAATTAACAAGACTTCAAGATAAAAAAAAAGTCACGTGCTACAAACCCGTTTTTCATCCAGTTAAAACTCCATCTGAACGAAGACAGAATATTTGGGATTGTAGTAACTTTATGCCCTGCCTGACATGCTATACATGCAGTGGTGATAATAAAACATCAAGTGTGCATTTACTTTTCCAGTTTTTTAATTTCTATTTCAATTGAAAATTAACACTTTTTTTTTTTTTTGGTAAAACAGACGAATTCCAAGTCATGTAGTATTTCTAACTGCTCAGATTCTTAAACTGAAATAGAAAAAAAGGGGTTTTTTTTCCCTGTTGTAATATGTCTAATATTTAAACAAATCCCTTCTCAACCTCCTAAATCATTTCAAGTTCAATTACTCACACCATGTACAAAATAACTATTCAGGAGACACAACAACACAACACAACACAAAATGGAAAATAGTACAGCAAGACTAATTCCTTACCGCGCTCCGTATTTTCTGGAATGCCAGCGAATGAACAACGCTGGGGAAATCACCAATGTCCTTCCCAGCCAGGTAATGGCCTTTCAGCTTCTCATATATTTCCTTGTATTTAAGCTGTAAAATATTCATGTGGAAATTTTAAAGTTCACTCTAACCACATGTAGGGGGAGGAAAAAGAGAAAGAATGGAAAATTCATACTAACCTCACTATTTATGTAGTTTGCACGCTTCGCTCTGACAACTGGAATATATTTCTCATCCAAAGTATACCCAATGGGCTTGCTAACTTCCCAAGCTTTTTTATAAAGTTTCTAGACAAACAAAACACATACAGGTTTTGATTAAACATCCATTATATTTCCCAAGAAATCTGACTCTGCCATTTATATGGAACGTGACTACTTTTATAGAGTAGTTCCTTATTCCCTAAAATGCCCCGATAAAGTAAATGCAGAATGTTCATCTGGAACACTCATTCAGTGTAAGGCAGAGTAAGTGTTCCAACTCAGGAAGGTACCTGAGCACAAATTTGAGCTGATCTCTGCTTTCTTTAATATATTTGGAATTCAACGTTTCTCTCCCAGAAGAGTAATAAAAATATCAAAAATGTAGATATGAACCGTGGATTAGAAGTGCAGTATAGAATGGACATGGATAATTTCATAGATACATGTTCAAAATTGTCGAAAGTCTTCAAGTAATACTACTGTTTATTATAAGAGCATTAACTGTGTCAGTACACTTTTCTAACATATTTTCTCAAATATAAAATACATTTACCTTCAGACTAAATTATGAAGCACTTACTAATACGAATGAGTAGTCACATTTTCAAAAAACAGAGATTTCCCATTAGAATTAGTGAGATTACTCGAAAGTAAGTGCTTCATAATGTAAATCATCTACAATTTTCCTCTCTCATAAAAAATAAGTGTAAATTTTATCAGTAATCTAGGCAGATATTACTGGATGGAACTATAAATTGTTTTTTGTCACACAAACTCTACTACTACTATTACTACTTCCAGACACCACACAGCAGTGCTTTAAGATCAGTTCAATAAGGAAAGAAATTACCCTTAGCCCAATGATCCAAACTGGGAAAAAAACAAAGTAAAAAGAACTTAAATAACTTGCCCAGTGCCACCCAGTAGACTAATGACAAAACCAGAAATAGAATAGTTTTCTGAAGTTCACTCCACATTCTTTTGGTTTCAAAACAAACAAATAAAAGCTGAGTTAGATTTTATCAAATCTTACATCACTGTACAGTAAGGACATGTCTTTGGCATGGTTCAGCGCAGGAGTATCATCAGACCCAATAAAAATGCCTTTCTCAAGGTTAAATGTTTCTTTGTATTTTAGCTATAAAAGAAAACAAGCACAATGTTAATTCCACAGGAGAAATAAATCATCCCAACTACTCCATCTATTAGAAGCAGACGTTCTTCTTCTTTTATGTTATCTTATCTGCAGTAATGTTGTGTAGCACATCCCAACCACTACAGTACAGAGGCAACTGTCATCAGTACGTGACACCACAAAATCCACACAGTATTCTAGTGAAATTAAACCTACTGAACAGCAAATACAGGTTAGTAGCAACACCAGAAACTCCACTAGCACTACAGAACAGCTGTTCACCAAGAACAGGACTCAGTTTTAAACTACTATAAGCAAAATCTGTGTAAACTCTAAATAAAGGACATGCTGTATACTTTAAAAGAAAAATGCAAAATTATTTTGGATAGCAATATTGCGTTGCTCATTTATATCAATTCTTACTAATTTATCCCAGTAAAACTCTACTATTAATGAAGCGTGCATATGCACACACACACACACAAGGCTAAACATAGAATGGTTTAGCAAAAGCAATTAAGTCATGTACTAACTCTAGTAAAAAGAGGTTTGATTTTTAAAAAGTACATACATCACTCTGATTGACAGAGTTAATCTTTGCCAAAACGATGTCAGGAGTGTCAACCACACTGGTGTAATTGGAAAAGTTATCAAGGGCTTCTTTGGTGTATGCTCTCTGCAAAGGGAGGGAATATTTTCTTAAGCACTGTGCATGAGAAAGAAAAGCTAATTGCTTAACTGCTAAAATATGATCTCTTACCTTATTTATCAGTTCTTGGGCATTCTTAACTTTCTTATGTTCCACTGAATCCAGAGGAATCCAACCACAGCCACGAAGCCATTCCAAATCAGATTTATAAATATTCTAAATCATAAAAGAAAATAAAAAAGGAAAGAAGATATTTAATTTGGGATGGCATTTTTCAGTTTTACGTAGTATGGACAATATATTTAAAGCAAACTAAACTGAAATTCCACAGGATGTATGTCCTATCACTTACATCACTTTGCAGATCGTAGGCCTTCCTTGCCTGGATGCAGTCATTCTGGTCAGGATGGCATGTCCATTCATGCAGGTGCTGGCGGTAGTCGACGTCACTGACCAGAGTCTGACATTCCTTTGCTGCTACAACTGACACCATGTCCGGAGGGATGTGAATTTTGGACTTGGTTTTGTGATAGTCGGATTTGTACAATCTGTCATTCTGGATCTCGCCTGCATGCTCGAACCACACCAGTTTTGGATCATCTCTCATACTGGCAACTCCAACATAGTGACCTCTTTGTTTGACATATTCAGCTTTGTATTTTAGCTGATGGAAGAGGGGAGAAATACATATAAAATCAACACTGATTAGATCTGCTGTTTTTAACCTGTGAACAGCTATGGTTTTGTTAACACAAAGAACAGATGAGACAGGGAGTTGTCAACTGTAGTCTTAGGTCTTCAGTACATGACCAGATAATATGACACAAACAGCCATGCTACTTTGTACAGTCCTTCTGTTTCAGAAAATATAATTTTCTAGACTAATATGCTACCATTTTTCACTAAAATGGTAAAATTTTACTACACAAGAAGAAAGCCCTGTTAGAAAAAGTTTCCTAGTAAGTGCATTTAGCCTCACTTTTGTAACTGATTTTTGTAACAAATTATTTGAGACTGTCTGAAGAGTGGATGCTTAGTTAAGGTATTTGCACCACATTGTTTTGATAAAATACATATTCACACTAAGGGTCATGTAATAATTTCAATATCCATTATGCAAAAGTTTAAAATGTAATGTGCATACCATCTTACAGTCTTACAAAGGCTCCATAATATGCCAAAAAGTGAAATCAGGGCTATATATTATAATCATAATATCATTTCAATTCTTTAACATTTATAAAATACAGAAGTCCACCTTAGTTGATTTTGAAAGGACTGGTTCTGGAGAAAATGAAGGTGGAAAGGAGAATCTGACCCGTCAGCACTGATATCTGTAAACCCCATAATAACAAGGATGTCAGAATTGTTTGTAGGACAGTGGACTCCATGGGTCATGAAAAGTCGTCTGGATGTTACCCCTAATGAAAAGCTTTCTATGCCTGTTGTTGAATTTGCGAGGCCTTTAACATTTCTAGGCTTCCAAGCACTTGCCTTCCTAATGAGAAAAATTCTTACCTCACTCTGGACATCATTTGAGCGTTTGGCATGACAGATCTGCACAGTGTCAGGAGGTAAGAGGTAACCAGTGGCTTTTTCTTTCTCCCAACTCTCCTTGTATAAATTCTGTGGAAAATAAAAGTGAGGAGGAATTCAACACTACTATCATGGTAATTATCACCATCTATTTGTAACCTATATTAAAGTATAAGGAAAACAAATCCTTCCTTTATGATGTTCTTCAGGCAAGTTTTCTGAATTCCTTGAAAGACTTGAAAGCAGAAACTGTCAAGGAGAGGTCACGTACCTGATTAAGAATTCTGGCTGCCTCTCGAGCCATATCTAGTTGAGGTGTATCTGTTAGAGTGTAATTTGACTTGATCTCATTCCATGCTTTATGGTATTTAATCTAGAACAGAGAAAGAAACGACTGCCTTGCAGCATCATCACAAAATTGGGAAAGCATAATACTAAGACCCATATTTTATGCATGAAATAATGGATAAAACTCTGAATTGGCAAGGCTATTAGACTTGACACATTAAATATACATCCAAATGGGTATTGTTTTGAAAAGGAAATTATACAAGACAAGAAATTACAAAATTTCTCAGAGAAAATTTTGAAAACTTGTTCCAAGGCAGCTGGATGGACAGGGAAGGATCTTCAGAAGTCAGTTATGCTACTTGTTTGGTCTACAGGGATGTACTGCCAATAGCTGAGCAAAAAGTGTCTGAAGCAGGGCAATAGATTTTAAGGTTTTTAAGAGCAAATATCTTCACTCAGCATGATCTCTATGTGAATGCAGCATGCTAGCATCTCTCAACCACAGATACCCACACTCAGCCACATTCCTAAGCACAGGACATGCCCAAACACGTGTCTGTGGTTGCACGGCAGTACACCATCCAATCCAGCCCTATTGTTATCACCAACCTTTTACCAGTGTTTGAGTTAATGCTTGAGCTTGGCCTGTTCACTAACAGAAGCATATAGCAAAATTGAAACAGAAATTCAGGAACTGAGAGGGGATCGTGTCATTTCGTGTGCACGGACCAGCTCCTCACAGACTAGTGTTCAAAAACATATAAAGAATGGCAAGCTGACAGCACACCAGTTTTTCCCGTGTTTATTGTTACACAGCAGTTAACTAGAAAGTGTAAACACATACTGGCATAAGGGAGAGGATTAACCATTAAGGCTGCCAGAGTGCAAGTGGCTATTTATGTTCATGTTGTCAATGATCACCAGTGACATTAGCCAAGACTGAAAGCAGGGACTGGTTGCAGAACTAGCACTGGCTTTTCACATGTCTAGGAAAGGTGTTATTCTGCTTGAGCAGCTTCTTCCCTCATAAGTGATGGAGGTGAGCTAGTGAAGTCCTGTCCATCTTTCTGTCATACATTCACAGAATTCCCAGAGAGTGATCAACAATTCTTTTGCATTTTTTAAATATAAATATCCTTTTAAAGATAAAATCCTACTATGTGAATATACAGACCAAGTTATTAGCCCACAAACAAGCTAGCAAACTTACATCACTAAGAATTTCACCACTGTTCTTTACTGTGATATAATCAACTCTGTCTGCCACTGGAGTAAATGGAAGAGTTTCGGCTTTTGTACGGTACTTTCTCTGTACAAGAGAAAAGATGAACAGTCAGATTATACTGGAATATTTTATAGCTAACACAGTAATTCTGAACACATAGACAAGAAAGTTTACATGGAAAGAAAAACTCTTCATACAAAATGGAAATACCCTTCATTATTTTTTTTAAATATTGATGTATTTAACCAATAACACCACTTTAAATCACAAATACCCTTAAGAAGATTTGAGTATTGAAAAATGTTTTGTTACCTCATTCAAGAGATCTCCAGCGTGTTTGACATGGTTGATTCCAACTGAATCATTTGGCAACCATCCAATTCCCCGGAGCCATTCTAAATCAGATTTGTAAATAGCCTGGGAAAACAAAATAGGGTGCATGCTGTTAGCTACAGCTCCCTGTATAATCCAGCAAGATTCATAAATGATGGCACTTACTTCCCCTGGTTAAAAGGAGAGCAGCAATTCCAACATGAGCACTATATCTGAATTTATCACACTTCAAACTTGGTAATATACAACAGAGACATATAGTTTGTGTCCCTAATAAACAGCAAAGCCTATTTACTGAATTCAGGAGATTCCCACTACTTAGAGCTGAAGCAGACTAGGAAGAGACAACACAGTAAGAACTTAAGCTCAGTTTTCATGATAACTTACATCACTCTGAAGATCGTAGGCTTTCCTAGCCTGTATGACATCATTCTGATCCGGGAGACAGATCCACTGATGCAAGTAGTGACGGTAGTCAACATCACTGACCAAAGACTGCCCATGTTTAGCTGCCAGGACAGACAGCATGTCTACTGGTAGGTGGCACTGCGTCTTCCATTTGGCAAAGTGTTTCTTGTATTCCAGTTCACTCTGAACTTTGCCTATGCCCAGGGCAAAATTCATTTTTGTATCTGCTTTTGCATTTGGAACACCAACGTAATGTCCTTTCTGCTTCTCGTGTTCCAGTTTGTATTTATACTGGGTAAAGAGCAAAGATCACCGTTACTAACAGTTATCATGAAATAGCTCTCAAAAGCATACAAAGAGCTCGATGTCTCTTTTGGCACTTACATCACTAGCAATTTCTCTAGAAGCTTTGGCTGCCTTGATTGGGATTGCATCTGCTCTCAAATCATAACTTGTCTTCAACTCATCCCAAGCGTCTTTATACATTTTCTGAAAAGACAGTAAAATGTCACACATACATTAAATACTCTAACATTTGCCATTAAAGAAAAACATAGTTTACTGTCATTTGTTTGTTGAAACACCGTGATCATTTTTTGTGCATTGCTTCTGTTCCTGGCCATAAATACTGCTCCAAATCTTACTGCTTTTCAAACATGTGCCGTAACTGCAACACCAGTTTTGCAACCTATACTGCATAGAAGAGTGTTTGTAAAAGTTTAGAATATATTTACATGCCTTGGGCTCTCATCCACTTTAGCAAAATACTATCTCCATGGTGCAAATTATTAATAATTTTTAAACAGCCGTATGCAAACATTTATTTTGAAATGTCTGAATACTTCAAGAATACTCAGCAGAGGGAAGGGAATGTTGCAAGGCACTAAAGTGCAGTATGAGGGCAGACCTCAAGGAGATACCTGTGATAATCTTCAACTTGTAAGTAACATATTAGAATGTTAAAATTCACAGGATACACATACTAATTTATATAAACGTAGAAACTAGAATGATAAGCATACCTGGCTATAATTAACAGCATTACTCTTGGCTAGGTTGATTTCAGGTGTGTCTGGTGTAATATGGATCATAATCTTGTCCTTTTCCCAGGCTTCTTTGTATTTTGGCTGTTAAAACAGTTCATTTTATAGTATTATAATTATGGAATTTCACTTGCCAATAACATAAAATCCCATCAATCTTTCCTGAATTATCATCTATAAAAAAAAAAAATGTCTAGAAAAACATTAGACGACTTAAAATACCACTGATCAATTTCATATTTTAGCAGTGAGATTTCTCCTTAACTGTTTATAGCCTCGAAACAACTTTAAGAACATTGTCACGTACAATGCTGACTTGCTCGGCGTTCACTTTCGCTAGAACAACATCCGGAGAATCAGTAACACTGGTGTATTTGAGGCTTTCAATAGGTGTGCGATACACATTATCACTCAGGAGCTCCTGGGCATGCTTCACCCTCTTCACATCCGGAGAGTCATTAGGCAACCAGCCAATTCCACGGAGCCATTCTAGGTCTGACTTATAGACAGCCTAAATCAGACATGGTCAGAAAAAGGAAAAATTGTGTTTAAAAATACTGGTTTGATTATTTTCAACTACACAAAACAGTATATGTTTTAGAAAATGTCAAATCAACTAGAGCTAGATTCATCCTTTTTATATACAAAGTCACAAGTAAAATAAAACTTGGTTCCCAGAGTGTAAGCAGTTTATGTCTTAAACAATACATTCTAAACTTGGTGAAGTTAAATAGAGGGGAAACAACTGAACAGAACTGCCATTAACAATTATATGTATTAATATCTTAGAAGAGTTTTCCTGTCTCCCCCAGAGCACTTATTTCTCTAGACACTTCAACAATTTACAAGTCCAAACAAATAACCAAGCTGCCCGTCAAGAAATCTAACAAAAAGAAGGATAACAAAAAGTTATAGAGATAACTAGGACTAGAGCTAGTTGTCATACAACCTGAAGTAGAATGAGGCAACATTATTTAAGTTTTAATTGAGCAAATCCCTAAGCAAGAAAAGATGAATCTCACCTCCAAAGCTCATAATGGAAATAGAGGAAGAGTAATGTTAACTAATAGACAGCAAAGTGAAGTCAGGAAATCAGCTGCACTGACTCCTCCAGCTTTGAAATCAGCCACTAATACATCTCACCTGCTATCTTATATAGTTCTCTTGCAATTAAATAGATTTCCAAGTCAACTGAGATTAACATGACTAATAAAAGCCACCTAAGTGCGAAGTAGCACATAGTTGTTATAAATGCCAGCAGATTAAGAGAAAAAAATACTTCACCTTCCCCAAATCACAATAAGCCAAGAGCATATGTAACACAGCAGATACCAACAAAAGATTTCAAAAAAATTAGAGGTAATACAAATAATTTGTGAAGGATGAAAAAGAGCAAGAAATAGCAGTAACATGTAAAACACAAGAAACAGTCTAAAGATAAATCCTTAGCGACTATGTAGTATCAAACGATCACAATAAGACCACACTATGTTAAATAGCAACAGCAGGAAAGGCCTTATCTCTACACATACTCACATCACTCTGTAGGTCGTAGGCCTTCCTCGCGTGGATCACGTCATTCTGGTCAGGCAGGCAGGTCCACTGGTGCAGGTAGTGGCGATAATCCACGTCGCTGACCAGCGTCTGGCACTCCTTGGCCGCCTGCACCGACATGGCATCCACCGGGATGTGGACCTGGGCCTTGGAGTCGTGGTACGCCTTCCTGTAGATGCGGTCGTTCTGCAGCACCATGGCACGCGCCGCCCACGCCAGCTTGGGATCCTCCTGGGCACTGCGGCACCCGATGTAGTGGCCTTTCTGCTTCTCGTGTGTTTCTTTGTACTTGTACTACAAAGGCAGAAATGGCGTCAGCAGACACACATCACTCACCTCAACGTGACTAACGAGAAAAAGGCTTTCAGGTGCCCCAGCTCTCAGCCCTTTGATCCATTTCCCAGAGGTTATGCCTCAGCACAGATAAAGCTTTGCTGCACTCAAGAATCAGGCCATTAGGACCTAGAATAAGTCATTCTCCAAATCACTACCAATTTTTAAAAAATATCTCCCGCTTTCTTTAATATTCGTAAACAAGGAAATATGACACTGAAGCAGACACCTGTGTGCTCTGTGAGACCACTCTGAGCAGCAGACACATTTCATATCTTTACAGAGAAATTATTTGATAGTGGTGACTACAGGAGCTGCTCATATTCAGCAGCAAACAAAACCGCAGCCCTTGCCCTAATCAAGGGCTAATTTAAATTGTTGCTTTAAGTCTGTAAATTCATACTTTGTTACCCAGCACTCTGAGCAATCTCACAAACAAATCGCATGTCCTCTTACTCACAGAGCAATTGCCAATAGGCAGATTCAAGCTGTGGGAAGAAAGAAGTGCTCACAATAGGATTTAAATTAACACTAGTGCAACAAAACATTACATCGCTTGTAGGTGAACAGGGATCTGCTGAACTAGACACAGAAGAGACAGACAGAGCAACCACACCACGAGCAGACTGTACCTCGCTAGCAATGTCTCTGGAAGCCTTGGCCTGTTTGATGGGAATGGCATCAGCTCTCAGGT